GGCTTGTTAATCGATCCCTTTAAAAAGATCGAATCCCGATCACGATCTTTTTAAAAAAATAGGATCGAAATCCAGGATCGACCTTTTTAAAAAAAATGGATCGCGATCACGATCACGATCCTTTTCTTATTTAAATTTCTGATTGATGCAAAATTAACTAATATAAAAATTAAATAAATATGGTATAAATTTATTGTAATTGAATAATATAATATATAATAACAATTAGAATATATTTATTTATAATTACATTAGCCTTTAATAATAAATTTTTTTCAAAATTATCATCATTTAAACATCCACGTTTTTCATTAAGTACATTATTAAAAATATTCACTGAATCATGATTAGAATAAAAAAAATTTATTAATTGAAAGAGCATTTTGTGATGAATTTTTCCATAAAAAGGTATCGATTTCATTTGAAGGATCTGCATGTGCAGCGTCTACATGAGCGGGAGGGGTAGGAACAGTTTGCATCCTATTTTTTTGAGGGGGTATGGGGTAAGCTGCGCTAATGGGGGTAGGATAAATTTTTTGGGGAGTTATCTATTAAATTTTGAAATGAAATAAGACAAAATTTATTGCTGTAAAAATTAATACTTTTATTATAGATTTATTATAATACAATTCATCGACCAAATTTATATATTGCAAACAATCATACACATTGTTTTCCAAATAAACTATCCTTTTAAATGTAATTTAAAAGGTTTAGATATTTTAGCAAGCTCATAATGCCATAATAATTAATTCATTGTAAATAATGTAGGTTTTAATTGAATTTATTATCTAAAAAATAAATTCTTTATATACACAAAATATCGATAGTTAGTAGTAGAGATAGATTAATTTAAATTATCCTTTAGAAATTCTTTGAAAAGAGTATCAATAAATAAATAGGTTAAGATAATGATAAAGAGACACCGACGCCGAAGGCGGTGATTTTTTAGCGGGATAGGCAAAGGTTTTTGAAGGGGGTTTGCATCCAGTAAAAATCCTGTCATGTAGACGCTGTGCATGTGGTTGACCCTGTATATTTTCTAAATGGGCAATTAACCTTACTTTTAGCAACAAATTTTGTGGCAGATTAATAAAAGGCCAATTGAGCTTAAACTTTGGGTGAATTATTGATGCCAATATATTACTGTCATCATAGAGTGAAGGAAATCTATATTAATAAATGTTAATTAATTTATTATTAAATAAGTGTTCATTCATATAAATCAGGTATCTGCAAAAGTTAGCCCTTATTTTACAGTCAGGCCTGACCAATTGTATAATATTGATTAAATTTAATAATTTTTAATGCCTATTAGGCTCATTAAAATTTTACCAGATATCAGAGGCTTAGTAGACCAGACCTGTTAAAAATATTTTACTAATTTTTTTAATAAATTTTGCAGATATCTGATATCTAATAATATAAGAACTTATGAATAAAGGGTTCAACACAAATTTTGTTAAACATATTAAGGTATATTATTATTTATAAGTGGTTAAAAAGGTCATATATAAATTCTCTTAAAATACCAAATTTACAATATTTTATTCTAATATATGATTATTATAATTAAGATTAACACATAGATAAATATATTAATTATTTTCATAAATTAATAAAAATTATATTTTTAAAATAAACTTTTATATGTCTCTTTAAATTTGAGCTACTAATCTTTGAGGAGGAAATCTTATTTTTGCATAAGGAACATTTTGCATAGATCATTGTCTGGTTACTTCCATCCGTTACACATAGAGTAAATTACTTACGTAAATTATGAAATGGTAAAAGATTCTCATTCTCACCTATATCTACTGTCATATCAATAGTAGTACTAGTAGATGAATCATCTTCTAAATTTATAATGGAGGACATTATTAAAACCTAGATTTATTTATATTATAATATATTTAAATTAAATTAAATAAATAAAAACTTGTATTTGTAGGCTTTAAATTACTTCCAAAAATTGAAGAAATGAAATTTTTGAAATATGGTGGAATGGTGGTTGATAAAATATGATATAGATAGATATTTTTTTAAAAATATTATTTTAATTTAATTTTCAAAATTTTTATTATTTGTTGCTTTTTAAGTAAAAAATTAATTTTTAAAAGGATCGGGATAGAATATTTAAGAAAAAGATCTCGATCACGAGCCTCAATTTGAGGTCAGGATTCCGAATCCAAGAAAATTGACAAATTTAGGATCGAATCCAGGATCAGCGATATTTTGATTCGATCCTTTAACAACTCTGTCAATATTTTATAGTTTTCTGCAAAATATATAATTCGCTATATTGGTAAAAATTACTTGATTGTTATGATAATTGCTAAAATTAGATATACTGTAAATCTACGACATAGGGGAGACCAGGGCTAGTCGGCGCAATTTTTGTCAAAATCATCATAGCTCCGAAAATAATGATCATATAAGATCTTACAAAATACCAATAGATACCTTAAACATCTACCTATAAATATATACTGTTATATTTTTTAAATATTTAATAATTATTTTTCTAGAAAGGTTTTAGTAAAAGTCATTTTTTGAACCTAGTAGCCCCGAACCCGTGGTTAGTCGGTTCATCGATGGGGCTAGTCGAATCAAGTGGTTTATTAGGCTTCTTATGGGACAAAAAAATTTTTTCGCAGATACTTTATTTATATAATATTCTATTTATAATAATAACAAATAAAATAACAATCTTTTTTGACAGAGAACTACTCTACATTGACCAATCTTCAAAATTATGAAAACTTTTATAATCCTGTTACATATAATGCACACATCTTTTATTAATGTTTATATTTATTAATAATAAATTTACTCAAAATTTATCTAATTCTATATTTAAATATATAACATCATTTGATTTTATTATCAGGCTAAATATAATCTGATAACTAAAATATTCATGTCCAATAAAATGAATTAATTTGAATCATGTTATATTGTCAATTAAAATAGATATATATATAAATATTTGTTTGTTAGATATAATTCATTTTAAATATATTGATATTATTATCAGGCTAAAATTTATATGCTAAAATGTTCATATCTAATAAAATGTATTAATTTGAATCATATTATATTGTCAATTAAAAAAAAATATATATATTATATTTGTTTGCTAGATATAATTAATTTAAATAATTGATCTTATTATCAGGCTAAAATTTATATATGCAATATATATAATATATGTGACAATATATAATATATATTCACAATATGTATATGAAGATTTTAGTTTGCAAGATATTTATATAGGTCTGATATTATATTAAAATTGAAATGTATTATGAAAAATCAATCACATTAATAAATTTATATAATAATTATTATTTAATATATGACATTTATAAAATATTATATTATGATTATCTGTACAATATATAATATATTATTCACAATATGTATATGAAGATTTTAGTTTGCAAGATATTTATTTAGGTCTGATATTATATTAAAATTGAAATGTATTATGAAAAATCAATCACATTAATAAATTTATATAATAATTATTATTTAATATATTACATTTATACAATATTATATTTTAACCTGTAATAAATGGTATTTTTCTTAATGAGATATCATTTTCATACAGTTTTATAGTTTCTTCATAATCTTTTTTTAATAAAAATTTTACTATCTTAAATTTTGCATATATATTTGGGTATCATAAAAATATAATAAAAATTGACTGATTGCGCCTACTAGCCACGATTCTACTAACCTCAATGGTGGTAATATTACTAATTTAATCTTAATATATATTTAAGCATTATATATCAATCTGAAACTTTCCCAAATATTGAAATAGATATTTAACTTTTATATAATGTTTATTTTGTCATGTTTAAACTTTTAATTTTTTAATACAACCTAATAATATAAAGTGAAAATATTGTAATTTTGACGTCAAAAACATGTCATAACGGATAAAAATTTAAATAGTTAAATATTATAAATTATTTTCATCCCCAATTATGGATATTATAGTATTCTATTTTAGAACTAAATTTCAAATTTTAATCTTAACTGGATTTAAAATAAAATCCTTTGAACCGACAAGCCCCTTGCGCCGACTAGCCCTGGTCTCCCCTATAATATTCCACTGTTTGTAATGTCCTTTAATTTTTTATTTAATTTATGATTTAATTTTATCAATAGTTTTTTAATTATATTTTAGTTTTATTAAAATAAATAAATTAAAATTATTCACTTTATAAAAAATTATATTTGATATATTTTTAAGAATATTTCTTAGTTCCTATTATTTTTAGTAAGATTCCTTCCATACAAACTTAATATTTCTTTTTTTTAAAATGAATTTTTTTTTTTATATTATCATTAAAAAATAACATTAAAAAATAACATTAAAAAATAACATTAAAAAAACTTTAAAAAAAAAATTAAAAAAAATAATAGTCCCTCCCCCCCCCCGTTAAAATATTTTGCAAAATTTTCCAGGCTCGGAGACGGGGCTGCACCAACACATCCACAATACCTAAATTTAAAAAAATTGAGAAGGTCAGATCGTAATTCGGCTAATTTATGGCGGAATCGCCCTATATCTTAATAAATAAACGATAAAATGTTTTCTAATAACTTTAAATTATTAACATTTATAAGCAATCATATCTTTTTTTCAATGGTATAATAAAATAATGAATAACTAGATGACATTTTTGGTTATATAGAGTCCTTTTTCAAAAATAAAGGATCTCATCAAACGAAATTGAAGATAGCATTATATATTTTTTAAATTATCAGAAAATTATTTGTTTATAGTATCCTATGATTCATTGGTATAATTTGTACCAAATAAATAAAAGGGGATGGGAGGCTTTGATTAAGTACTATCTTGGAATATGTTACGACTAATTTTCAATCCTAATTTATATATTAGACATTATTTTTAACTTTATTAAAAACGAAATTATAATTAATTTGAAGACACAAAATGAAAACCAATTTTATTTTAGGGCTATCATCATTGGCAAAAAATGCTACCTATTCAGCGGAATACCTATTTAAATTGATAGATTCTGTCATGGTAAAAATACCCCTTAAAAAATATCATGATATCCCACTGTACATAATGGCGACAGCAGGCATGAGATTGGTTTCACACATGGAACAAGAGGCTATACTGAAAGATATTAGACATGATATTGCAATGAGGTATCCTCAATTATTTTTCCCAGCTTCGCATATCCAAATTATAAGCGGAAAAATGGAAGCGGTGTACGCGTGGATAGCTATGAATTACATACTTGGAAATTTCGATAAACATGCAAAAAGTTAAAAATATTTTTAAAATAAAAATATATTTCATTTAAAATTACAAAAAGAGGTCGAAGGAGAGGAGCAAGGGTGCCGGCAGGATTTTTGCCAAGGTCTATAAATATTCAAAACGTATAGTGGATATTTCGGTCAAAAAATAATTCAAACTATTTATTACCAGAGTATTCAAAAATATCAAAATAAAATCTAACATAAAACAATTATCAATTAATACAAATAGTATCCTAAATAGTAAGTAGGTTAAAATGATAAATTTGTGTAAAATTTAATTAAAAAATTTTTTCAGCCCAAAAATTATTTCCAAATAATTAATCACCATCCTAAAAATATTATATTATTATAATATAATGTAAAATATATGCTATAATTGCTTTATATAAATATGATTTTAAAAAATACAATTCCTTTACATTATTGAAAATCTTATACTTTAGATAGTTTACTGTTTTTATAAAAAAAATTCTGGGTGAACTCGAGTCTATGGCTTCAGCCCTATGTAAGACTTGAGAGCAGGAAAAGAATCGTTTTATAATTATACTATTAGAAAACAAAAAATATACTGAGGTATAATATTAACATTATATGTATATAAACTAAAATTTTATTTGTCTTTTTGAAATAGTTTTCAATGTTATCGATAAGAAACTTAAAATATCAAAGATAAGATCTACACTGTTTAGGATTTATTTACTAATATTCAAGGATATTAGTGTTGTAAACGCGTTTAGTTTGAACGCGTTCGTGAACGAAGTTCGTTTTTTTTAAAAAAATGGTGAACGGAGGTTCCTTTTATTTTTGACGAACTTTGAACGTGAATGCGTTCCTTTTTTATGACAAACGCGTTCAAATTTAACGTTCGTTCAATTTTATAAACACCTTTAATTTTTATTTATTTGAAAAATTTAATATTTTAAGAAAAAAGTCTTATATTTTATAATCAACTCTTTTTCCTTTTCACATTTCAATTTTTTTAACACACAAATATTATAGTTTATTAATTTGAATATTATTGTTTAAATTTAATTTAATAGATTAGCATAAGCATGGATATTATTAATTCATTATCATTATCTGATTCTGAAAATTCAAAATCAGATGAATTAACATTACCATGGCCCAAATATGATAAATATTTTACAGTACATCCTATATTGAAGGAACTAATTCAATACTTGTCAATGTAAAATGTGCCCAAAAAGTATTTCAAAATCTTCAAGTTCCAATTTAAACGATATTTGATTGTAATATTAATTATTTTATTTTATATAATATAATATAACTAAGTAAAATCATTAAATTTGAAAAAATGCATTTAGGTTATTTGACCCCAACAATAACGATAGTTATTTTAAAATTAAAAAAAATTAGTGGCTTAAATTATGGTCAACTATTGATAAACGCCTTATTAAATGGGATTAATAAAAAAATACTAAACCTATCACTATCAAATTAATTACATATATATTTTTTTAAAAGATTTGAACATATATATGAAGATCAATATGTTCTTTCTGCATTTATACATCCAATATTCAAGTTTCAATGGCCATAGATAAAACTTCCAAAGAACGAACCTATAAAAAATAAACTTATAGCGTTATTAAAAAAGTGCATTGAAAACCCTAGAAATGATAATGCAACTGTTAATTCCGAATATCCTTTTTTGACGAGTAAATAAAGGATGGATTGGAGGAGGATAGCTTATTTCAATTTTTTCAAGCAAAGGCAAAACAATAAATGTTTTTAATAAATCCCCACGTTAAAAAAGTTGTTTATTAATAATACCTCAATCCCCTCATCTGCTCCTATAGAGCGCGTTTTTAGTATATCGAATACCGTATTAACTGCCAAGTACTCCTGTCTATCCGATGAAAATTTTGAAAACAATTGCTAATAAAATTTAATAAGAAAAGTTTTTTTATAAAAAAAAATATCTTTTTATTCGTTATATTATATTGTATTTATAATTATATTATCAAAATAAAACTATATTATCAAAATAAAACTATATTAATTTTAACGTGGCTAATATATTGTGTTAACTATAAGACATTTTATTTATATTAAATAAATTTTAAAAAAAATTTATCATAAAATTGAACGAACGTGGTTACTTTTTTTTTGAAAGTGAACGTAAACGCGTTCGATTTTTTTAGAAATGTTTAGAGCACTAAAGGATATTAAAATATGTATAACTAAATATCTTTATTAATATTATAATTTTACGAGACGGCAAATCATAATATTTTAAAATTCTTAAAATGACAATATAAATATTACACAATTTAAATATAATTTTCAAGGGCGGGTCAGCGACTCCCTTGCCCCTTTCTTCAGGCGCCCATGAAGAGGATGTTGTAATAGCTGGAACAGTTAGGCTATATATAAAATATGAATTAGTCACAAATAATACTAATATTTCGCTATTGATAGGTACTGTGGGTATATTAGAAATGGGAGGAGCATCCCTTCAAATAGCTTACGAAGTTCCACATAATTATTCCACGTTTGTTTATAAAAACTCTAAAAATACGAGCAAAGAACAAGTCAATGAAATCGTTGCAAATTCTATTTATCAATTAAACTTAAGCGGCCGAATTCCAAACGGGGCTATCAAAAAGAAGAAATATTATGATGTTTATGTTAAATCTTTCCTAGGATTTGGTGTCAATCAAACCATTGATATTTATAAAAAGAGTGTGATGTTGAAGTAATGATAATATTATATAATATTATATATGTCGTAATTTTTAAAGGGATCAGAACTAGCCGGAATCATCATGGGTTTTAAAGGGATAACTAAAAAATTAAGGTTTTAAGTTAAGGAATGATAATACGGTATTATCACGTTTTAATCGTGATAAAGAGGAATTTTATTTTAAAAAGCGTTTTACGCGCGTTTCGTTTTATTTCTTTTTAATTTTATTGTTATTTATTAATTTTCAATGTTGTTATTTTTGGCCTTATGAAATAAGATATGTCTAATATAGGCAATCGATAGCTAATCAAAAGATTTATTCATCTGGAGCTCAATCTCTCCCCCTTAATGGGCGAGTCTAGGTCTGGGGGGTCAGGAATACTTTTATAAAAATAAAATATCGATATGGGTATCAAATAATAGCTAATTTTAATATCTTTTGACTGAAAGTCTTCATTCTTGGTCATGGGTATGACTTGGTCTAGGGGGGGGGGGATTTAAATTTTGTTTTTTTGATATGTGTATTTAATAAAAGGTAATTAAAATATTATTTTATTGTAACAATAATAATCACTCATAGAGGGCGAATCTAGGTCTTGGGGGGTCAGAAATATTTTCATCAACACAAAATATAGATGTGGGCATCAAATAAAAGTAATTTAAATATCTTTAGATTAGAAGTATTCATTTTTTGTCTTGATGGGTATGACTTGTCTGGGAGGTGTATGGAGGGTGGGGCGGCGTAAAAAATAATTTTTTTTGATATGGGTATCAAATAAAAGTTAATTAAAATATTTTTTTATTGTAATAATAATAATCACTCAAAGAGGGCGGGTCTATGTCTTGGGGGGCGGGCAGGGGTTAGGAATTTTTTTATCAACACAAAGTATAGATATGTGTATCAAATAAAAACTAATTTAAATATCTTTAGATTGAAAGTATTCATTTTTTGTCTAGATGGGTATGATTTGGTCTGGAAGGTGGATGGAAGGGAGGGTGTGTAAAATTTGTATGTGTATCAAATAAAAGATAATTAAAATATTTTTTTATTGTAATATAATAATCACTCATAGAGCGCGGGTCTAGGTCTTGGGACGTCAGGAATATTTTTATCAACACAAAATAACGATGTGGGTATCAAATAAAAGGTAATTAAATATTTTTTTATTGTAATAATATTAATCACTCATAGAGGGCGGGTCTAGGTCTTGGGAGGTAGGGAATATTCTTATCAACACAAAATATCGAATATGCTAATTTTAATATCTTTAGATTGAAAGTATTCATTTTTTGTTTTGATGGGTATGATTTGGTCAGCACGGTGGATGGAAGTCGTGGGGGGGGGGGGGGGTCAAAAATTTTTTTTTTGGATATGGGTATCAAATATAAATTAATTTAAATATTTTTTTTATTGTAATAATAATAATCCATCATACCGGCCGGGTTTAAGTCTTGGAGGGTCAGGAATATTATTATCAACACAAAATATCGATGTAGGTATCAAATAAAAGCTAGTTCAAATATCTCACGATTGTAATGATTATACTCTAAGCAGGCGGACGTCTTAGGTTGTTAGGAATATTTATATAAACACAAAATATTGATATAGGAATTAAATAAAAGGTATTTTAAATATCATTTGGAGGGTAAAAAATTTTTTTTTTAATATGGGCATCAAATAATAGGTAACTAAAATATTTTTTATTGTAATAATAATTAAACTCTAAATGCGCTCTAGGGTTTGGAGAGCCAGGGAATTTGTATTTAACTTTTATTTATTACCCATGTTTATGATTAAAAAAATATTCATTACATCTTAAGATGCCCGCTTAGCCTGATAAAATTAAAGAAGATTTTTTAATTACTATTTATTTAATACCCATATAAATTTTTATTTTTACCCCCTCCCCCTATTCCCAGATCAAGTCTAACCCTTTAAGATAATAAATACTTTCAGTCAAAAGATATTTAAAATACCTTTTATTTGATTCCTATATCAATATTTTGTGTTTATATAAATATTCCTGACCACCTAAGATCTCCAGCCTACTTAGAGTATTATTACAATCAAGAGATATTTAATCTAGCTTTTATTTGATACCATTATCGATATTTTGTGTTGATAGGAATATTCCTGACCCCCCCCCCCCCAACTCCCAAGACTTAAACCTGCCCGGTATGAGGGATTATTATTTACAATAAAAAATATTTTAATTACCTTTTATTTGATACCCATATCAAAAATATTTTTTACACCCCCCCCCCCCTAATCTACCTCCAGACCAAGTCATACACATCAAGATAAAAAATAATACTTTCAATAAAGATATTTAAATTAGCTTTTATTTGATACCCATATCGATATTTTGTGTAAAAAAATTCCTGACCCCCCAAAACCTAGACCTGCCCTCTATGAGTGATTATTATTATTACAATAAAAAAATATTTTAATTACCTTTTATTTGATACCCATATCAATATATTTGATAAAAATATTCCTGACCCCTCCCCCCCCCCCAGACCTAGACTCGCCTAGATCTTCTTATTTCATAAGGCCAAACAACATTAAAAATAAATAAATAACAATTAATTTAAAAAAATAATACCATGCGTAAAACACGTTTTAAAATAAGATTCTTCTATCATAGTTCAAACGTGATAATACCGTATAGTTCTTTATATTTAAAAAATTGAATTTTTAAAGGGATCCCTTTAAACTGTGTTGATCCCGGATAGTTCTGATCCCTATAATTACGACAGTATTTACCATTCTAAGGTAAGCTCCTTAGTCCAGGAATTATGAAATTTACCTTGAATGCCATGGAATAGCCAGTTGAAATAAATTATAAAAATGAAATTTTTATATAAATAAAATTATATGCCAGCATTTTTGAGAAAACCTGGGATTAAAAAACACCAGAATTGTTAAAAGATCTAGATACAAGTATCTAGATATAAAAATGTGGTATCTGTATCGGTATCTAGATATATTTTTGATTAAAATATCTGTATCTAGATATTACTTTAGACGATGTATCTGTATCTAATCCATTTAAAAAGTATCTTTTAACAACTCTGAAAAACACATAAGTTAGAATATGCAAATCAAATGATAAAATTCAATGAATTTATAAAAAAAAATAACAATTTAATATAAGGAAAATATGTTTCAATACAATGGACAATTTAAATTATAATCAGTTTTTTAAAGAGCTTGACATTTTCCAGCGTTGGATTTACTAACTTTTTCTAATTTGATTTAAATATTGTTTTTTTTATGAATTCAATAAATTAGTTTTATTTCAATCTTATTTCTATTAAAATTAATATAACCATCAGAATAGGGAAGATGGGAAAGTTTGTGGATATTTTGGTTTTTTTAATCATTTATCTTTCATGTGCTAAAAAAATATAGATATCTACAGATTCTCAAGAATAAGAATAAAACAAGTGGTGACTCGGTGCAAATTCAGGATCCCTGCTATCCTGTTGGTTACACATACAAGTTACGAGTTGATAATTCTGTTCATAATAATACAACCAATAAAATTAACATTACGGGCACTGGGAACTTTAAATCATGCCATAAATCTCTTATCCCTTTATTAAAATTAAACTCCGAATGTTCGTTAGAACCTTGTTCTCTAGACGGTGTACATCATCCAATCGGATTTTATGCTCAACTACCTAATCATACTTTATTACCTAAGTTTTATGGAATATCGGAATTTTTATATTCTCATGCTATTTTAGAGCTCAACGACATATATAATTCGAAGGCTTTTAAAGATAAAGCTGTCAGGTATTGCGCAACCCCATATAATCCAATTTTAAAGGCCTATAAAAAACATTTATTGTTGAATGTGAATAGTGCTTATGGTAAGAACTCAATTATCAATCAATGCATCAAAGCAGTTTGGATTTATACTGTCTTACATGATGGTTTTGAATTTCCAAAAGATCAGGTATTTTTATTTTTATTTAAATTAATACTAGATCTTATATAATTGATTATTGTTTAATAAGTCATAACAAAGTTAAATTATAAGATTTTTAAAAATCTTTTAATTTATTTTGAAAGATTGCATGAAAATTACAAAAAAATTATCAAAAATTGAAAGATTTTTGCTCAAAAACTCTGCTACAAATTATAGCAATTAAAATTATTTGAAAAAATTAATAAAGTATTATTTTTACACATGCAATGCATTTAATAAACGGAACTAGGGGAAAATTATGGAATCTGAAAAGAAACGTTGATTCAGAGAATGTTCCTGCAACAGTTTTGAAACGTTCGGAAAAATAATATTAAAAATTTAATTATTACATATATATAAATGGGTCATAAATATTCATTTTATATTTTCTTAATTCCAGTTTGCTTCACATAAAATTTTTATACCCATTACTTACTTTTATGTGATTTTAAGAATATGGATTAGAAAATAAAACTGTTTTATTATAAAATTAATATTGAATGATGAAAATTTTAAATAAATCATATAGTTATCAAGTTAGTGTTGAAAGTTGTCCTTCGACACTCAGATTTATAATAATAGTACCTCCAAATATAAATGATTATCTTTTAGAAAATGTCATTAATAATACATAGTTTAATTTAAATGTTGTTTTCCGAAACGTTTCGAAACATGGGATAAAACATTTTTTTTGGTCGGAACAGGGACTCACACCAGGTTCATAATAAATGGGTATATTGATGATAAATGAATTCTATTTTATTAATTCTTTGCCAGATGGAATAATAGATTATTGCTAAATATATATTATATTTTATCTCTATATATTAATTGATATATCTATAGGACATTCTAGAATCGGTGGACCTTGTCAAAGGAAAAGAAGTTAGCTGGACTCTAGGAGCCATTATTCATACTATATTATACGATTTATCTTAAAGATTAAATTTGGAAATGTAATTTTCACACTATTTAAAGTTCATGGAACGATTTCAATATTTAAAGAATAAAAGAAACCTATAAAAGAGTCTTCCATCTATTTTCTCAAAATAATTTTATCTTAAAAGAAAATCATACAAAATAACTCACTGTTCTATTGTTAATTCAAACACATGATTTCATGACAATTCGTTTTTAGTGTAAACTGATTTATATAAACAATTAACACTAAATTTTAATTGTAGAATATGATCGTAATGTTAGGCCAGGGAGTTTTGAGTAATCGAGCATTTCCTTGTCAATTTAATAAATATTTTTAAATAATATTTTTCTAAATTATGTGAATGAATAGAGGGTTCTTAGACATACATAAGACAAAAAAAATATTATATAAGTTATAAAGAATATAAAAATGAATTTTTATACAATAAATTGATGCAATTTTTTATTTTAAATTATGTGAATGAATAGAAGGTGACCATATATAAGACTATAATTTATTTAAAAAAATATATTATATAAGTTATATAGAAAATATAAATCGACGTGGTTTTATATATTAAATTAACGCCGTTTTATTCATTACATGTTTTCATTGGTTATCGTTTGTAGACCTGTGACTTGCCAGTTACTTTTTAATATATGAAGAATTCCACTGACTGGGAGAAGGTTCGTTAATATTTATCATTATCAAAATGGAATTATATTTTATCATAAGACCCTACATGCAAATCCGTCATGATGACATTCATAAGGTAAAAACCGTGCTCACATTCAGCAGTACTACTGTGTTAATACAATTTTGAAATCCTTTCAAATCGTGGGGTCATTTATTACTTTCATTATTATTATCATAATATTTCCTTATCCAATTTAGCGCGAGATCCACATTGAGCTTTAATCGGAAACAGTAATTTAATTTGCTCTTCCCCATAATTAGAGCCCTAGAAAGTATTTTTCGAGGCCCGAGGAAATTTTTTTTTGTCCGAGCCACATATTTTTTGGTCCAAACCGACTAAAACTATTTTTTATTTAATTTGAGTTTAACTATTATAATGTTTAAGAAACGATTAAAAATTATGTGTATTTATTCAGATATTGCCATCTTAAATAAAAGTATATCAAACTAAACACCCATTATCTAATCAATATAAAAGTAAGGTTGCATTTTACTTAATTTTCAGAATTGTTATAAGATATTTTAAATTAGATCTAGATAGATAAAATAAAATGTATCTAGATAAAGATAGAATTTCTATCAACTTATATACAAGGTTCGCGTTGTTCTCGAACAGAAACTTTTATTATGAGAGTACAAAATATGTAAACAACATTTTTATATTTTGTTCTCATTTAATTCGAACACCATATAAAAAAATAATATACCCCTATTTTTACATTTTCTTTCGAATAAATTCTTATTTAAAACGAGTATTTATTGAAAAAATATTTTTACATTAAATTTATAAGTCAAAAGTTAGCGGTATATCTATAAATTTATCTAAAAAATTCTAAATAAACTTATTTGCTTAAAATAATTTTGTGGATCAATGCTATCGTTTTTAATAATTAATGGGCGTCACGGCTAAGCAAGGATTTATATATTCCTTCGCATATAAAAGTATTCTTCATAATCTTGAATTGATATCTATAGATTTAAATGGGGAAAAATTAATATTTAATGAATATTTATATATTTTTTTTATATATAAGTTTTAATATTTTATATATGGTGAATTCCATATCAAATCAACCAAGGTTTCAACCCGACCCCCTTCAATTTTTCTTAAATTTTGTATACTGGTAGTATATACTATAACTAAGAAAAAAATAAAATTTTACCTTCCAACACTGTTTACCCGCTAAGATATGGCCGTTTAAAGCGCGGAAAAATTATTTTCAAATATCTCGAGAAATAATTAAGTTAGAAAAATAATTTAAATTTTATTTTGTAGCTTAATAAAAGTTCTTTAATATGACATAAAATAAATATGATGGACATTTTATTAATACCGAAAACCGGATGTGTAAAACCGGAAATGGCCATAGAAAAAAAAGGTATTTTTTTCAAATTTTTTTTTCTGTAGATAGATATCACACTGCTTTATATTTGTACAAAATCCTAGACTGAAATGAACATGGGTTTCGGAGTTATCACTCTTTATATGGCTAAAATTGAACAAATTTAACATTGATATCATCATATTTTAATTTAATGAATATGTTAATTTAAACATTACGTCTAATAGACAGGCCCTTACTTTATCTTTATCAAAATTTTTGAAAAATGGCTGGAATAATGAGCTTTGTTTAACACTTTAGTTAAATTTTGTCTCGATTGACAAAATAATTCTCAACATATTTATAACTTTATTTGTCTCAAATTGCATTACATATATTACAAATCAAAAATTTATAATTAAAATATATCATATATTATAATCATCCAAGGAATTTTAATAAATTATGACTTTTGTTTTCGTCTAGGGGAATAAAAGCTTGGAACTTTGTGTTCCAGAAATTCTCTTTGCTCTCAAAAATCTGCTTTCAAAATGACTTTCTATGTTCTTATATTCATTATTGCTCACAAATATATAATTTACCCGATATTATTTCTTGCATAGTTAAATAAATCTATTGTTGTCAATCGTTGCAAGCTTGCTCTAGCTGCTAACCGTTTAGTAACGGCCCCAAATGTCGCATGGGCTTTTACCTTGTGCGGTTTCAAAAAATGTCACTCAGCCTTTATCCCAAAATCATTTTCATGATTGTAGAGATTAATGAAATCTTTTATTTTTATATTGGTTACTGCTCCATCAGAAAAATAAAATTTTAGCCACTCTATTAAATCTTTCCTTCAAGAATACGATCAATTTTTAAAATAAATAAAATGCACATGGGTTGTGCTTTAAACAATCTGATAAAACTACTAAATTTACATGTTTTATTATGTTGTTCTCACGGTAATAAATTATAAAAGAGTTGATAGTGGCTTGATTAATAGTCAGATTAAATCCTTGTGCATGGTTCTGCACTAAATGCATAATTTTCTGAAAAGTCAGCAATAACTAAGAATTCGCCACCATTTAAATTGAATTTTAAAAAGTTTCGAATTAATGATTATCGTGAAGTAAACAACCGAGGAATTAAATTGTTTAATTATTCAATTAAATAATCTACAAATTCGTCAGCAGATTTTGTCAGTGTTTCGAGGGTAGTTCGATCAAATGCTATCCATTGTTTGAATGTTTTATAATTTATAGAATTCTCGTCAAATAATATTCTTTTAATTTTGAATATATGGGGGAAAATTTATTGTTGAACTTCAATTTTAGTAGATTATTTTATGCTAAATAAAATATTTAAAATTATTTTGTCAAGTAATTTTAATTTCGAGATAAAAATTAACTAAAGTTTTAAACAGCTCATTATCCCAACCACCTCTCAAATTTTTTTTATAAAGATAAAAAAAAGTAAGCGCCTATTATTTAGACATAATTTTTAAATTAACATTATTTCATAACTATTCATTAAATTAAAATATGATGATATTAATGTTAAATTTGTTCAATTTTAGCCATATAACCCATGTTCATCCCAGTCTAGGATTTTGTACAAATATAAAGCAGTGTGATATCTAAAAAAAATTTTGAAAAAAATACCTTTTTTTTCTATGGCCATTTCCGGTTTTACACATCCGGTTTTCGATTTTAATAAAATGTCCATCATATTTATTTTTATGTCATTTTAAAGAACTTTTATTAAGCTACAAAATAAAATATTTTTCTAACATAATTATTTCTCGAGATATTTGAAAATAAATGAGGTGCATTTTGTCAAAAATGTAACATTTTTCCGCACTTTAAACGGCCATATCTTAGCGGGTAAATAGTGTTGGAAGGTAAAATTTCATTTTTTTCCTAGTTATAGTATATACTGCCAGTATACAAAATTTAAGAAAAATTGAAGGGGGTCGGGTTGAAAATCGACTTTTTTTGTTGATTTGATATGGAATTCACCATATATATTATTATAATATATTAGTCTTAAAATTTTATTAAATATTTATTTAAATTATATGTACATTTAAAATAAAATGAATTCTGCATTCAAGTAGTTTTATTTTTAAGATAAAAATAAATAAAAGTATATCAAAATGTATCTTCACGTATCTAAGAGTAGATACCGATACCTCTAAAATAGGATATAATACGACATTTTTGTATCTAGATACTTTAACAACTCTATTTATTTGTATACATATAAATTGTATTCAGTTTACATATAAAATGTTTTAGTCAAAACAATAGATTCTTTATTATAAAATTGTTTATAGTCGTTTATGTCATTTAACTACTACTAATATGCAATTACATTGACCTCCATAAGATAATATAAAATGTAAGAAATATATAATTCAAATAGCGTAACCTTTTAAAATATATATAAAAATTCAAATATAACAAAATGTAGTGCTGTAAAGTAATGTTAAAAGTATCGGCGTTACCATTTTCGAAGAAAGGGAAAGTCATTCGTTACTTTTTTCTAGAGATAAGAGTAACGATAACGCGTTTATTTTTTAAATAAAGATAATGCAAAAATTACTCGTTAATTTAAATTTTTTCTTAAAAAATATGGGAAAAACATAATTTTATTGTATTATAAATTTATTTTATAAATAATCTAAGCCGTGTTTTTAATTTAAATCAATAAATTCCTTCTTTTTTATTTTAAATTTTCATTGTTAAATTATCAGTCAAGATTGTGCATCAATATTGAATCATTCAAGATTATTAATTGATATTTTTATTCTCTAATATTATAATTTATTTAAAATATTATGTCATTTGTACATATTTCCTCAGATGATTTAACCTGCCCTTCCATCAACATGAAACATTTTTTACAACAATAAAAAATTAAGAGTAAAAAGTCTACGCTTTGTAAAATTGTTGCCCAACTTAAATATTTTTTCAATTGTTGAATAAATATGGGCAGTCTCAAAACTATGCAGCCATTTTTAAGGAAAAATGGGAAGATATCTGATTAAACTGGTTATAACAAGATGAAACTCTTTTTATAACTCGGTGAAATTAATAGTCCTAGTAAGGAAAATAATCAATTTAACGAATCTTGTGATAAATCCGAATTGCAGATATTTTCACATAATGATCATTCATATATATTTATATGGGTATTGTTAATTACATTACATAATATGATATGTATATATGATTTTGTATGTTATGGAACCTGTTGCTACGGCTCTTTTGATTTTAGAATATTTAGTATTATATCTCCCTCCCAAGATAACTATTATGATATTAAACTTAGAAAAATTACTTTATAATTTCAAGTTTTATAATAAACCATAAAAAGTACAAAGTTGAAATATTGTTTACAATTTATATTTTGATTATATTTAATTTCAATACACATTTATATGAAGATGAATATATACTATCAGCAATAATTCACCTGCTATTAAAATTCGATTATCGCAGGATAATATTATAGGTTAATGAAGGTAGAAAGCTTGAACTTTTTCCAGTTTGAGAAAATATCTTGACAAAGAAAAAGCAGACTTTAATTTCTTTAAAAAAACAACATACATACCAGATAATTTTCTGATAAAAATAAAAAAAAATTTTGATGAGGATCTGATGAAGATTCTTTTGAGGATGATCTATTAAGCTTTATCAAAATAATGATTATACTTTAACTTTTAATAAATTTCCCTGATTAAAATTTTTATTTATTAAATATAATAAAACCTGCCGGTTGATCATGCATTTAGCACGACCAAAGATGTGTTGAGTATTCTTGTTTATCTGATCAAAATTTTAAAATCAAATGTTAAAAATAAATATAAAATTATCTTATAATATAATATATTTTTGAATAATTTTATTTATATTATATATAGGAAAATAAATTATTATAAAAAGATCCGATCTTATAATATATTATTTTTGTATAATTTTTACGGAAATTTTATATAAAATATTTAAATTTTCAAGTAACGAGAAACGCGCTACTTTCTGAATAGCCAGTAACGCGCATTTCCTTTTTCACAAGGTAACGAGTAATGGCAACGCGTTGGTTTTTTTTGACGTAACGAGTTTCCTTTTTGAAGTAAAGTTTACAGCGCTAATAAAAGTAAAGATACATTACATTTGCATTTATCTTTTGTCTTATATTCATTAATTTTAATTTTTTTCAGAAATTTTTTAATTTGAATCCATTCTGTAAACGATTTCATAAATTAAAAAAAGTTTAACTAATCATAAAAATATAATCACAGGATTAATTTGGTAAATGGATATTATGAAAATAATAATTAACAATAGATGAGGAATGACATGTTATTCTGATTGACATTTTTATGAAACAAAATGATTATTGTGGATATTTGCATTTTTAACATTTATTTATCGGGTCGGGCGGAGAGAAAAGCCTTCAATGCCCTAACCCAAGGGATTCAGACAGCCCTTGCAGGCATCCACCCATAACAAATGTGAGGATAAAATTTGAAATCGATATTAATTCATAGAATAAAATAGAATTTATTTCTGCTGTGAATGTAATAAATATGCGATAAGATGTAGGGATCAATAATATTTTAACAGGCATCTAGATTTTTTGGCTTGGGGAGGTTATCCACAAGGTGACCATTCATAAGGAGGTAATCAAAAGAATGATCAACAAGTGGATAAGTCTTTTTGTGTATGGGAGGTAAATAAGCTGAATGAACAACAGATTGTATTGAAACACAAAAGAATGATATGAAGGAAAATCTATTAGATTCTTTATAAGGATCAAAAATAAAAACATGGAAATATTTAATGACTTATTTATTAAATGAAAAATGTACATTATACATTATAATAATCAAATTAGTTTTTTTTACATTATTTGTTATTAAAATACCGAAATGAAAAGGGTAATATTTAATTATATAGCCATAAAATATACAATTAGTTTGTAAATTGAATATTACCATATGCAAATCACAATAATTTTTTATGTATTTATGTTTTTCAAATCCTTTATATAAGATAAAACGTATATATATTATATCTGGTAAGTCAATTTACAAACTAATGATATATTTTGTGAATATATAATTAAATATTACCTTTGGTATTTTTGTAACAAATAATTTAAAAATTGGATACACTACCCTTAAATGCTGGTGTGGAATGACCATTTAGTTAAGCTAACTAGTGTTGTTAAACGGCTCGATTTAGGCCGATTTTTAAAAACGGCTAGCCAGAAAATATTACGCAAGACTGAAGATTTTGGTCATAGATAGCACAAATGTTTATACGTCTATTAGCGAAGCCTCCAGGCTTAGGAAATATTTTTCTGGCTAAAATATTGAGTAAACCGTTTTTAAAAATCGGCCAAAATCGAGCCGTTTAACGACACTAAAGCTAACCCTATATTTAGTGATCACTTCTCAAGAGAGAATTAAACTAAAAAATTGATTTTGTTTTTTTAAATGTAATAATGAACACGTTTTTTCTTTTTATTCTACACAAACTATTTTTCATAATTGAAATATTTTTTCTAATTTTTTTAAATTTATTAGTTACTACTCGTGAGCAGAGACCTGCGGCCCGCAGGCCCTATCATATTTTCTAGAGGGTGTAGGCCGGGCCTGGGTTTAAAAAAAATTTTTTAAGCCTTGGGCCTAAAATGATTAAACTTAAATTATTTAAAACAGTTGCTAATTTAATAAAATAGTGCCTTTTTTTCTTCTAATAATAATAAATTTTAGTATTATAAACAAAATGATAGCCTAAATATATTTAAATAAAAAATATTAAATTTTTGTATATGGGCTTGGGAATTTTTTTTAACATTAAATATGAGCCGGGCCTGGGCCAAAAATTTTTTTTTACTGCGGGCCTGGGTCGGACTTGGTCAAAAAATTAAGGCCCATGAAGGTCTCTGCTCGTGAGCTACTTTTTTGAATTACAGCAGACTACATTTTTTTGAAAATAAGAGTACTTTTGAAAATAACATCCAACAACACTGTGAAAAGGTCACTAAGATTGATTTAAATTAAAGCTGTATTATAAACGAGATAGACTAATAATAAAAATACATATAAATCAGTTCCAGGCAGGATTCGATTAAGTGCCTACAAAAAAGGGCAGGTAAAATATCGATCCAGTAAAATTTCTTATTCTATTTATAGTTTTATTAAACAGTTATACCATAAGATAAAAGATAAGAATATTTATTTACAGTAAATATAAAAAATACATACTCTATATAAATATATTTATACAAATATATAATAAGTATCAAGAAATAAGTGCCCAAACACTATTCTTATTTTTTCGGGCCATTCTACCCTCAGGAAATAGCTTTTTGCCTCTCATGCTATCGGGTAGTCTGCCTAGACAAGGTGCAAAAACTTGACCGGGAACTTCTGATATGCATTCCCTAGGATAAGTGGGTCCAAAATTGGCTGGGTTCTTGATCTGGCCCGTTTTTATAGCCTCTTTGGTTAATTCATCGCTATTACATTAAATATAATGAGTTAATTTATGACTAAAATTTACATGTTTGTAGGAAATTTAAAGTACATGGTTGTAGGATTGGCAAAAATCATTATTTTTTAAAATAAAAAATTCATTTTTTGACTAATCGCTATTTTTTTAATTTAAAACAAATTTTTTAACATAATAAAAATTATTTAAAAAAGATGCATGGAGTAAAATAACTAATAAGGCAAATTTATTAATATACCAAGACTTACCACTGTTAAAAAAAGATAAACAATATTTATTAAACAAGGAAGAAATACTAGGGTTTTTGATAACTCCTTTATTTTAATAATATTAAAATAATTATTTTTAATAGTTTATGGAATCTATTACATTTTGAATAAAACAAATTTATAATCAAAAGATTAAAAAATTTGTTATATATACTAAAGAGTAATATAAAGTTGTATGTTATAATAACGATAATGAATATTCTATAAAAACGAATAAAATTATATCCAAAAATTATCCGTTAATGTTAAAATTTAAACGAAGAAATAAAATATAAATTTTTTAGAAATAAAATGCAAATATAATTTTTAATTTTAAATAAGCATATATAAAAATAGACGAAAAGAAAATAATAATACATATTTCAAAAAAAAATATAATATATATTATATTATAGTTGCGATGCAAAATATATATAAAATTAACAATGACTATATTTGATAAACTAGGAGGGAAATGGGAGTGTTTCGAAGAAACATTTGTAGTTCCCCTTTAGGATTTCAAATTGGACTTTTTGTTTAAGAGATAGGGACTCGTTTTTGACCCCTGTCCTTAACGAAATTCTTCTACCCAATTGATTTAAGAACTTTAGGGATTGGGGACCGGGGTTTCCAAGGACGCTAAAAATAAGGGGAATAAATAAAAAAGAGTTAGGGAGGAATCTATATTTATTAAACTTATTGGTTTCTTGTAGTTCCAAGGAGTCGGTATTTCCGTTAGCCGGAAAGGAGGTAACACAAGAGACGTCCCAGACAAGTCTTTTGCCGCCGTGCCAAGACGTTAAAGACATGCCGTCAGGGCGCTTACCGTCAGCATTTAGGAGACCCAATGGCTCCAAGCTATTGGGGAAACCGGCCGAAATCAAGGCTTTGCCGATTAACCTATTAAGGTTGTCGTGCCTCAGGAAACGGCCACTGACTTTGAGGCACGAGAAACAATGTCTAGAGAAAGGATCAACCTGTTTGTGACAGGCGGCACAGGTGTCCACAGAAGGGATAAGGCAACCAAGCCTATGGCCAATGGCAGTTTGAAACTCATCGTCTGTGAGTAACGTTTCCTTTTTACCACTCGGAATCGCGTCTAGCCATTCATGGCCGTTAGAGTTTTTTTTTGCGTTTCTGAGCAGTTGAAGGTTAGTTAGCTCAGGATACATACAAAGTTTTTCAAACGAGCATTGGAGCATAGGGACCAGGAAGCTCTTTAGATGGCAGGAAATTGGCTGCTCGGAGCCTTGGGTGATTAGAGTAAGCCACTCTTGTTTAGCTGAAGATAGAAGGGGATCGTCCAACTCGATAAGCGAGGAAATGGAATCGGCGAAGGATATTCGAGATGAAAGAAAACACGCAATTGCCATAAGGAAGGGGGGTAACAATCCCAGTCCACCCTGGTAAGCGGGCATAGAGGCGAGGGACCAATTGAAATCGGAAAAATTTAAGCCTAAAAGGGATTCGATAAAATGTTTAAATTTTAATTCGAAGACCTTAAGGAGAGTATTGTACTGGAAAACGGGGGAAGATTTAAATAAATGTAAGAATTTAGGTAGAAAAAGACATTTTTTGGTGAGAAAGAAGAACTGATGCTTGGGGAGATGAGGAAGATTCTTGAGTGAATTGGAAAGGGAATGGATCAAATCGTCAAAAGTTTTTTGACAAAAGGAGGTTGAAAAACCAATAGGGGAACCCAAAAGACAGAGTTCCTCGTGCGGAATGATTGTAAAATCTAAGGGAGGAATAAAATCCTTATTGTTGAGGGAGGAAATTTCACACTTTTTCCTATTTAGGGAAAGACCAATTTTCGAAGCTTCCATTTCAACGTACTCTATGGCCGACATAACATTGGATAAAGAACCGCCAAAAGAGCCATCGTCGAGATACCATAAATTAAGGTCTAATTGGAAATTAGTCTTTAAATTTTTGATCAAATCATGAATCCCTATAGTAAAGAGCAGAGGGCCTAGAGGATCACCTTGCTGTATCCCCTCTTCGGAGGATATGGAAAATTCCCCGAATTTGAGTAACGAAGGGAATCCATAACAGGAATTAAGGAAATTCCCATATTTTGGGAAATGGTGTAAAAAAGATGGTAAGAATGCCCTCCTATGGATGGTGTTGAAGGCATTTCTGAAGTCTAACTTGCAGAAAACCTTATCGGCCTCAGTATTTATAAAAATACGCGCAACATGTGAGGCCACTTCACACCCACCTCTCACTCCAAATCCTAACTGTGAAGGAAATAAGAAGGAACTAGCCTTAGGCCGAATCCTATTTACGATAGCCTTGGCGACTAAGCGACGAAAGAATGACCCTATGGCTATGGGTCTAACGCCGCCATCCGGTTTGGTCAGGGAGACAAGACGGGCGCCAAAAATAATAGGACGAATGCAAAGGGGAACTTCGCGTACGAGGATATTATTGCACAGTTCGGTTAATGCTTTCAACAAAGGGTCAATGAAGCCACTATCAGGGCATTGAATTAACTCCACAAAGAAACCAGGTCTGAAGCCGTCCAACCCCCCTGTCGTCCCTTTTTTAAAGGACTTTAAGCACTTAAGTACTTCGTCACAGGTAAAGGGAATAGGGGAGGAGGCATGCGGGTGGATGTTAAAAGGGGACGCTCGTGGATGTTTTTCAAGTAGTTGTTTAAATATGGTAACGTTGATAGGTGAAATAGAGTCATCGGAAGACAATATTCGGGCCGCACCGCTAATATCTCCAAGATCTAATTTTTCAGAGATCAATTTGTGACGGAAGGAGTTGGGGTTTAAAGCGTACGAAGGAGAAAATTCATCGATAATTGTATTTCCAAAATTGGAAACTTTTTCCTTAATTAAGGCAGATAAGTTATTTATTTTATTTTTGGGTTTAACTAGGACTCGAAAACAAAAACTAACCAGGTCTAACCATAATGGTAGTGAGGAGAAATCCGAATTCAAATTATTTATAAGTGACATGAGGAACCTAGAGATAGACTCTCGGGCGGCTATAGGGATCCTAGAAAGAACAGGGGGCTTATGCGAATTAAGGAATAAATCAACAGAGCTTGAGGAACATGGTGGAATGGGGTCATACGAGTGAGGAGCGTTAATTAAAGGATCTGGGCCGTAAGAGAGGGGAAATTTTCCAGAATTGTGGCACGCGGGTGAACCATGTTTCCTAAACACGCCATTTAAATTAAGCGAAACTATTTTTAAGCATACTTGACAACAAGAGTTAACCATGAGATGGCTTTGAAAGGGAGAAAACACAAAAAAAAAATATATATATTAACGGATATAATTTTGATTGGAAGAAAAAAAAAAAAAGATGAAATGGGGAAAAAAAAAATCAAAATTTGGATGAGAGGAAAACCTGATCTATCCTTTCAGAAGTATTATCGAGATTAGAGGGGTTGGTAAATTTGAAAAAAAAAATAATAATAAATAAACAATAATATTTATAAAATAAGACTAGGTACATAAAGTATAAAAAGTATTATTACAAACAAGAAAAAAAAGGGGGGGGGGGGGTATAAACAAGAAAAAAGGGGGAAAGAAAAAATCAAAAATTGAAAGAAAAAAGAAAGATTATGAACAATCGAAATTAGGAGGGTTGGTAAATTTAAAATAATAATAAATTAGATGCATTGGCAAATAAAAAAAAATAATCGAAAATACTGGTAAACCAAGAAATGCAAAAAAAAATTAAACTTTGTCGGGGAAATCTTTAGGGTGTGGAGATGTAAAACGAATTCAAACTTAAGGAAATTTTTCTACGGCCGCAAAATAGGGAAATCTTAAGGTTGTCTTAGAACTATTCGTTACACAAAAGAAGTTAAGCGCTTCTACTATTTGAAAAAGAAAGTTTTGATAGGACAAGCCTCCCTCAATAGTGCTTTAAGCGAATGTTGATATGTAGTTGGAAGAGCGATAATTGATTATTTAGAATATGTCGGCATAATATTATATCATCTTTGAAGAGTGTAGATTATTATATTTTAGAAATCGACATTTTAATTGGACAAGATGTCTTTTTTTTGGGAGAATTGAAAAGGGACGATATTTTCCGTGAATGGAGAGAACATTATCTACGACCTTATATAAGAAATTGTTGGAGAAAATCATCGTAGGAAAGAATAGTCAATTTCGATAACTATGACCGGGCATTAGTAGAGGCTCAGGGAATAAGAAAATCCAGAAAATATAAAAACCGGAAGATGAGATATGCTCAAAAATAAATAAAATATTGTTTTTTATTTTTTTTTATTGCTCGAAAATTGTGCTTTCCGCAAATGTTGATAAGTAGTTGGAAGAGCAATAATTGATTATTTCGAATATGTTGGTATAATATTATATAATCTTTGAAGAGTGTAGATTATTATATTTTAGAAATCGACATTTTAATTGGACAAGATGTCTTCTTTTTTCTTTTTTTGGAGAATTGAAAAGGGACGATATTTTCCGTGAATGGAGAGGACATTATCTACGACCTTATATAAGAAATTGTTGGAGAAAATCATCGTAGGAAAGAATAGTCAATTTCGATAACTATGATCGGGCATTAGTAGAGGCTCAGGGAATAAGAAAATCCAGAAAATATAAAAACCGGAAGTCTATTTATTATCTTTATACATGTTATCAAGACTGTGATCATCTAGAATATTCTTTTGTCACCAATAAGAAATTTTATAAGGGATATAGTATTTTGCCTTGAATCTTTATATTTTTTTTTCAAGATTGGAGTTGCCCATTAAACTATTTTTTAAAAGGTATATGTTTTTCTTTTTCCTTTTTACTAAAAAAATAATTTCAGGATTATTACATTTACAACATATCAAATCATTTATAATAATAAAATTAGCAATTAATTAAATATTATATATATAAAACACAGTAAAAGTTTTTATTTGAAAATAAAAGCTAATAACTATTAATATATAAACAAAAAAGAAGTGATTTAAATTATGATTTTTATTTAGTATAATCTTGATTTAATCATTTCAATCCTACATATTTGCATAATATATAAATGCATGATAAGATTTTTTAAAGAGACACAAATAGGGCTTAGATAAAATAGAGGAATTTTACTGAAATGGAATCTTTTAAAAGTTTTTTGTAATCTTGAAAGAGTTTATATAAATATAAGAGATGATTTAAAAATAAAAGAGAGGGATTTTTAAAATTAATATGAAAAGATTTAACAATGCATGCATAAAGTATAAGTAATGAAAAATAGATGACAAAAGGATTATAGATGTATAGATAATTATAGCTCAGGATTGGACAATTAGAAAACTTTTATTATTTATTTCCCCAACCAATCCAATCCTAGTCTTTCGAAGGCCTTTTAAATATATAAATCAACTTAAAATAGAGTAAATTAAGAATTTATTAATTTTTAATAGCAAGAAAAAAAGAACATTATAAATAGAAAAACAAAATGTAGATGGAAATTCTTTTTCTACAAGACTTTGGCTTTGAGATGAAGATGGACTATATAAGAAAAAGGCTAAGTATATAATCAATATTCTATAGCAGGATGCATCATAATAGGTAACTAAGTGGAGGAGAGAGAAGATCTTTGTGGAAATTAGTTGTGAATATTAGATGATAAAAAAAGGATAGAATTAAAATTAGAAAATTTAATATAAATACCAGTGTTGTTAAACGCTACTTTTAAAAATAGCGCGCTACCGCTTTCAAATGAGTAGCCGAGTTGGTGGGTCACATAATAAGACATCCTTCGAACAACTTAATACATCAAGCCCTAATAAATCAATCTCAGGAAGACATTGCTCTTACGCCTTTTCTATCCTTTAAGGGCAGTTGGTTTGGAAGAATGGTAAGGTCTTTGGTAGAACTCGATTTATCTTGAGATTTTTTAAAGACGGCTTGTCAGACAGGAAAATATTCAAATATATTCTGAGACTCATATATGAGCATATGACAAATAACTGCTAAATGAGGTTAAAATTGATAACTTGTTCATAATATGTATTATGAGGTTAAATTGATAAACTTGTTCATAATATGTATTTTAAGTTATTATTTTCTAGAAATGGGGTTTTTCTAATATTTATTAGGACTTAAGGTTTCTTTCCATAATCTTCTTAATAATAGTTTATCATTAGATATTTATTTAAAGATGGCCAAACTTCTTCTCTAAATTTATTGTGATTTTAGTTTTTTATTTTATTCTATTCCTAATTGTATCCCAATTGTATTTTAATCATACGTTACTGTTTGATATTTGTTTCATTTAAAGTTGACCAGGTCTCTTCTTTAATTTATTATAATTTAAGTTTTTTTTTTCTTTTTCCTTAAGCCAAGTTCCAATTGTTCTAATTTAAGTAATTGTGATATACTCTTAAAGATCAGTAGTCTTTTCTTATTATCGGCAAAATGATAATGGCTTTTCCTTCCTTTATTATATTTAATTATCTCTTAAAGTAATAATTAGAAGGTTGTATTTTGAAGACTTTAGACAGTTTCATATATCTATTCAGTTCTCCTTATAATATAATTTCTATTTATCTCCTGCTATACGATGTCTCACTTCATTGGAAGGGATTAGTTCCACTCATATATTAGTTTCCTGGGTACAAGGTTTGTCGGTATCCTGAGAAAAAATCTAGCATAATTATATGAAGGATGGGCCTTCATATAATTCACGTTCGCTCATCTTGGGCAGGTCTATGACCAACGTGCAAGATAAGATAAAATATGAAGAAAATCATAAAAATTTTTAAATGAGTATTTTTTTAAAAAAAAGCATCTAGAAATTCAATATTATTATTATTTATTTCAAAAAAATCATCTATGGAAGGCCGCGGTTTCAATCTTGTTATAGTATTAGTATCGTGGTTAGGCATGACATTTTTTAACGTCACCATCAGCCTATCAAGTTGCCCTTTAGATTCAGTTAAATTATTGTATGGCCAATTTGAAACTAGGATGAACGATCGCAGCTATTACATTATCATGATCATACAGATCTGGAAATCTAATTTATATAAAGCGATTGTATTTATAAAAAAAGAAGAATACCTTTTTAATTTTCAAAATTTATATTTATCTAAGATTTAGATTCATTTATAATAAAATATTAAAATAGCATTAAATTATGGTAAATAAAGATTTTAAAAATATAATTATTATACACAAGGTAATTAATAATATATTAATTTTGAATTTTATATTATACTATATATTAATATTATAGAAAGGATAATCTATATTTTTCTCATTTTCCAAAGAAATTTTGCTATCTTCAACAATCTCACATATTTTTAATAACTAGATTTATAATGCTAACTACATTTATAATGTATATTTTTAAATTTCAAAATTAAATATAATTTTAGATTTAATAAAAAATATTTTTTAATATTTTTTAGATGTATTTATTATGTAAAATTGAAAGTTGCGAGCTACGGCTATCACTATTTTCTAAAAAAAGTAGCCAGCTAAAGCTACCGCTACTGAAAAAAGTAGCGTGCTATTTTAACAACACTGATAAATACACAATGTCTCTAGTTCTTATCATAAAGTCAAGGTTAGAAAAAATCTTCACATGTAAAAATCTAAATGAGTTTAATCAAAACCTTATCAATTAATTGGATGTAGTATTATGTTGTTCCTCCATATTTCACAACCAAAGAACAATATATTTTCCAAAAAATCTGTGTTTAATAATTTAAGAATTAACAATTTTTAACTAGATTGCAAGCCTAAAAATTTGGGTCAGGCTAGTATTAATTGAAAAATAAATATAGCCTAGGCTTAAAATGGAAAAAATTTTCAAATCTAGGTACAAAAAATACAATCCTTCTTATATATATATATATATGATGAGTTTATTTGGAATTTATGAGCATAATCTCTTATTCAAAATTTCCAACACATATAGATGTAGAGAATCTAACCTATGTATTTCAGACAATTTTGATTAAAACTATGAAGTTACTCTTAATTCATATAAATTAAGAAACATGTAGAAAAATTGAAAATTGTCGGTACTCAACACATGCTGAAATTCATTTATAAAAATCAAATTTAAAATACATCCTAGTATAGTAGATGATCTAAAATTGAAGGATTTCTATATACACAAATTCTGGATACGTTTTTATTCCAAAGATACCAGATAGTTACTAAATCATCAATTAATACTTATAAATATAAAATAATTTAAGAAATAAAATTACATAGTTTTCCCCAAAATAAGTTGCATGTGTGACATAATTTCTTCCCTACTTTTAGCAAACACATCCATAAACATTTTCTTAGACCCATCTAAAACATAATTTATAAAATTATTTATAAGATAAAAATTAAAGTAGAGCTAAAATTATTATTATTAAGGACTTCAAGTTTATACACAATGGTTGGTCATTATATAAAAATCCTAATCAATTAAAAAATCAGGGCATATATTTTGAATCAACAAAAATTGATTACCTAAATAAAACATTATGAAAGGTGTTGGGGTCATGTTTTCAACCTTAACAATTTGAACTAATCGATTTTTGTGTTGAATTTGAGGTACATCCCAAAATATTACATCTCTTTAAAATGTGTATCATTTTTATAAATATTAATGATTATTTTACCTAATACCTTTATGATATAATTTTGAATCAGAATTTTCATCATTGTAATGCATGAGCATAATCTTTACATAATCTTTAAATATAATTGTTCCAGCTTCTAAATATTTCATGGTTCTCCTAACCGGAGCTGGTCCTTTCATCAAAGGCATGTCAAAATATTTTTTCACTTATTTATCTTATCTTATCTAGCACTTTGGACATAGACCTGCCCAAAATGAGCAAACGTGAATTTTTAGATGGTCAAGATATATTGGGCCCACCCTTCATAAATTATGCCGATTATTTTCTAAAGGATATCAACAAACCTTGTACCCAGTTGTAACTTAACAAAAATGAGTGGAACATATCCTTTCCAATTTTGTAATAGTGAGATGTCTTGTCTTGTCTTGTCCTTCACTGGGGAAACACACAATTAAGTGGCTTCCACCACCCAAAAGATGTGGTATTTAGTATTATAAAAGAAAATATAAATTTAGTAATATGACCTTTTTTGAATCCATAGAATAATCTATCAATAATTTAGAGTGAATTAATAATATATAGCAGTTTTCATTTCATTGTTAATTTTAATTCATTGAGTCTAGAAATAAACAAATGATTAAATAAAATTAAATACTAATTCAAAAAACAGTACAACCACTTATCGATAATACTAGATCAATTAATAACATTTGTTGAGTCTTTCAAAAAATATTGCACCTGATGAACAGCACCCATTAAAAATAAAAAATATTAGTGAATCAAAAACCTAAATGGAGGTTTGGGGTAATGATGTTATTTCAGGGGCATGGCCAGCCTTTAAAATCTCAGGGGGCTCAATTAAAAAATTTTTTACGGGGGGGGGGGGGGGGCTGGGATTATGGGGGGCTTGGTTTTATATTAATATATTATACATTATTAAAATTTTCTGACTCTAAACAATTAATCTGCATTTCATATTTTGTCATTTATTACATTATGCATACAAAATAAACTAGCATATAAATAATTAAAACAATACAAGACATTTCTAAAAAAAATATTTTTTAATACCAAATCTAATTATTACAGTATAAAATATTAACTATTTCTGATATATAAAATTTTAAGTCTAAGGAATTAGTAGTGATAGAAAAGGTTATTTAATATATGCCTATATTGATAATGGTTTTTAAAAACCACATAAGGCAATATAATTCTTAGCAACTTACATTCACAAAAGGTCAAGAAATTAATATAACTATCTGTTACTATTTTGACGATGTTATATAGAGTGGACTAATAAGGAAAAATATTTAGGCCTAACCAAATAATTCTTGTAGAAGAGAATATAAACGACCAATCCAAATCATAAAACTATATTGTGGTTAGTGCTTCCTTTTAGATAACATAATTTTCTCGATAAGTAATCCAGAAAATTATTGTGAGATATTAAATTTTTAAAAGAATATCTTCCATTTTTAATGATATATAAATGACTACACAGTTGACCATTATTGCTTATCTAAAATGTTAAGGTGGGCAGGGAATAGTCAAATAGAATATTTATTAATTTAATTTGTCTAAAAAATATCTCTATATCACTATAAATTATATGTATATATATACTTTTACAATCAATCAAGTTTTTAATCTTGTGTCATGTCATGTGAATGAAATAATATAATTGTGTTAAATGTTAATAGATAATCATTTTATAAATTACAACGAAAGAATGAAATAAATTGCAATTTATGCTAAACAACATCTAGTATAAATAAAATAACTATAAATATAAATCCATATTTAACATAAAATATGCTATCATTATCTCTCAACAGCTGTGTCTTAATAATCTTAAATTACATAGCCACACAAATAATAGATGCTGGTAAATTTTCAGGGGAGATGATAGATGACGCAAATAAAGAATAATTGCGCTAAAAAGAATCGGTAGTAAATAAGAATATGTAAGTCTGATTTCGTTTGCTTTAGAATAAATAATTATGATATCTATAATAATAAAAATGCGATTAAATTTATTCTTTTATTAGTGTTTAAATAAAACGCAAATATATATATATATCAAGTCGTTAAAAAAGTAATATTTATTAACAAGTAAAATTATCGCGTACTTCGAAAGTCAAAAACTTCGGAATATATATATCTAGTAAATCAATTTAAGGTAAATCAATTGTTGGTTTGAGGCTTCGTATGTAGAAATAAAATAATATATTATTTAGTGAATGTTTTTGTATATGTAAATAGTCATAGTTTAAAGCTTCATTTGACTCTGTATATTATGATATGCAACAATAGGGGAGATGATAGACTTACGCCAAATGGCGTATTAGCAAGAAATAAAAGTTATGTTTTTTCTTATATACGCATTTTCCGAATCGATAAAAAAGTTACGAAAATTTAACAAATCATTTAAAATTTGTATTTATAATAAAATGGATGTATAAATAATATCGTGGACGAAATTTAGTAAACTATAAAGCAATATAAAAATTTAAAATACATTAATCTTTATATATCAGATTTTAGAATGTCACCAAAAAGTACTACCATAGTAATACCTTACTTATTTCCCAATATTTAGTAAACTATAAAGCAATATAAAAATTTAAAATACATAAATCTTTATATATCAGATTTTAGAATGTCACCAAAAAGTACTACCATAGTAATACCTTAAATATGAAAGAAGGAGATATATTTTTATCCTATAAAGATTTACAAGATGCTATAAAGCAATATGAAAATTTAAATTACATAAATCTTTATATATCAGATTCAAAAATTTTAAAATCACCTCTTTTTGAAAAATTTAGATATAAAAGCATAAAATTTCTTTGTATATTTGGTGTAAAGTACAATACAAAATCCACAGGTCTACGCAATTACATGTCTATAAAACAAGGATGTCAACAAATTATTTGTCAAGGATATGCATGAAAATCACAATCATCCCCATGGTAAAGGCACATAATCTTGAAATTATTAAGATAAATATATAATTTAACTTAGTGATATGGATACTGGATAGGCTTATAGGGTTAATTTATTAAATATTGATAGAATATATATGAGATTAGATGAAAATTTATACCAATCATTACCCAGACAAAGAACGCTTAATGAAGCACAGTATAAATTTGTAGTTGAAGCTATAACTACAGGAGGAAACAAATCCAAAATAAAAGATAAACTATTTTCTGAAGGAAAGCTTATAACCCTAAGAGATTTGCATAATATAGACAAAAATACAAAAAAATCTTATGATAATGATTTAATTACAATGATAGATAAAGTTAAAGAAGATAATGATGCTAATATGGAATTATATACTGTAGATGGGAATCTAATTGGTATATATTATCAAACTCATCAAATGCAGTATATTTTTTCAAAATATCCTGAAGTAATATGTGTGGATGCAACATATCGATTAAATAATAGGCATATGCCTGTGTATATTTTGGTATCAATTGATGGAAATAATAGATCACATATTATATGTGTATGGATTGTCAAATCGGAGTCATTTGATGTAGCATCACAAATGCTTCAAATTTTAAAAAAACTGAATTCAGCTTGGACAGATATAAAGGTCATTGTTAGTGATAAAGATTGTGCTGGGAGAAAAGCTTACATTGGGGCATTCCCTCATGTTCAATTGGAATTATGTAGGAAACATGTAACCAGAGCTTGGGATAGGGAAGTTACCCACAAAAAAAGGAATATTCCTAATGATATGATTAATAATGTGAAGCATCTGTTGTATAGCATGCTAGATGCACAGTCTTCTGACATATATTTTGAAAATTATAACTAATTTAAATTTAGAATCATTAAATAACTATTTTTCTGGCTGGCATCATATCAGATATGAATGGTCAGATGCTTGGAAAAGATATCATTTAAACTTTAAACAATATACAAATAACAGGGTAGAGAGCATTAACAAATATTTAAAAATTAACATAACCAAATACTCTACCCTTCCAAATATGTTTACTGATTTAATTATGTCAATTAAAATGTTAAGTGCTGAAAGGGAACATGATAATTTAATGAAAAAAATTAAAATCTCATTTATAAATGAGGAAGATCAAACATTGGCTAATTATAGAAAATTGTTAACAGAATATGCATATAAAGAGTTAAAATATGAATATAATGTTGGTGATAACTGCAATCTTGTTTGCCAATCAAATATGTTTTATTGTGATTGCCCCTTTTTTTTAAATATGCAATTACCATGCAGACATGTATTTATGGAAAGGAAAAAAAATAATAGTGATCTTTATGATGAAAAATTATGTCATCAAAGGTGGCACAAAAATTATTTTAAAAATCCATCGACATTTATCAATAATAATAATATAGATATATTAAATAACAAAAAGGGGGTTAAATACAAAAAAACCATTTTTAATGACCAAATTTCATCCTATAATTATTTTAAAAATCAAAATATGCTTTTTCACACCATATCATTATTACCACCTAATTTGAAACATGGGTTTGCTCAGGCTTTTGACAAACTACATGATTTTGCTATGAAAGGCATATTACCAATTATTTCCTCAAATAATTTCAATACAAGTTCAAATGAAAATAATGGTCAGATATTCTCCAATGATAGTATAGCAAATGTATTAAATGAGGATCTTACACACTCAAACGTGGATCCTAATATACAGTAAAATAAAAATAATGTCCCAATTTTTTTAAAAAAAGATGTTTATAATAGTCAAGAAAATGAATGTATAAATAATATCATAAAAGAAATTCAATTACCTAAGAAATTAAATAAAAGCGGGAGACCATTAGGATTTACAATATTGGATTCACAAAAAAGTACATTGACTTTATTTATTGTTAATAGTATATTATATAGAAAAGGCATACAAATCCAAAGAAAATCATATAGATAAAAAGTTAAAATTTCAACAAGACCTTAATTCCCAAAACTTTGTTGACCCAAAAATAGTTGATACCAAAGGTAAATTGTTGATAAAGACAAATTTTTAAACTTTTTTAGATTATAAAAAATCTTCTTTACACCTTTTGAAGGATCTTCAAGTGGACTTAGTAGACTTTGTATACTCAGACTCAAAGTTCAAAAATTGTAATTTTATAATTATATACAGTTAATTGTAATTCTTAAATATCATGATTAATTTAATTTTTTTAAATATTTAAAGCCATAGATGACCCACTCGTTAAAATCATTCAACATACATTTAAACATTTTTATAATCCAACTACCAATATTTGGAGGAAATATCATGCTACTCGCTTAAATTTAGCTTCAGCAAAAAAGAAAGTCTCTCAAAATATAGGAAGGGTGCTAACTGCTCCATCACGATTGGAAACAATTGAGCTAGATGGGAATTGTTTTTACCGGTAATTTAAAAATTTAAAAATAATTTTGGTTGTATTTTTTTTACTAATATACATAGAATATGGTTTTGTTTCTTTCTTTACCTTAAATTTTAATGATTATATCCTATATTAATTCATAATATTATTTTTTTAAAACACTGATAGGTTTTTAGAAACAGTAACATAATTAAATTTTTTAAAAAATAATTAGATGTATAAGTATGGAGATAACAGGAAAACAAGACTCCTATGGTTTGATTAGATCACATATGGTCTTGCTGATGCTGCAAAAAATAATGATAAAAAATATATTAGATTATACTCAAGGTCAAAATACGTGTGAAGATGATGTGCAACAGTATATAATAGAAAAGGCAAGTAAGAATGGTGAATGGGCAACGGATATTGAATTGCGAAGTGTTGCCACACTTCTCAATACCCCGATATTGGTGTATGCTAGGTATGGAGCTTCATTTTGCTGGCAAATGTATCCACCATTTAAATATGATGATGGAAATATAAAAAAATTTGACCAAAACATTTATATTAACAATTCTGAATCCCATTTTGTAAATGTTATTGATTTTGAAGATTAATTACAAATGTTGATATTTTATATTTTTTACCAAAAGTATTTTAGTTGATTGTATTTGTCTTGTTTTTATGCATATTTTTTTTTATTTATCCTATTTTAACATATTATAAATAGATATATAGACTATAAAAGATAACTTTTTTAATCATACCATTTTTATATACATTTCATTACAACACCAACACCATATAATCATCCCAATTATTATTTTACTTTGATTAATTTGTATTGCTAATACAATTTTTACATTCTAAAAATAAATTTGGAGATTTTTTTAAAATCTGAATTAATCCTCTTTTTTTTAAATCATCAACTCAAAAATGACTATATAAAAAATTTAGTATATAACATGAATATCATTTTTTTAAATAAAAAAAATTGCCACCAAATAAGTTTTAATAAAGTGTTAACACTATCGGGGGGGGGGGGGGGGGGATTATTTTTATTTTTTATGTTTTTTTTAAATTTTTTATTTTTGCCTATAAATTTTTTATGGTAAAATATAGGAATTATTAATTGCGCATATTTAAGTTATATTTAGGAGAATTTTGCATACAAATTTAATTTTTTTTGTGGTAAAATATTTAAGTTATTTTTTGGAGAATTTTTCCTACAAATTTATTTTTTTTGTGGTAAAATATAGGAATTATTAATTCCGCATATTTTAGGTGAATTTTGCCTACAAATTTAATTTTTTTTGTGGTAAAATATTTAAGTTATTTTTAGGAGATTTTGCATACAAATTTAATTTTTTTTGTGGTAAAATATTTAAGTTATTTTTAGGAGAATTTTGCCTACAAATTTAATTTTTTATTTAAATCTAATTTTTATTAATTTTGCATTAGGGATAAAATAGACCCCACCTTTGAAGTTTAAGTGATTTTTAACATTTCTAGTGAAGGGTTAAATCGAAATATAGTATTAAATGACGCAATTAAATATAGTATTATAATTTATACACGAAATATAGTATTAAATAAATTTTATTCATTAAATTGAAATATATTATTGAAGTTAATACAATCATTTATAAAATGATTAAAAATGTCCAATCATAAATTTTTAAAATTAAATTAATTTAGGCAAATTAATTAAGAACATTATGGGAGCTCATTAAGAGAAATTTATTTTTTAAACTCTATTTAAAAAAATAATATCAAAAGATATAATTTATAAATTTCAACAAATTCAATAAAAAAATTTATATAAAAAATGAGTAATTGTTTGTAAATTTGAAGCTTGCTAGGGATTGTTGTGTGTCAATTTTATAGAATAAGTCATCACAAGGTAAGATCTTTAATGTTTCCAAGTAACCTTTAAAATAAAACATACATTATAATTTATAAATTTCAACATAAATTCAATAATATAAAAAATGAGCAATTGTTTGTAGATTTGAAGCTTGTTAGGGATTGTTGTGTGTCAATTTTATAGAATAAGTCATCACAAGGTAAGAACTTTAATGTTCCCAGGTAACCTTTAAAATAAGACATACAATATAATTTATAAATTTCAACATAAATTCAATAAAAAAATTTATATAAAAAATGAGAAATTGTTTGTAAATTTGAAGCGCAAGGTAAGATTTATTCTTTACTCAATCATTCTAAATTTCCTAATTCATAGCAATCTTAAAATTTATGTAATTTAAATTTTTATATTGCTTTCTAGTTTACTAAATATTGGGAAATAAGTAAGGTATTACTATGGTAGTACTTTTTGGTGACATTCTAAAATCTGATATATAAAGATTTATGTATTTTAAAAAGGTATTACTATGGTAGTACATTTTGGTGACATTCTAAAATCTTATGTATTTTAAATTTTTATATTGCTTTATAGTTTACTAAATATTGGGATATAAGTAAGGTAGGGGAGACCGGGGTTATATTGTCCATAAAAAATTGAGAGGCTGTGAAAAGGAGGAGAAATAATTTATCAAAATAATTTTGATGTTATTTTATTCTTTATATAATTATCTACGGTAGAAATTAATATCTAATAAAAAAATATTATATATTTTTTTAAATTTAAATTTAAAAAAAATGAAAATTTTTGAGTCATGAAAAAGAGATGGGGGATGTATTATCCTTTTGTGGGGCATGTTTTAGACTATGATTTTCTAAGCATTTTATTCATATAAAAATCATAACAAACATATAATATTAACATACAACACATTTATTACATATAAAAAATGGATTAAAATCACAACATGATCCATGTGCCCATAAATGACAATCCAATCTTCATTATGGTGGTGAGTTTGATAGTTTTTGTGGCACACTAAACAAAATTCTTTTTTGCCAGCATTCATATTTAAACTTTTTTTATTATTGGTTTGATTTTTTTTTTCAGATTATTAGCCCTAGATCTGGCTATTTTTTTGTAAGGTGAAGAGGGGAGGGAGAGTCAATAGAACTATACCACTGTCAGAGCCCAGCTCAATGACTTCAATAGATTGGTGAGATTTATGATTATCTAATATAAGCAAAACTTTTTTATCTTGACTGGGCTTAGTGTATTTTATAAAATGATTTTAAAAATATATAAAATCTTCAGCCAGCATCCACCCAGAACCATTAGACACGCCAATGCATCCTACAGGGCCATCTCTTAAATAATGATCATAAAATTTTTTCCTGGGATATATAAACATAGGTGGAATAGAATTTTCTAGAGCATTGACAGCAATTGCCAAGGTCATAAGTGTAACACATTCTGATGTAGTAATTGCCACAACCTGTTTTTCGCCTTTCCTTGCAATAACTTTATTAGGCCGTTGAACTGTTGTTAATCCTATGAAAATATTAAAGATTTGCTATCATATATATTTTAATTAACCAGTTTCATCCATATTATATATATCACATGGTAGAAAGTTATTTTCCCTTGTGACAGTCAAATAATTATTAAAAAATAAATCAACCATTTTCATATTAAAATTGGTAGCCCTGGCTATACTTGTAGCCTCTGGTGTTCTCAAAGAAATAGTTGGATTTCTTTTAATAAATGCTCCAACCCAGTCTTCACCAGCTGATTGAGTTATTTCCCAAGATTTTGGTATTGTAAACTATACCTCTTGGCCATTTGTTAAGCTAAAACTCTAACCTAAATTTAAACATAAGTCATTAAATTATTTATATATTAAGGCAATCTAATTAAAATCCTAATTCTTAAATTTTATTCTGAATTTATTTAATAATTAATATAATAAAATATATCATACATAATTAAACCTCTAATGTATAGGTAAGAACCAAAATATGTTTTAATGCATGATATAATTTAATGCTAAACCAATGAATAAATCATTTTAAAATTAATATACATGGCAGCATCATTTTATTTTAAATATATATCATACACACATAATTAAATCTTTAATATATAGGTAAGATATGATTTAATGCATGATATAATATATATAATGCTACATTGAATAAATCATTTTAAAATTAATATTAATACATGGCAGCATCATTTTAAAATTAATATATATAGATGGCAGCATCATTTTATACATAAATGGCAGCAACATTTTATTTACATATATATCATACACACTTAAATAAATATCATTCTAATGTATAAGTTAAATTCTTACTTTAAAGTATTTTAAAATTAATAAAGATGTTTCATTAACATATAATGTAAATAATTTTAAAAAATTTTCTCAAATTTATTATTATTTAATTAAAAAAATACCATGGCATAAATTTAAAGATTATAAAAAAAATCATTTTACAGAGATATATGATATAACAAAGGATTAAAATACTTGATTAGGGCATAATCCTGAAAATAATCTTGATCCTTTAATTAAATAATCTGTTAATTTAGCTTCTTGAATAGGAGAAAATACTGATCTGTGAATATATCGCTCTTGAAAATCTTCATTTCTTTTGAACAATTTATTATACCTCTAATGCTTAGTTTCTTAAATATATACTAATTTAAATATATAAATATACTTCCCATAACTTAAATTCGTATTCATGGTTATAACTGTCAAAGGTATCTTATATTTCAGCATTTGAAGAATACTTGACTTTTGATTATCATTATTTTCTTTGTTAGTTTTTCTAATATATGTTCGAACCATTTTACAAAAACAGAACCAATATTTTAATGAATGTATGTAAAAGGAAAAGACGCACCCCGCTAATACCTTCCCCAGGTCCACAGGATCATTTAAAAATTAAATTTAGAATATTAAATTAACATAATGATTGTCAATATTTTTATATATGATAAAATGGAGATTTTTTTATCATTTAGAATTTATATTAAGTCTGAACAACTTTTATAAAAAAAGTTATTCGTGAAAATGTAAAATTTAAAAAAGTTACTTTGGGTATGTTGAAACTTAAATTTGCATTTAAAATTTTTCATGAGCAATTTTGTCCGAAACAATTTTGGACCTACTTAAGCACCTTATTATAATACATATTTGGCTTAAATTACAAATCTTAAACTTTATTAATTTTTAAATTATTTGAGAAGGAAATACCTACCCCGGGAACACACTATCCCCGGTCTCCCCTATTACTATTAGTACTTTTTGATATTCTAAAATCTGATATATAAAGATTTATGTATTTTAAAAAGGTATTACTATGGTAGTACTTTTTGGTGACATACTAAAATCTGATATATAAAGATTTATGTATTTTAAAAAGGTATTACTATGGTAGTACTTTTTGGTGACAAGATTTATGTATTTTAAATTTTTATATTGCTTTATAGTTTACTAAATATTGGGAAATAAGTAAGGTATTATTTTTGGTGACATTCTAAAATCTGATATATAAAGATTAATGTATTTAAAATTTTTATATTGCTTTATAGTTTACTAAATTTCGTCCACGATATTATTTATACATCCATTTTATTATAAATACAAATTTTAAATGATTCGTTAAATTTTCGTAACTTTTTTATCGATTCGGAAAATGCGTATAAATAAGAAAAAACTTTTTATTTCTTGCTAATACGCCATTTAGCGTAAGTCTATCATCTCCCCAACAATAGACTTATGCCAAATGGCCTATTAGCAAGAAATAAAAGCTATATTCTTTCTTATTTATACGAATTTTCCGAATCGATAAAAAGCTCCAAAGTTATATAAACGAAGTTAATTGCGCAATATTTTTAGGTCAAGAAAATGGATGTATAAATAATATCGTGAAAGAAATTCAATTACCTCAGAAATTAAAATTAGGATATACAGACCAAAGGTATATTGTTGATATAGACAAATTTATAAACCTTTTTAATTAGATGATAAAAAAATCTTCTTTACACCTTTTGAAGGATCTTAAGTGGACCTAGTAGACTGTACACTCAGACTCAGGAAGGGTGCTATGTGTTCCATCATCGATGGAAACAATTGAACCAGATGGGAATTGTTTTTACTAAAAATTTACCTGATTATATAGGTTCATATTTTATAAATTATGGTTGTATTTTTACTAATATTCATAGGATATGGTTTTGTTTCTTTCTTTACCTTAAATTTTAATGATTATATCCTATATTAATTCAAAACATTATTTTTTTTAAAGCATGATTGGTTTTTAGATAGTAACATTTAATTTTTTTAAAAAAATAATTAGATCTATTAGTATGGAGATTACAGGAAAACAAGACTACTATGGTTTGATTAGATCAGATATGGTCTTGCTGAGGTTGCAAAAAAATATATATTAGATTATCCTTAAGGTCAAAATACATATGAATATTATGTGCAACAGCATATAATAGAAAAGGCAAATAAGAATCATGAATGGGTAATGATGCTAAGTGTTGCCACATTTCTCAATACCCCGATAATGTCTCGTATATTTCATGAAATATTTATCCACATTATCTCTGATGTTTGTTAATATTTTAACATTATCCTTTGCCCTATTCATAACTACCTTAAATCCAAATCAATTTTTTGTTGCAATTTGCTAAAAGCATATGTATAATTAAATAAAAAATATACACATTGAATTGATATTAAAAAATGTGGCTTTGTAATAGCCTGCAAAAGATTTTCAGCATCTGCGAATCTTTTACTTTGTTTGATATGTAGGATTCTAGCGCTGCAAAAATAACTTCATATAATTCGATGAAAAGTCTCACTGATTGTTGTCTTTCAATAAATAGTTGGACAACATCTTTTTAGTCTTTTTTGATCATTTGAATCAATATCATTAAACGTTCGGATAAAAAGCTGCCTCTTTTGGGTGGTGTGCAAAAGTCACAAACCGACGATATTGTTTCTAAATTTTAAAAATATATTAGAATTATAAGAAGATATCTACTTAATAAATTCCAATTAAATTAAAATATTTTTACGTAAACCGTTCCGGATGTCGCGAATTTCGCATGTCTCATATATCATCAAATATAGGCAATGTGAACTACAGTGAGAACAGTTCTATAAAGCTTTCTAATTCTTGACTGCACCCCTTTAACGTGACCACTCATCGAGAGAGCTCGCTCTATTATATTCTTGGTCTCTCATTAGATTTAAATTTAAATCTAGGTCTTGAATGTATGCTAAAATTTTTTGGCTATCATCTTTGATTTAGTGTCATGTAAGTCAGTAAATTGAACAAAGTGTTCCTTCATTTTGAAATCACCTGATTTTAAATCATAAACCTTACTGCTATGGATAATTGCTCTATGTTACCAACATCCGAAGTCTCATCCGCCAAAACACTAAAAAATGTGATGCATTCACTTTTGAAGAAATTTCTTTCAATATGAACCTAACGGCTAATAATTCATTTTGAATATTTGGACTAAGGTAGGTGGCATTTTTAGCAGAGCTTTCAAAAAGCTTTATATAGTTATCATTATTATTACATAAGGCTAGCAGATATTCTATGAGCTCTTAATGCTAAGCCCTGCCTTCCTAACCAAATGATTGCATCAATTATTATAATTATTCTTGCTCTGTTGGTTGTAACAATATTAAATTTTTTTTTTATTCAATAAATATTAATGTTTATTTTCATTATGGCGATTAAAATTATATAAAATATATTCTAATCATCATGTGAGATGAGGCTGCCAATGAAGCTGATGTAATTGGCCCTGTGAATTGCTATTGGGAGTCTTTGTCTTAATAAGAAGCCTTCACGAGGTTCATCAGTTAGTTTGCGGATTAGCGATCCAAGTTCCTTGAAGAAAGAAAGAGCACGATTCCCAAAGGTAGTCAAGGTAGTGGAAATGATGGGAATGAATAAATGATCTTGGGATATCTCTGAATATTTTGCAATTTTTAGAAGCTCCTTGTTTTCCAGAATGTTAAGGGATTGATTGGAAGGAGCCAATGGATCAATACAAGAGTAATCCCAGACCAAGAATTGACCTCGCTTCCAGGGAATTTGAGAGATCCCGTCAGGGCGTTTCCCATCAGATCTGAAAAGACCAGAGGGTTCGAGAATAGAAGGAATTTGAGCGGATCTCAGAGCTCTAAGAATTATAGAATTGCAAATGTTATGTCTAACGATGCGGCCTTTACATGAAAGACAATGTAGACTATGCCTTCCATTTCTCAAAACAGCAGAACTGCAGCCGGCACAGATGTGGGGTTGGGTTACTAAGCAATTTAAACGGATGCCTATAGCATGAGTTAGCTCATTTTGGGTCAATTGTAATTGTAAGTTCGCGGATGGAATGGCTTTGAGAAACTCATGTCCAGAACCATTAAGCAGAGAGGAGAATAAGGGACGGTCCAATGATTGCATTCTGGAAAGGAGAGATTCGACGCAGCTTGCAATAATGGGCTTATCCCAGTCCTTCTGCTTGTTCGTTTCTGGAATTAGGTGGTCGGCAATGAATCGAGATTTCCATTCAATGATGGCACTATCAAAGGAAGGATCAGAATTTAAGGTATTAGGATTGACTAAATTTTTGGTTAAAAGACAGCTCGATATAAAGGCAGTTAAGGCAAGATCGGAAGGGGATCTGATGCCTAGTCCTCCCATCTTGGTAGGAAGGGTGGCTTGTGTCCACGCTAATTAATGGAATTTTAGATTAAGGATACTTTCAATTAGGACTTAATCCCATTTTCATAGATGCCTAAGGAAGTCGGAAATTTAAAAATAGGGGTAGAGCGGAGCGCGTAAAGAATTTTTGGGATATTGAAGAAATTTTTCAGGAGAAAAAAGGCTTTAAGAGAGGGAGAAGGGAAAATAGGTCAGCCAACTCATTAAGGGTTTCGAGTGTTAGATATTGATATTTTTTGATTCTTAGAGATGGCTTTTAAAGCAACCGATATCTCACAAGAATTGAGACCGTAAATATTTTAGTTCATATAATTTTTATATATTTTTAAACCATGTGATTATTTAAAATTGAATGTTTTTTAACCCTGTATTGCATACTGTGTATCTCATTCCACATACCACAAATTATATAATAAATATCTTATAAATAAATTGTAGGGTGTGTATTTGAAGCCACAATCCATATCTTCGATTCGGATGTTAATTTGGGCCACGTGATCTATTATTTATTTTTATCTTTCGCATTTTATTAAACCCTATTTTTAAAAATGGCTATTTTTTTATAAAATTTTTCTTCTCAATTTTCTACACATCGGAAAAGGATAAATAATATATTTTACAAATTTCAAAACATTAAAATTAGATAAATAAAAGGTAAAAATAAATGTTTATGAAATTATTTTATATATATTTATTATTTTTGATAATTATATTTTGTAATAATCATACGTGGTTTTAAAGACACATTATGCAAATAAGGTATTTTATTTGAGTTTTATATTTTTAGAATTACGAATTGTGATAACATACCTAACGATAGTGAAGATTCAAATTTAAGTGAAACGTCTGATTTTGAGTTTCTATCAACACAAAATAATGATTTAGGTATATTTAAAATTTATGCTCTTATATAATCTATAAATATCTAGATTTCAATGAGACAGATGAATCGGAAGAAGAAAATATCAATAATGAAAAAGAAATCGTTAGAAGAAAAATGGTTTGGAAAATTTGCTTAACAAATTTACCGTTAATTATTCCAAAGTGGAAAGGAGAAATTCCAACGGTTGATAAAGTTAAAAAACCAATGGATTATTTTAACATATATCTCAATGAATTAATACCTCTTATTGTTTACGAATCAAATTTATATGTCATTCAATGCAATTCCAATAAACCTTTGAATTTATCGAGAGATGAATTAGAAAAATTTATAGGAATTATTTTTTATGTCAATTATTAAACTTCTTATAGCACGTCTGTACTGGGCCACTAATACAAGACAGGCCAAGGTGGCAGATGTCATGACCCTTAATCGCTGGGAACAAATAAAATCATTCATTCATATAAATGATAATGACAAATTTATTCCACTTGGAAGTGAAGGCCATGACCCACTTCATAAAATTAGACCCCTAATAACTCTAACCAATAATATACTAAAATCTTTATCGATAGGCGAAAACATTTGCGTAGATGAGCAAATTATTCCATACAAAGGGATGAGCAGGTTGAAGCAATATAACCCTCAAAAGCCCCAAAAATGGGGGTATAAAGCCTTTCTACTATGCGGAGATGATGGCCTTCTGCATAATTTTGAAGTATATTCTGGGAAGATACTACCAGCGGAAGGATTGCCTGATGTTGGAGCAAGTGGCAATGCTGTGCTTCGTTTATTTTCTTATATACCGCAGCAAATTAATTATAAATTATTTTTTGATAACTGGTTATGTTCCCCAAATTTACTAGTCGTACTCGCTCAAAGAGGGATATTTTTCGTGGCCACGGTCAGAGGTAATCGACTTCCAAATATAAACTTCCCAACAGATAAGGAGTTAAAAAAAAGGCGAGGATTTTTTGTTTAAAAAAAACAATAATAAACGGAGTGGAGCTAAATTCAGTGAAGTGGCACGACAATCGTGCTGTGACTTTATTAAGCACTTTTGTAGGTGCACATCCTCTAATAGACTGTGAAAGATGTGATAGGAAAAAAAAGGATAAAATCATGATAAAATGTCCAAATATTGTTAAAATTTATAAAAAAATGGGAGGTGTAGATGTCATGGATTCTTTACTTTCCTTATATAGAATTCATACGAAATCAAGAAAATGATATCATAGAATTCTATTTCATATATTTGACATGTTACTATAAATTCATGGTTGCTATATAAACGTGATTGTAATAGTATATCAATAGCACGCAAGGATCGATTAAGTTTGTACAATTTCAAAATTTCGGTGGCGGAAGTCCTTTGCAAATATGGCAAATGCACTTCAAACAATATACCAAAACGAATCAGTTCAAATTGGTTATCGGGAAAAATGTAAAAAAGGACCAGCCCAATATTTACCAAATGAAGAGGTTAGGAAAGACCTCACGGCTCATTGGCCCAAATATAATGTTAAGAAGGGTAGATGTAAAATGCCAGGATGCTTATTTATAACAAAAGTATCTTGCAAAAAATGCGGTGTATATTTATGTTTTACGCCCACAAATAATTATTTTTTAGATTTTCATGAAAATTAAAATGTTTAATTTTTTAATATTTGTTATATTTAAATAAAATTATATATATTTATAGTATAGAGTACAATAAAAATTATTGTGGAAAAAATTGAAATTTGTATCCTTAATTGCATAATGTGTATTTTAATCCACATACCGTTCATCTTCTAAGAAATTTAGAATTTTTTTTAAAAGAGTGAGCCATGAGATTATCAATAGTATCGAGAGAAATAAAAAATCTAGTTTGCCAAAAAAAAATTATTCTAACATAGTACATGCATTTTGATATCGTATATAGTATTTTATTTCTAAATTGAAACCGTTTAAATGAAATTATTCACAATATAAAAAAAAATTTTAAATGAAATTATTCACAATAATGATCTGCATCGGGCCTAATTTTTCAAGCCCGACCCGGCCCGAAATTTTTTAAAAAAGTTTTACCGGCCGGGCCCGAACCCGAAATTTTTTTTAAAAAAATTTATGGACCCGGCCCTGTCCGAATTTATTGAAATATAGAAATTAATTTATATAATAACTCAATATAAAATTGATACATTTAGATATATTTTAAAAAATTTCCAAGGTCCGACCTGACCCGGCCCAAATTTTTTTTTAAATATTAGACCCGGCCCGGCCTTATATTTTAAATAAAAGGGCCTAACTTTGCAGATTTCTAATATAAGTATCATATAACTTGGGTTATTAATTATAACAAAATATTCATGTGTTTTAGAGGTAGGCGCAAACCAGCCCAAACCGGTCAGTTGACATTTGTAAAAAGGTTATTTGCCCTGGCCCATAAAATAATTTTGTAAAAGTTGTCTAACCGGCCCATAATAAGAACATGTAAGCTTTTAAAAGCTTGCGGACTTCAGATATGAACCGTAAAAATATTTCACACCGGTTGTCCGGCATAGACAGTAAATATCGCTTCCAGGCCTAGTCCGTGGGTCGAATACTAGTTTCAATAGATGCTCTCAAGTATTAAATTAAATATTTTCTAAATGGTTGTTAATTAATATAGCGTCTGCAGCATTCAATATAAAGAAAGAGACTGAGATTTACTTTCGTTGATACCAAGACTTGAAATCGGTAGTAAAGGAATTTTCATTTCCTTTTCTCTATCATAAAAATTGGCTCGCCGGAGATAAAATGTGGACAACCGAACCTATGAATATAATTTATTCTTATAATTTTGAAATAGTTGCATCGTTATGAAATGATTATTTATTATTGTTTAGATAACAAAACATATGTATCTTTTATAAAATATACTCATAAATAAAGAATTTTAACCGGGATAACGGGTCCCAGTTCAGATATTTTTAAAAAGAATTCGTTCTTGTTCCGTATCCTAATCTTTTAAGAGGTTTTAGTTCTAAATTTTGATAATAAGCAAAAACGAAGAAAAACACTAAATTACACAAAATTTAAAATATTATATATATGAATTAATTTTCCCAGTATTTCAATCTTATTTTATTATAATAGGTTTAAAAATATATCTTTAGAAGACCTTAAACAATTAAATGTTTATATAATCTAATATACTCTTGTCATCTTAAGCATCTATTGAATGGATGTTCACTTCAGCAAAGGAAGTGCCGAAATTTTTTTTATCGATTAAAAACTTTGAAATAAAATAATTTTATCTTTGAAAACGTGTTATTTATGTCAACCTTAATCTGTGTGCAAAATAATAAAAAAATTAATTCGAAAATGTTTAAAACTGAATCGAATAACAGGTTATAATATAGCTCAAACTGTATTTTTCGGTGCCCGAGTCCAAATTTAAAAAAATTTGTCCGAGCTCAACCGAAGCACAAATTTTTTATTTCAGCCCGACTAAAAAAAATTAGGAATTTGAGTTTAAGAATTATAATGGGAAAAATATAAAATGAATTTATTTTTAAATTCATTCTATAAAAAATTTTATAAGAAAAATCTGAGACTATTTAATTGAATTAGTTAAACGGAAATATTTCATAACTGTTATAATAGAATATTCTAAATTTTATATTGACTAAATTTAGAATATAATATATATTTTAGTGATCTGCATCGGGCCTAATTTTTCAAACCCGGCCCGGCCCGAAATATTTTTAAAATAGTTTTGCCGGCCCGGCCCGAACCCAAAATTTTTTAAAATGTTTAGCCGGCCCGACCCGAAATTTATTTTAAAAAAATTTACCGGCCCGGCCAGGCCGGAATTTATTTAAATATAGAAATTAATTTTTATAATTACTTAAAATAAAAGACATATATTATATAGCGTTTAGTTTCAATAAATTAAATCAAAAAATTTTATTTTACATAAAAAATTCAATATAAAATTGATAAATTTAGATATATTTAATAAAATTTCCAAGGTCCCGGCCCGAATTTTTTTTAAAAATATTAGGCCCAGCCCGGCCCGATTATTTTAAATAGAATGGGCTTCGGGCCGGGCTCGGGCCGAACTTTGCAGATCTCTAATATATTTTATACATGATTGAATATGATATATGTAAGGATTAGAGTTTTAAGTAGTACAATACAAATCACAAAAAATTGTGATTCTGATTGACATTTCGATGAAACAAAATTATTATTAAAGATATCTCTTAATATTTAATTTTTGGGCCTCGAGTTGACATTTCGATGAAACAAAATTATTATTAAAGATATCTCTTAATATTTAATTTTCGGGCCTCGAGTGCGGCTGCTTCTTACAGCCCAACCCGAGCCTGAGAAACAGTCAATTTCTGAGCCTGAGAGTCGGGCTTCGGATAACCTATGCAGGGCTCTAGTGATAATCATTTTTATGGTCAAAATTTATTTTCTAAATTTTAATTTTCAAAATTTTACCTTTAGGTTTCCTTAAAGTTTCAAACTTTTTGAAACATGTTTTGGAAAATTAAATATATTTAAAGCGAAGATTTAGATTTATTCATAACTAAAAATATAGTTCAATCAATATTTGTATATGCTGATGCGTCTTCGTAAGAGAAAAAAATTTGAGACAATATGCTTAGATTTGATTTAACCCCAAAATATATTTTCAGTTCTTACCCACTGAAATGAATGAGAAGGCAAAAGACCTCTACCCTTCCCCTTTCATGTTAGACACTGATTATACGAAAACATTATTTTATTTATTTACATAATAATTTTATAATATTTACAATTTATTTTGAGATAAAAAAAAATCATCTCGTAGCGGATAAATGTCTTAGCAATGGATTATAGTCATCAGGATATTTTTGGAAAAGTATTTCGCCCTTAATAGAACGGGAATTAAGATAAAAAATTTTGTCTCCAATTTGATAATTATCCGAGTCACCGTGAGTTTTTATTGATCGATATATAGCTTGGCACAAATTATCTCTCTCGGTAAAATTATTATGCTGATCGAAGATTAACTTAGAATTACATTCGTGAATCGATTTTAGGTTTAAAGTAACATCGGAATATATTTCATGGCTTTTTATATTAGAGAAGGGATTATCGGAGTGTGATTCAGTCGATTCGATTTCTTTGCTTGGCTTTTCATACTTATTACAAGAAGATATATCAGCCCAGCAAGGTAGTCTAGTGCTATAACTCCAATCCAAACCACTGTATTTGAAGCAATGTAAATACATGGGGAATTCGTTGGTATATTTAAAATCGAAGATTTGATCCCCAGAGGATAAAATATCATGAAATTTGGGATTAATATTCATTTTTTCGAACTCCTTAACACAATCAATGCATTCCGGGTCATACCATGGTGGGAAGATTGCAGACTCACCTGTACTATAAAATGATATTTGATCTCTTAAAGAATTATCAAAACTTTTTGTGTCATTTTTGACCAGTAAATTGTTGATTACTTTTACCCTACTTAATTTATCTTTACTGTTATCTTGGTTATTAGTAGCAACCGTTTTAGGTAACTCTATAGGGTCCTGGTTGCTACTTATAATTAAATCTTTTATTACATCGTCTAAAGGGCGCTTGTAATCACAAAATTTACCTTTGAAAGGTCCCCAGCCTAAGATTGTGTTATATAAGGGATCATTGATTATGGGATGTCCAAGATATTGTGCGTGTACCCTTATTTGATGAGTTCTCCCAGTTAAAGGTTGACATTTTAACAGACTCATAAATTTGATATTCTCTTCTATGCCGTGATAAAGATTCGTAAACTCATAAGATGGACAAGTATTATATGCTATGACTGCCAACCTTTCAAATTTAGTCGAGCATTCTTTGGCGCCTTCTATTTCTGCATTTTTAACAACTGCTGATATTCCAATTTTATAGGAGAAAATTTTAATAGGTTCTTTACAAATTGCAATGTTCCTACTCAAAAGATTAGCATTGATTATATAAATATGTAAACTTATCAAATATGCCTTCAACCAAACAAAGATATTCTTTTATGGCAGTTTTATTCAAAATATCACCTTGCATTTTATGAAAAGTCTCCAAATTTTTGGCAAATAATACTAACCCCGATGTTAGTCTATCGATTCTATGAATAGAATACAAGTTATTAATGTTATATTGCTTAGCTAATATACACATCAAGGAATTTAGTCTAAAGTTACCGCATGGATGTACCTGAATTATTCAAATAATATAGAATAAATGATATTATCTTAATTAAATCTTAGAGATTAGCATGCCCTAAACAAAAAAATCAAAATGAACGTCACTCAGACTTAGTACAAATTGATCGCTACCAATTAAATTGATAAATTATTCATATAGAGTAAAGATTTCTATTATTTATTCTAATTTGTGCTTAAAAAATACTTTTAAAAGTTTTTGATTAAATAATGTGCAATTATCTAACTTCTTTGAAATCACAACACTAATATCATCAAATTTCATAAAGATGAGATCAATATCAAAAGAGATTCGAGATGTTTGTTTGAAAAATTCTTAATGGAAAATAGAAGTATTGTTAAAATAACCAGTAATATTTTTATATAGAAAATAAGTTAATTAGTTACTTTTGGAAGTATATAATAAACTAAGTTATAATGCTCAATCTGTCATCCATTAATTTTGTTGGTTTCGAAGTAACCAAAAACTTTTTCTTCTATATAACAGTTATTTTCATAAATTATCATCTGATTCATATTGTGATTTGACACAATTTAACGGCTGATCGATTTTTAAAATCTGCTTATGAAATTAATTTTTCTTTATTATAAATTTTATTAAATCATGTCGAATTCTACTGAAAAAATCATTTATGAGTTCATCTGATACAGAGTAAAAATTTAAAAAAAATTTAGGATGATGCTACTTAACGAAAAGAATAAATCAGCTGAAGATCAAATCAATCTTAGTATATTGGATAGGAAGTATTTTAAAATTGTGTGAGCAACCAAAAATACAATTGGAACCTTGCACTTAATGTAAAAAAACTTTAAATAGCTCAAAACTTTTCATCTAACTCTTCATCAAATACTTAAAAGTAATTAATATATTATTTTTTTAAGAGAAGAAAAATCATAATATTTATATCCAGGGTGTCATATATGACAATATATGAGGTGATGAATAGTAAGATAAAGAGATAAAAAATGGAAAGTTACGGACATTCATTCATTATATTATTATTAGCATTTCTATTATTATTATTTTTTTAGTTAATAATATTATTTTTTAATATACATGAAGATATTTGACAGAAATAAACGATATTTAACATATTTATACAAATAAACATTACTAATTATTATATTAATTATACTTTAATTAAAAGAGTATATAGGGGAGACCGGGGACAGTTTGTTCATAAAAAATTGAAGTGCTATAAAAAATAGACAAAGCAATTTTTCTAAAATGTTTTAACGTAATTTTATTCTTTACATATATCTATACGGTAGAAATTAATATTTAAGAAAAAAATCATTTAATTTTTAATTAAAGCAAATTTAAAAAAAATGAAAATTTAAGTTTTATGAAAAACACCCGTGGTACTTATTATCCTTTCACGTTATGTGTCATAGCGCTTTTTTATTTTTAGATGTAAAAATTTTTTTTATATAAAAGTGTTGATTCTAAGTAAATAAATAAAAATTGTCAAATATGTTAAATTTATTAGGGTTCATCTATATCACATATTAGAGATATGCAAAGTTAGGCCCGGCCCATACCCGGGCCCGCTATTTAAACTAATCGGAGGCTGGGCCTAATATTTTTAAAAAAATTCGGGCCGGGTTGAGTCGGACCTTAACATTTTTTTTAAATATATCTAAATTTATCAATTTTATATTGGATTTTTTATGTAAAATAAAAATATTTGATTTTCTTTATTGAAATTAAACGACATATAACATATGTCTTTTATTTTGAATAATTATAAAAATTTATTTCTATATTTAAATAAATTCGGGCCGGGCCGGGTAAATTTTTTTAAAAAAAATTCGGGCTCGGGCCGGCAAAACCTTTTTAAAAAAATTTCGGGTTCGGGCCGGCAAAACTTTTTTAAAAAAAATTTCGGGACGGGCCGGGCTTGAAAAATTAGGCCCGATGCAGATCACTATCACATATATCACTCGGAAGTACTTGTCACTTAAATCTGTCATATAATTACAAAAAATAAGTCAATCATCTTCATATTGTCATTAGTGGTCCTAGACAAACTAGTGACTTCTAATGTTTTTATAAATATAGTTGGATTTTTTTTATTCAAAATAATTCCTGCTTAAAAATGGCTAATACGTACCCAGACAAATCCTGTCCCAGGTCTTCACAATTAATTAAAATTTAATTTTAAGATATTAAATTACCATAAATTGTGTCAATATTTTTATAAATGATAAAATATATATTTCTTTATCATATAGAATTAATATTAAGTCTTAACAACGTCTATAAAAAAAGTTATTAGTGAAAATGTAAAATTTTCAAGTTACTTTTGGTATGTTAAAATTTAAATTTGCATTTAAAATTTTTCATGAGCAATTTTGTCCGAAACATTTTTGGACCTACTTAAGCATCTAAGTTCAAAACTTAAACTTTATTAATTTTTAAATTATTCGAGAAGGAAATACCTACCCCGGGAACACATTATCCCCGGTCTCCCCTACATATAATTCAAATAACTAACCTAGTTAAAAGAAAAATTTGTAGAAGAATTATATTGAACAATTTGAAGAAATATTGAAATAGAAGTAATAAGTTGATTATAATCAATTTAAGAAAAATCTTTTAAATAGAATTAGAAATAGAATAAGTTTAGAAAAATTTTTAAAAAGAAGAAAATTAAATTTAAATTGAAGTATTTTAAAAGAATAATAATTTGAATTTAGATTTAATAATATAATAGAAGAGAGTAAAAGAATTAAATAAATAAATATAAGTTATTAGATTAGAAGATTTTGAAGAAATATTAATTAAACTAAAGTTACCAGAATTAGAGTAAAAAAGGTGGAATTTAAGTAATTTAAACAAAGATATAAAGAAAATTTGTATAATATGTGGCATACAATAATATTTATCTTAGTAATAAGTATTATTATAAACATAAGAAAAGTGAGAGTAATAATAATAAAATTATTAGTAAATACCTTATAAAGAAATCTCATAGAATAAGTTTAAAATATTAAAATGTAATAACCATTAGTGAGAAGGATAAAAAGTAAGTATTATTTTAGCAATTATATACACCTTATTATTATTAATAATAGGAATGTTATTAGGAGGGAGAAATAGAAGAGAGGATATAAGGGAGAAGACAAAAAGTTACAAGAGTAGAGAGAATATCAGGTATTATAACTGTAGTGAAGTAGGACACTTCGCGAGTGAATGTAGGAATAATAGATTAAAGAGATACCAATCAAAGGAAGAGGAAGGAAAGAAAGATAGGAAGTAGGACTGATAAAGGGACATTATATTAAAGTTTAAAAAAAATTGTGTAAATAAATTAATTAATTTTATAAATATACATTTTATAAATACATATAAGATTATTTTAAAAAATGGATAATTAGAAATTATAAGAAATAGGAGTATATTTGAATATTAATAAGTGTACTCTTTAAGGTGAGAAGGTAGGAAAGGATAGGTGATAAATAAAATAAGGAAAAATATTTGAATAATAGTGATGATAAAATTAGAACCTAATAAAGAAAGGAAGGATTTTTAGGGAAATAAAGAAGTTAAAACTAAAGATATAAGGAGTTAATAAAGGGGTTTAGGAGATTAAAAATTTAATCTATATTACATAGGTTGAACCAAATAATTTTATAGGCGTACGTAATAGTACACACAAGCCTACATTAGAATTAAGGTAGTGAGAAGATTATTTTATTTGCTACAGGTTGAATAATTTTATAGGCGTAAGCCTATATTAGAATTAGGGTAAAAGAAGGAAGAATATTTTATTTGCGGAATGTTGAATAATTATATAGGCATGTGTCAGAGCACTTATAGCCTATATTACTATAATAGTTCTGGTAAAACAATCGAATAGGCGTACAGTGTAGTATAGATAAACCTAAATCAAAGGGAAATAAAGGTAGTGGAACATGAGAAAAAAAGGGGGAGAAGAAAGAAGGGAAGGATATTTAAGGAAATGATAACAGACAACATATAAAGACTGATATGAAAAGATCAATAAATTACATAATTCACTAAAGCATAAAGTAAGCTGAGTTTTACTAGTTAGTGTATATACTTCCATCATACAAATTTTAAAAAAATGGGTCAAGTTAAATCTTCAGTTGATTTTATATGGAATACAACAACATATTCAAACCAGACCAAGCAATTTGTGCAAAATATTTTAATGCCAGTTCAGAATATTTTTATAAACAGGTTATGATTTTTAATTTTTTTTTAATACCTTAAAAAATCTTCATAAGCCAGTTCAGGATGGGTCATACTAATCTCTATTTTATAGTCTACTTTGGCATGTAGGTCTTTGGTATATACTTATAAATGAAAACTGCCTAACAAAAGAGCTTTATAAGAGATAAATTTTAAAATATAGGATTTGACAAAAAAATTAATCATAAAAAGCTTTTATAGTTATTCTGAATTCATTAATTTTATATAAAATAAAGATATAAAGCAAATTTGTTAAGAAATTATTGTTAAATAGTCAATGATGATAAAAATTAAGAACATGACGGCCCACTAATTTATATAAGCAGGCCTACATATATAGCCAGGACTTTAAAAATTCTCTGATTCCCTGGTTGCTAGATTATTTCAATGTCATAAAACTAAATACAAATTATTTACTGGAATTGAACTAGGTTTTTCAACTATAACAACATTCTTGTCATTATTAAGTATTACAATATCTGGATGTGAATTTACAGGAGTTTCATGACGATGGACTTTACTTTGTAATTTATCCCCATTCTTTAGTATATAATCTAATTTAACTTGATTTTCATTGACTCTTAAATAACCTTTTTCTATTTTCCTTTCCTAAAAAGGGTTTTAATTTAGTTAAATTAATATTATTTAAACATATTCCTCAGGGGAATATAAACGAAATTCATTCCTGTATACATCTATAAGCCGTTTTCCAAACCATCGGCCTTTGCAGTGGGTTTTAAAGGTAAAATAATAAGGAGTAACTTTACGTAAACCATCTTCAAAATAATATTGACTTATAGATAACTGTTCATCATTAAAACCTAATGGTTTGTCTGCTTTCTTGATACAATTCTAAATACATTGACAACATAATAATATTTAACTTATTAACTACTTTTTTTTTGAATTGATGAAGAGTATACTGGGACTGTGAGGATAACAATCTTTTCGGCATATATAAATTTTTATACAAATTTAAAAATTGAGAATATACCGTCATGCATATGCAGGAATAATAAAATTATGCTAAAGATAGTTTGAGTGATATCAATCAGGACAGATCGACACTGCCATGGGCCCTAGAATATTTCAATATAGAATAAAATATTAGAAGTTAAAATTTAAATAATAAATGTAACCCTAGTTTAGATATATTAACATCGATTAATAATATTTTATTAAATTCATCATACACCCATCTTTTCCCCAAAATTATGAATTAACAAGTTTTCATAATTGGTTTATGATTCTTGTCATTTTAAATTAACTTATAAATCTTTTTTTATCCAGTTTAGGCAGATGATATAAATAACGGCAGACGCCATATAATTATGTTAAATATTTATAAAAATATAAAATAATATCAAACTTAACACAATATTACCATTCTCTGCCCCAATTGAACGATTATTCAGCTCTGTTTCTATGCACAAAAGATCAAATCATCAAAGGCTAACAACAAATTGTTTAAAAAAATAAATAATATTAAAAATTATGCTGATTTATTTGTATTTACTAATTAATTTTTATTCTAATATTGTTTTCATTATTATATATATACAGTTTACAAGAACCAGTTCTGTACAATAAGGTTACAAGCTATATCATATCCATGTTCGTTCGAAACTATTCTTCTTCATGTTCGTTTGAAACTATTCTTCTTCACCTCATGAAAGACGGCAAAAGGTAAAAATAAACACAATTCGAAACTATGATTACTGCTGGTACAGCTGATAGCTTAAAAATTTTAAGTTATTTTACATTCATTCATATATACTAAACACGTTTTTTTGGTGAAATGATCAAATGGAAATCACTGAATTTAGTATGTGTAGATTACATAGAAGGTTTTAAAAAATATAAAGGGCCTATTTATTTTTTTAAATTTTAGGCGATCAGTTATCAAAAGGGATGGCAATATTTAGCCTTCTACCTACAATTATACTTTCAGGACTAATGGCTTTGATCTTATTAAGACGTGATCTTCATACTGTAATTTATTTAAGAAACAAAATACAACATATATTATAGGCAATATTTTTTATTGGCAATTTTTTAAATTGTTATATTAGTTTTTTCTTGAAAAAGTATTTTAAATCCCCTAGACCATTTAGAGGTATTTTTGCATCAAATACTTAATTTTCTATTTTATTTTTAAAGATAGTCAAAACATGATGACGTTTGGTATGCCTTCTAGTCACTCTCAGTTTGCTTGGTTCTTTAGTATATACATGATATTATTTATATATATAAGGTATTATTTCTTATATTATAGTTTATCAAATTGTTTTTATATAGAATAAGTTTTAATAATCAAAATTCCCCTCAAACCAATCCTTTGAAAATTCAAATAATTAGGCTTTTAATCTCTACCTTTTTGGTTGTATTAGCTTTACTAATATCCTATAGTCGGTAAATTTTTTACAATTTCTTTAAAAATTTTTGATTTATCATTTCAATAAATAATTACACATTATGGTTATGAAAATATATTATATATGTATAAATGTTGTTTATAAAATAATAATTTTTTCTTATACATTTATATTTACTCTAAAATGCCATCTTGCCCCAATTTAAAAATAAGATATAAAATTCAATGTAAATATAAGATACTTTATAAATGGATCTAGATACAGACACATTGTCTAAAAAAATATCTAGATACCGATATTTTAATAAAAAATCTATCTAGATACATATACAGATACCACATTTTTATATCTATATACAGGATCTAGATACTTGTATCTAGATCCTTTAACAACTCTGATCCTTATATAAGGAAAATCATTGTTAGGGCATTTTCTGACAGGACGTTTTCTTCAAAGTGGTTTATTAGGCATGTTTATAGTAAATTTTTTTATTTCCAAACAAAAGGATAATAATTTGCTGAATTAATTTTTTATATTTTTCATTAACAATCAAATGCCACCTGAGAGTCATCAACTACTGAGTTTTTTTAAAAATATTGTATTATTCAAAAAACTTAATTTGACTAATTAATATCCTTTTATTTGGAAATTTGGTGTTTAAGATATAAAAGGTTTTATCAATTATAATTTTATTTTTTAACAAAATGAAAAGATCAAATGATAATTTAACTTTAACAATAATATGTTTATATATTGATCAAAAGTACATTTACGATAGTCTATCAATTAACATATATTGTATTTTTAAACAAAACACGATTTATTTAAAGTTAATTCATTACAGTTCTCCCCACTACAAATTGAATTTATCATGATAAGGTAGTGGAGGTTTCAAAACTCTTTGTTTACAAGTTGTGTTTCAATTATGTTCTGTATTATCCAAATCTTCCTTCATTGTTATGGGTATTTCCTTAGCTTGTACATAAGCATCCCTCAGTTGGTCAGCATGCTTGTTTTTTTTCAATACCCTCAGACTCAACATCATATAATGTCACACTTTTCCGTTGAACCATTGCCCCTTCATGCCATCCTGCAGTCCTTTCGTTTTTTACTAGGGATGTACCAATATTTTTTATCGAATTAGATTGGGCTGATATTTCACCTATTTTAAAATATCGGTTATCAACCAATATTATAAAATTTGCCGATCCGTTATAAAATGGCATCTTTAACAAAAATAAAATGTTATAAATTTTTAAAAAAAAGTAATATCTAAAATCATTTCTTTTTATTAATAAAATCGAAATCCTTATTTTTTTAATAATAATAATTAATTAATAAACATTCTGCCATATTGTTATTTTTTTGCCCATTCTGTTTATAAAATTGTGCGATAATCTCTTCAGAATCTGGTTTTAGTAAAGCTGGTGATATTGATAGTTACCATCGCCGCAGGTTGATTTCCGATAAGCTGGAAATTTTGGTATTTCTAAAAAAAAATCTTCGATATATTAATGTTAAATAATATTTTAAATATTTATTCAAATTATAATATATTTGTTTATTACTTATTATGTACAGAGATTTATGTTGTTAATTATTATATAAAAGTGATTTAACAATAAAAATATTTTATTTACTTTTAGAATTGCAATAGAATTGAATATAAACTATAACTGATAATTATAATATATTTAAATGACATAAGTTATGGTATAATTAAATTATAGATGTTATACTAATAAAAAGTATATTACAAATTAAAACCATTGGTATCTTTACAGAATACAAAATCAGATATGATATCGGATCGGTAATCGGCCGATATCAATTTAATATCGGATCGGCCTCCAAAAAAGTGATATCGGCACACCCCTATTTTTTATCCAAACCGTTGTTTCTCTTTAAATTCGCAGGACTCGACATTCCTATCTTTATAATATTTTTGTTTCTATAATGCGTTTTCAGTCCTTTCTCTTGTATATAGTTTTCACTTATCTAACGTCGTCCTGAGCGGCCTTTTAAATATCATTTAGTTAGGGGATTTACCGGTAATTGCATTTGAAGTATTTCGGTGAGTATTTAAAACATTCGCTAAATTTAACTGGTGCGGACTCCCACATCTACTTCTAACATAGAAACACGTCTTTATCGTACATATATCTTTCAGCCAATCCGGGCTATAAGGGGCCGATCTAAAATGTATTATGTTGTTTTTAAAAAGAAATCTTTTAAATTCAGATCAAGTAAACTGAGTACCATTATCAGAAACAATGTAACAGCGTAACCTGAATCTAACGAAATAATTACGCAGATTATTTATTACACTCGCCGAATTAATGTGTAAAAATTGCAACTTCAACCCTTGGTGAAGGCGTCTACGCAAATTGACCAATACTTTCCAGATACAGGGCTGGTCAAACCAATGTATATTCGTTCCCAAGGTCGGGTTGGAATGTTCCAATTGTATAATGACATTTCTCTGGCTTCCGCTCTTCCTTCCAGGTAACTTTTGCAGCATTTAACGAAAGCTTCAACATCACGATTAAGATTTGCCACAAAAAACATAGCATCTACATAATAATTTCATCCCCACTATCCCAGGATATCCTTGATGTCTTTATATTATCAGGGATAATAATCCTATCATTATAAAATAATAATCCTTCTTCTAACGAAAATTATCTTTAATTTAAATAAATTTTTTAAAATCTTCGAATAATTATTTATATTATCAGTATATCAATTTTCAAGTGATATCATTGCCCGTTTCACTTATGACTTTACTGCGAGTGAAAGATTAAATTAATTTTTAATTCTCTGATTTTATCTTCGATTTTTTTGTAACCTCAATTGCTTTTTCTTTCTACCCTCAAACGGGACAGAGCGTCGGGATTTTAAAAAAAACTAGGCCAACCAACCTTAGTAAAAATTTGGAACCGGGCCAGGCAAAACTAAATTCCAAAATGGCAGGATTTAAAAATCTTGCCATTTGCAGACCTCTAATAATAAAGTAAAACAAAATGTAATCTATGCTCAACTATAAATAAAACAATAATTATATATAGCGCGCTTATCCTCCAAGATTAATGCTCCATCTAAATAATTATGTTTGCAATTTAATAATTAAATGATATGCTGCAATAAATATAATGTTTTAACCAGTGATACGAATCCGGGTTGGTTCCGGGTTCAGCTCGGATTTAGAAATTTTTGATTTGATTAAAAAAATATACGTTTAAATCATAATTTAAAAAAAATATTATATATTTAAATCATAATTAAAAAAACTAGACATAAATTTTATTTGGACGTATTAACATAATATCTTCCAAAGGTTGTTATCCGGTCGATCTCTGCAGTGAAAGAATGAATTTTAAATGTGAAAAAGATCTTTCAACGTTAACCTCTATTAAATATATTTATATAAAAATATGATAAATTAACTTGGGTTTCAGTAGTAGCAATAATTATATAAATATGGGTACTGCAGTTTAGCATACTTCCAAAAATTCAAATTATTTTTTTTCCCATTCTTTTAAAATCGCCAAATTCAATAATTATCGTTCCAATCTTTTTTCTGTAATCTTTGGTCTTCTTTTGAGTATTTTCTACTGCCTTTTTTAAAGTTATATCAATTTCTCTAAATCATCTTGTTCAATAACTTCAATCGAGATATTATAATCAAATAAAATGGGCGTGGATATGGGTTTAATCCTACTTATATAAATTAACAAAATACCTCTTCGCACAAATCTATTCATCTCCATTAAGTAATTAATATCTGTAATATATAACCTTTATATTTAAATAAATTGAAAAATCTCATTATATTTTTAATATTTATATATATATTTTACAAATATCTTAATATATGATTTTAAACAGTATTCACTGAACCCGGGTTCAAAAAAATTCCCCCCGGTTCGGTTCTGGTTTTCGGAAATTTTATTAACTTCAAAAATATATTTCAGCAACCCTGGGTTTCTTTTCTGGGTTCGGTTAGAATCCCGTGATTTAACCAGGGACGAGAACCTAACCCAAACCCTTTTTAAAATTTAGGGTTCAGGGTTCAAGCTTTTTTTTTTAATTTTAAAATTTATTTTTTTAATTCTATATTTTCATTTTATTTATTTTAAATTATATGTTAAAAATATATAACATAAAAAACATGTAAATTACGATTTTATTTATAAAAGATTTCCTTAAGAGTTCTTATTTAAAACAATTGTTTTTTTATTCAAAAAATATTAATTTTAAAAAAAAACATTTTTTGATCATTTTTTCATGTAAATATTTTTGTTACATTAGTCTGCCATTTTTCGTATAAAATATTTAAAATAGAAATATAATGTTATTTTTTAAATTTTATTGTAGTAGTATTATATTATATATAATATATTATAATTATGATGATAAATTATTTTTTTGGCAATAAATTAAATTTTTAAAAAATATGATGTTTCTGTTATTTTAACTAATTTTAATAAGTGATTATTTTTTTGGTCTCCGACCCCTGAACCCGAACCGGGTTCAGAGATTTTTCACTTAACCCACCGAACCCATTTTTTAGAAGGAGGATTCTCGTCCCTGGTTTTAACTACCGCAGATCCAATAAAATAATTGTAAAATTTTCGATACTATACTATTTTTTAGATAATTAGTTAAGTGATAGCAATCAAGCCATTTATTATTTTTTGCTATGAAAAAATAAACGGCTCACTCAGTCGCTTTTCAACTTATTAAAATTCTATTTGCAAAAAAATATTAGTCAAAGTATTTGTATTTAAATACTTTATTCAAATTATTTTTAGATATTTATAGTATTTATATTTTAAATTAAGATAACCTTTATTTATAATCGAATACATATACGAAAATTTGTCCAACCCTGTATGAACTGTTTATATTATATATATTTATCCACATTTAGCATATACCTTTTGTATCACACACCAAATCAAGTATTAGTTGGTGGAATATTGGGATTTTTTTTAGGTTTATCATGGTTCATTTTGGTGCAATATATCTTGACTCCATATTTTTCATACGTTTGTTCATGGTATATTAATTTTTTAAAGCTTTTATTAATTATTACTTTTTTTTTAATTATAAACTTTTTTAGGCCTATTTGCGAAATGTTACTGATACGGGATTACACGCTTATACCAAACATAATATTCTTTGAGTATCAAGCTGCCCGTTGTGAATCAAAGTACTATTATATATTATATTAATATAGTTATTGGAGCTATAATATGATGCCTAAATTTTTATCTGACTTTTCTGACTAACTTTTTTGAATCCGATCAAGAGGCCTGCTTTGATTTGGGCTAGGCTAAAATAAAACTCTGAATCAGTCTTCATTTTTAATTTTGACGTTGCCTTTAATTGTTTTAAGGATTCCCCGTCTTGATGTAGTGAACATATTCATCAAGTCCGTATATGAAAGAAGAGCTTGTAGCAATATTATATCAACTAGACATTTTCTTACATAGAATTTATTTTTGGGGAATTAGAGGAAAGTTAAATAAATTCGAAATTAAAAAGAAGAAGGAATGGTAGATTTTAAGAATTTTGGGTTTGTCTTGAATTAAAAAGGATAGAGTAAAATTAAGTATTTGTAAAATTATACCCAAATTTTATAAGATAAAATTTATGGTCTGTTTAACAAATTCAGTGCTATGCTTTAATGACCTGTTTTTTTAGCAATTTTTTAAAAATCTAAATCTTTTATCTAATGTGTTTTAATATTTTGAGACAACTTACATCTACTAAAATCGTATTTCAGCATGTATGAATCAAAATTACCTCCTGAACCTGAATCAAAGATAATAAGGACCTGACCTTAGTCATAAAATGTTATAATTTTAATAATCTCCTAACAAAATACAAATCTTAACTAGGCCTAAAAATAGAAACCCATGCCACCCGGGTGTTAGATATCAATTAACAAGTTGAAAAATGACTTTAAACTCACCTGCAGTAGTACCATTTGCACGGCCCAGCGCAGATTTTTTTTAAAAATATTTCGGCCCAGGTTTTTTATTTTCAGGCCCCAGCCCCTATATTTTTGAAATATAAATTTATTTTTAATTTTTATAGATAATTATGATGATTTAAAATAATCGGTTTTACAATAATAATATACAGCCTGGCCCAGGTATTTAAAAAAATTTGTTGGCCTGGCCCAGGTATAATTAAGAAATTTTTTTTTAGGCTCGGCTCAGATGTATTTAAAAAAATTTAAATACGGCTGGTCAGACCTGCAGTTCTCTGACAAATCTGGTAGGCTGTAAAATGAAAAATATTTTTAAATTCTGGCCACACCTAAAATGTTATCTCCTTAGGTCTCAATTAATAAAATGAAATATCTAACTATTACCCAACTTCAATATTATTTATTATATATAGTATTGTTAAATGGCTCGTTTTAAGCCGATTTTTAAAAAGGGCTAACTCAATATTTTAGCCAGAAAAACAATGCCTAAGCCTCCGAGATTTCGATAATATATGACGACCTTTGTTCCTACTATGAATAAAATATTCAGGCTTGCATAATATTTTAATGGATGAAATATTGAGTTAGCCGTTTTTAAAAATCGATTCAAAACGAGCCGTTTAACAACACTAATTATATGCATTTTAAAAATTTCGATGAAAATAATATTCAATTTATATTTTTTAATATTAAAGAATATAAAATTTTATTAATTTTTATTAAAATACATTCAAAAATAAAGTATTAAAGCACTTTAATCATAAATTATATCCATTTTCATTTATCATTCATAAATAATTGTTAAAATCAATAACTTATCTTAATAAATTGTTTTCTTATTAATCCTCTATCTAGCATATTTTTAAAGGATACATGAAAAATCATTAGATAAAAAAGATGACTTAATATTTGTAAAAGCAAGATGAATTTTCAGTTAAATTTAGCTGTAATACTATTCATAAAATAATTGATTGTAAAGACCCAAATCCTAAAGGAAGGCCTTGTCATAAAGAAGATTGGGTCTTTATAAAAATCATACTTGAAAAACTTCTTAAAAGCACCCAAGATTTGATTTATGAATAGAAGTCTATTATAGGCAAACAGATTTCTGAAATGCCAAAGGAGAATTCATAAAATGAAATATTTATTTTATAAAGTATTTATTTAATTATTGTTGTGCAGCATAAAGTATTTTTTAATCTAATCCATATAAAAAAAATACTATTAATGGTAATGAAAATATGAAAAGATTACAATTCTTAATTCTCCTTTCAGATCATCTTGTTTGAAGTGAACTATGGTAATGTTAAATATTTATTAATCGCAAATAATAATGAATCCTTTCATACTGATTATTTAAAATGAATTGTTAATTTAAATATTTAGGGAGTACAATAATATGTGAATTTATCAGTTCAAAGGGTGTTAGGATGTCTGACCTGTGAACAGCATGCTATTAAAAAAATATTAGATTAACATCTTCACCCAATTATCCTTACCATATTTCCTGACGACCCAAGTATATTCAACAATATGGGACATGCCATACTACAATTTTAACTAAAAAATGGTTTCCATGTTGGTTAATATTTCATCATTTAAATTCAAGAAACTTTATGTCATATCATGAAATAACAATTGAAAATCCGCTATAGTACTAGGATAAATTGAAATAACTATACAAGAATATGTAATTCGACAACATGGAAACCATGCAGAGATCTCATAAATGATGTGAGATAGGACAAACAGTTATAAAAGCAATTAGGGATTAATTAAGCATTATTATTTTTATCTAATTTTTAAAATACAATAATAAACAATTGCAAATGGATGAATATATATGAAGTAGGGTTATTCATCATTTTTTACCAATATAATATTTGAAAATAAAAAAAATATTATTATAATTTTTCAAAATTAGTAGTCGTCAAAGAAAAATTATCAAAATCAAATCACAATGAAGTGCATCAAATCTGACTACAAAATAAATTCACATCACAACTATTTTTTGTTGTCATAAAGAAAAAGCTTTAAAAAATTAAAAGAAACATGACATTTTTATTTATAAATTTAGCCAATGAGTAACTTTTTTGTGTGTATATAATTTTATGTGATATATAAAATATTTATTCTAGATAAAAAAAATTTAACAAGTGAAATATTTATGCTCATGTCATAGACCAAACCCATGTATATTTTTTTAGATAAAATATTTACAATAATTTAACAATCTTATAATAAACCATAAAGTTCTAAAGATTTGTATAAATGTGGTTATTATATTAATTGCACATATTAGATTACGTATTTATAAAGCAAAATTTAGTTACTTTGTTAAAAATCTGATATAATCATGATTATCTTAAAATATTTTGTTAGAAAAATTCAATAGATTCTACATTTTTAAATAAAATTTAATAGGTAGCCACAATATTATACAAAAAATATTTAAATATTGATTACATTTCTTAAAGTAGTAATTATAATAATCCAATTAGATATAACTAACAAAAATTTAATTCCATCTTCATAAATGCTTTTAATGCTTCATCAGGAATTTTATTTATTTCATTAAGAGCCTTTATATAACCAGCTTTTTTTCTGTACTCTTCAATTTCCCTTGCATATATTAACCAAACACATTCTTGACACCCTGACCCACAACAAACAGTTGGCAAATCAGGAGCTTTACATGTTTTATCTTCAAAAGGAATTAATTTCTTCATTTCTTCATGATAATTTTGAGATGGAACAGGTAAAAAGGATTCAATAATCACATTACTAACTGCATTTTTACTTTTTTTGCCTGAAATCATATATAATTAACAAATTTTAATATTTATATACTTGTAGAGTCATTTCCTATATTTATAATGTTATTTTTTACTAGAAAAACTTTATTAAATAATGTTTTATATATAAATGGAAATCGAGTATTCGTATTATATCTTATTGAAAATTTCATAAAATTTAGCCATAAATAGCAGCTGTTGTTATTATCTCTCTCGAAACAAATAGAATAAAAATAGAAAGTCACCTCTAGGATAGTTATTATTATCTTAACAATAACATAGAAAATAATTTATAAAATATTTTTCATCATATACTTGAAATTCTATTACGATTCTTGTTCAAACCTACCTATCTATTAATAATAAAATCACCTGTAACATATCGGGAGGAGGTTAATAAAAATATTAGCATGATATTTATAAGATTTTGATATTAATATAGTAGTCAAGTTTATCTTTGCCGTGAAATTCCTTTGTCTTGGAAACTTCAAGTTGAAGATGAGCGGAACAAGTAAATAAACAACGATGCAATTGAATCAGTTTTTAATTCAGCTTTAGCTATTCCTTTAGTTCTTGCAAGGAAGGATGTAACATTACGCATAGATAATAGATATACATTTAATAGATTGGTTGAAATTTTAATTTATCCTTTTTTGGAATCGGAATTGTTAGTTGAATGGAGGAATTATATTTTCGAAAATTAGCTTACGTATTGTTTATCATCAGATACCTGTTTCATATCAAACAATTTCTATATTAACTAAGCACGCACCTGATTTTTTCGATAGGTGAACTTGTTGCAGTGACACCTTGAACTTCCAAATTAGTCTTAGATTATAGTCAAGGCTCGCAAAAATATAATTACCCATTATGGTCCTAGCCTCTAATATTCAGGAGCATCACTCTTTACAATCTCAGAGGGGCAGCCGCCCCAAAACCCGTTAATTGCGGGCCTTCGGCCCGATTTTGCGAGGCCTTCGGTAGTGTTTTAGATCAATATATTATACTTTTTTAATTGAAATTTGCAAACTGAACAATTATTATGCATACAAATAATAAAAGTAGAACAATACAAGACATTTCTAAATATAATATTTTTTAATACAAAATATTTATCTATTTATTACAATATTAAATATTTGCGATTGCTATCAGAGTTGTACAAAAGATCTTCTTTGAAGATTTTTGAGCGAGATCTAGCTCAAAAATTTGAGCAACGATCTTAAAATATCTAGATCTTTGAAGATCGTAAAATTTGAAGATCTTTTATTTTTTAAAAATTTTGTGTAACGATCTTCAAAGATCTTCATGATATTTATATTTTTACCCCTTTATTAAAAGCCCAGATGTTTTTCAATTTTATTAATATAATATTTCTTTTATGTTTTATACCTCTCCTCCTGCCTTTATGAAAGAAAAAAATAAATTTAAAAAAAAATATTGACACAGCATATTTCTAAAATTTTTGATGGCTTTATTATTAGATTTTTATTTTTTTTTCTTTCATCAAGGCAGGAGGAGAGGTATAAAACATAAAAGAAATATTATATTAATAAAATTGAAAAACATCTGGGCTTTTAATAAAGGGGTAAAAAAATATATATCATGAAGATCTTTGAAGATCGTTATCACAAAATTTTTAAAAAATAAAAGATCTTTAAATTTTACTCTTTTTATTTTGAGCAAATGTACAACTCTGATTGCTATTATAAAAAAATTTTTTGCCTAAATAATTATAAGTGATAAAAAAGTTAACCTCAATTGATAATGGTTTTTAAAATCCACACAGGTCGGTATAATACTTAGCAACCTACATTGACAGAAGATCATTAAACTTATATATCGTTGTATAACCATTTTAGACTGTTTTATAGAATTGACTAATAAGGAAAAATTTTTAGGCCTAAAATCAATAATTCTTAAATAGGATAATAAAAACGACTAATCCAAATCATAAGACTATATGGGTTAATGATGGATACTGCCAAGTCAACGTATAAAAATTTCCTAAATACCAACTTAATTTGCTAAATACCGACCAAAATTTACTAAAATGCGTATAACTCTTATTATTTAACATATTATAACGGAATCACGTGGTCGAGTCCGGCTCCCTATTTATCATCTCCCCAAGGACAGAACACCAAGTTTAAATAAAAAAAAAGATAATCTTTGTTAGGATTCGAACCCAATCATCGGATTTGTAAGCGGCGCTCTTGCTGAATAGGCAACAGATGCTTTAGGAAAATCACGATTTTTATATACTTTAAATAAATTTGGTAGTACTCCAAATGAAATATAAACAAAAAACAAATTTGATAGGTACTACCTTGAGGCTCTATCTATCATTAATCAACTATTGTGGTTAGACCTAATGTGAGATACTAAATTTCTAAAAGATTATTTACCATTTTTAATGATATATAAACGACTAGACAGTTATTGCTCATTTAAATTATGCAATCATATGCTCTCAGTAGCAGGAGTAATAATCTTAAATTATATTGCCTCACAAATAGATGCTGGTTAATTTGCAATCATAGCCATGACACTCACGATGTAAACTCATATCAGAATTTATTATATTATATAAATTGATAAATAAAAACACTAAGAATCTTTAGAAGAAATAATTCTGGAAATATATTGAAGCCTAGTTTAGTTATTTACACGGCAAAGATGCCATATTAGAAATGAAACATTTTGTAACCATAAAATAAGGACCAGTGATATGATAGCAATTATAATTTTATATATTATTGTCGCACCACTTATAGTTTATATATTATATCTTAAAATAATAGTAGTTTATAATAATATCAAAAATATACTCGTATTAAATTTACTCAAAAAAGAGAAGAATAGACATCTAATAAGATTACATCGTGGGATGAATAATAAGATGTATAATTTTTTAATATTATATATAAATAGATGGCGTTAAATAATTGAGTGCAAATTGTTACTTATATTTATTTCAAAAGTATTTATTAAAATATTAACTGTATATTCTATAACTGTCAAATACGCCTGTAAAAGTGGCATTTTACCTAATATTTTTAACCAATAAAATATAATAGAGGATTAACAACCATATCAGACGCATACGCAAGAATTTGGTCTGGGGGGGGGGGGGGGAATAATAAAATTTTTTAAGAAATATTATTGCTTTTTAAAAATATCAAGCATAAATTTATTAGGACTAATAACTATTTCTAATACACAATTTTAAATTTATGTGATTTATAAAAAAATTATATGTAAAGAATCACTTAAATGACCCAAAATAGAAATTTGAATTTTTTGAGCCTTTACACAAAAAGTTTCTTAGGAATAATTGCATTTTATATGTTATATATTTACAATGTAAAATCCAATCTTCGTTGTGATTTAGCTAATTTTTCAATTATATCATCCTTGCTTGTCGTCAAATGCCTATGAATATTCAAAAGATCCTAACTTTTCAATCTACTTTCAGATGTAGTACTTCTTGGTATGTTTTTCAGAGACCTGCAGGCCCGGCCCCCGGGCTGGACAGTATTTTAATTTTTTTAGATATACCCGAGCCGGACCCGGATTTTTTTTAAAAAAACACCCAAGCCGGGCTTGAAAATTTTATTTAAAAAAAAACCGGGCCGGGCCTGAAATTTTTTTTAAAAAAGCTGAGTCGGGCCTAAAAATTTTTTAAAAAAAGCCGTGCTGGGCCTGAAAATTTAAAAAAAAACCCAGGCCGGGACGTAAAAAATCTTGAAAAAATCCGGGCCGTGCCCTGCAAATGGTACTTCTGCAGGCCTCTGTTATTCTTCTTAAAAAAGAGAATGTTCTCTCATTAGTTTATGGGAAGAGTTTATAAACCCTTTTAATACATTGGGAATTTAATCTAAAGCAGAGCATCCATAGCATTTTTTGGGACTATATCAACCATTGTTAATCTTATAAACATAGTTATTCAGCTAGTAAGGTATCATAAGATACTTTAACATCTTCATAATAAAAATCTAACAAATATTTTTTTTTCTATCACCATCTGAAAAAGGTTGGGAAGGCTTTTGTGTAAGGAATATTTGCAGATTAATAAGTGCTGCATGATGAATTAAAAATTCATTTATTTGGGTTATAAATGTATCTGTATTTAAGATATATTCTTCTACTGATCTTATATTAATGTTTTAACGATGAGCTTGCCTTGCTACAAGTCGAGGTAGACAAATATTAAACACGTATAGCTCTGCTTTTGACTCAACAATAAAATATGAAATTATTCATCAACATTAGCCCTAATTTCCTTGAGTTCTGATAAAATGCTCTCCGCTATTCTCATCTTCTTAATCAAGTCAATGTCATGTTTTTGAAAAGTAATACTTAAAATAGTTGTATAATTAAATAATACATTCTAATGAGAAATAAAATTTGGAATAAACATTGAATCCAATAATTTTCTTGCTTCTGAGGAAATATTTCTTTCAGGCCATTTATTTCAGTAATAGCAAATAATTGGCTCTTTTAACTCCTTAAAAGCTATTACTTATCTCGTTGGACAAGGTTGCAATTTCTTTTTCCCTGTTGGACAAGAAGTTTCAGAAATAATAATTATTTGACTAGAAATTTGAAAATGGTTGATAAATATTACGCCACTAAAAATTTGAAAATAATAAGTAAATATTACGCCGGAAAACTTGAAATCGAAATTAATTGATAAAATAACTTAGTAGATAAATGTAATTAAATATATATTTAATATGAGATACGAATAAATATTAACAAATATAATTTAATATAAACAATAATATTTTTGAAAAATATATCCGGCATCTGCATTTTTTGGATTGAGGGGGGGGGATTTGTTTCCATGCCCCCCCCTCTCGCTGCGTACGCCAATGAACCATATATCTACTTACTTTTTATAAAGAAATCTCTTATACTTATTTGGACCTTGAAAATATTTTTAGGATAATAATATAGTTGTTTAATGATTTGGCTAATTACATAATTAAATTTGTTTATTTTCAATTAATAAATGATTATATTTATTTAATTAGGGTTATAAAATAATTAAAATCAATTAAGCTTCAACTGTAATGCTAAATTATTATTTAGACATGAGTGATATTGATATTCCATTTTTAACACAGAATTTGATTGTTAGGTGACATAGTGAATATAATTTATATGTATTTATCTAATATAATAAATAAAATTGCACTCATTTAATAAAAATTCAGATCTTATTAATTTTTAAATAATAAAATATAATTTATATGTATTAATCTAATCTAATAATTAAAATAGCACTCATTTAATAAAAATTTAGATAGTCTAATTAATTTTAAATAATAAAATCAAATCTATATATACTTAATAGAATTAAGAAATCGTTTAGAGGGATATTAGGGCAATGGCATAGTCATTCTATTAGGGCGCCATTTAAAAAAAAATTTCGCTTTAAGGGACTATTCAAATTTTTCAGGGGACTATAGCCCCTGGTTCCCCCAGTGACGCTACTGCTAATATTTAATATGCATTAAGGATAAAAACTAACCAAATAAAATGTATACATTTCTTTCTGTTTAAATTGGTCGATTTTGTTAATTGAATACTTTGAAACCGACAATTAATTCTAAATTTTCTATCGAGAAAGTCAAGCTAAGTGAATCAGAAAATTTTAAGAATTGTTCAATTTTGTTTTGAACATTTCACTCACTAATTGGTGGGGCACAGGGGCTCAACCCTCAAAATTTTTGAATTTTTTTAATACCAAATGTGTCATAGCCTCATATAATTGATAAATAGATACTTATAAAGAAAACGTCAAACAACAATATGCAATTGTAGATTGGTGGAAAATAAAATAATATAATAAAGAAACGGAATTATTATTTTTTTGAAGATATTTTTTATTTTGAAGAATAGATCATTCGATTTTTTTTTGATGCTAAAATTATTATCAGTTTTTTTTTGTAATTAAGAAATAATTATTCGATTTTATACTTGAAAAATAATAAAGACAATTAAAATATGTGTAACATTTATAATAAGATTGTCAGGTTTAATAGAAATTAAGAAGATATTTTAGAATTGAGAGAAAGTGGGGTTTTAAGAAATTAAGAGAGATCCAAGAAAAAATATAATTTTGGAAATTTTAGATAAAAAAAGGTAATTTTGGATAATGTTATCTAAAAAAGGTAATTTTGGATAATGTCATCTAAAAAAAGAAGGTAAGTTTGGATAATGTTAGCTTTATTTGGATAATGTTAGCTAAAAAAAGAGGTAATTGTTAGCGAAAAAAATATAAAAAATGTTTTGAAAATAATTTAAAATTTTTTGCGTCTCCTGAAATTTTAAAGGCTAGTGATGCCCCATGGGCGCTGAAAAATAAAATCTGACGAATTTAAAATCATCTAAGATAATCATATTTAAAACAAACAATAAAAAATGTAACTAATACTTTGATAAAGTTATATCAATGAGAGTTAACGTAAATTAAAAATTGTAAATTTTTAAATTTATTGGTAATTAGCAAAGCACTAGTTTATAATAAAATATCTAAATAATAAATATTTTTTATTATCGTTCGCTAATCAATAAATTAGTTAAATAATGCCAAATAAAAGGGCACATTATAATGAACATTTAAAAATGGGTTATATAAATAATTTATAAATATTGGAATTTTACTTATGTAACGCCATATAATAAATAAATGTGAAATAAGAGATTCACCGTTTAAAAAAAATATGATAATTATTGAACATATTATTTAAAATGCGTTGTTTTGTGCAATCAAAATATTGATAGGGCATGCAAAATTATGTATGCATATTGGTTTAAAAAAAATATAAGTTTAATTACAAAATAAATTGCTATATATAAATATGAATGGCCCCTTCGGCTTTAAAAAAAGGCATATAAATTGTCTTTAGCTACGTATTTGTGTAGCCTCTATTTCTAGCCTTAATTAGCTTTGATATTATTTTTGATAATAGATTCACTTAACATAAGTAGTATAATGTGATAGATGTAGATAAAAAATATGTAATATAAATTTATGGTCTTTTATAAAAATGTGAGAAGGATTGACAAAGCGATTATATTAAAAATATATGCTTCTACTATAAGTTCTAACAAAAAACTATATTTTAAAAAAAAAGTTTTGAATAGGTATTAAATTATAATAAAATATTATCTTAAAAAAGATGCTTTTAATGAGAGTTGAAAGCGGAGGTTAATTAAATCAGATTCAATAAGATTTGCAATGAGGGTTTTATTTATCCATTCTTCCTCGTGATTAATTAACAAGATTGAGTTCTAATATAAATCAAGAGAAAAAAAAATGATTAATATAATTATTTATAGCTGTTAAAAATTGTAAAGTTAGATCTTGGTCACGGGTTTGGAGTTTTTTCGAATGAGCAAATAATTTATCAGCTTTCTTTAGAATATCATTTTTTTTAAACAAAGAACTAAAGAAACAACGATATTTTTTTTTAGGTTGCCATTTTTTAATTTTTAGTTCTCCGAATCTATTGCAAAATTTCTACCTAAGCGTTTAAATAATCAAATTATCTAATGTTTTTAAAGGACTGGTCTAAACAAACCCAGTGGTGTGCTGTAATAAAATACTTAAATTTAGTATAAAATAATTTAACAAATTACACCGTGAAATTTTAAAATACTTATTTTCTTTATTATAAAATTATTAAAAACTCCTCCATAAGGAAAAGTAAAGTCAGTTGTCAGAAAATATAGAGTTGCAATTTACAATAAAAATTGACCTTTTTAAAAAAATAAGAGCTTTAAACCGGTTCCAGATATAGGTTCGGTTCACTTTTTTGCGACAAATTGATGTCATGTTTTATTGGAATATAAATTTTAAAAAAAAATATTCATTACTGTTTGGGATGGTCATTTCTCCTTGTTGGATATGAATAGGTGAGTGGTAGGGGAACAATGGGTTCGAGGTAACTAAAAAAATGATATTTATGCAATGTTCTAATTTTTGTCAAGATCTGTAAAAAAAATCCAAAATTATTCCAAGTCTTTTATGCAACAAAAATAGTAAAAATAGTTTTAGGCTGTGTCCTAGGTAGGCTTAATATTTAGTCGGCTTTTAAGTATAAAATAAATAGCCAAAAATGTAAAAAGAAATTAAGATTTTAATCATGCCACTCATTTAATTTTCTAAATAACGAGTGTACATATCAGTTTAAATGGTAGGGTTCGGGATTTTGGGGAAGTTGTAAAAATAGTCATATTCCAATCTGCTGGTATCTTCCCTGTGAGCCATATCTTATTGAACAACTTCAGCAAGAGCTGAGAGACCTCTAAGGGGTCTGATTTCAGATGTTCCCCCAAGATATTATCAGGTTCTGGAGATTTATTATTAAGTATATTTATGGCGTTAGCAATTTCAGCCACAAAAATTATCTACAGATGGCTACGCTATGTCTAGAGGACGGTATTAAGATTGGCTTCCTAGAAGCAAAGATGCCCATGTAATGGTCTAACCACAAAGCCATCTGTTCATCCGGGTCAGTAATTAAATTATTATTATCAAGTCTGATCGATGGAAGAGTCTTAAATACTCTAGCATTACAGAAATGTTTGAGCTTTTTGTAGGCATCGAATGTTCTGTTTTCCCTCATATCTCTGTCAATCTCGAAAGCTTTTTTTGCGATGTAGATCTTTCTGTCCCTCCTACGGAGTCTATGGAATCTAGTCCAGAGGTCACCATCACGTCTTTCATGTGACTTGAGTTCCGCTATCAAAAGAACAGTGTCTTCGGATAATCATTCATGCCTCTAATGTTGGGGAGATCATTGCAGGTTCAAAAAAAAATACTCTTAAAGGACGACCAACATGCCTCCGTAGATACAGATTATGATGTAACTTGGTATAATGCCATCCTATCTCTTAAGTTTTGACTTGAGAGCGTCTTTACTTCTGGTCGTTGTAGGTACTTTGCATTTATTGTCCAGGGTGGATATCTGGGCTGATTTGAAGTGGGGAACCGTTGAGAGTTGACCCATAAATTCCTTATGAGGATGTTCGCTCTAATTAGTTTATGATTGGAAATATTTATGTTCCGCATTGCTTTCACATCAGTAAACCAACCATGAATGTTGGAAATGAAGAAATCAATTTAAGAAATAGTGTTGTTCCTCCTATAAGTCAGAGTATTGCTTTCACTGTGAAAGAAGAAGGTGTACTCGATTTTAAGGTTTAAACTCCTGCACAACTCCAAAAGCTTCCTATTATCATCACGGTTTGGTTGTGGAATGGCCGCATTCCCAATTACTCCAGCGTATTAGTAAAATTTTTAAAAATAATCTAAAATATATATTTCATTATATCGATTTTCATTGAATTTTAAATATGGGATTTTAATTCTATTGCTTCATAACATAACCATATTGGACATTTCGCGTTTTAATAATTTCCAACTCCAAGAATATCGACTCCGATGATGATTTGTTGATAATAGTGAATGGATTTGGACTTGACTCTTTTAATTTTTCAGATTAAAATAAATTTTGGATTAAACCATTGAATTGGTTTTCAATTCAAAATGGACTTATTCCAGTGTAATTTTGGATTAATCACCCATTTTATTCGTATTTTCAAAATTTACAACAGATCATATCTAGTCCAGCCATATGGTAAAAATTTCCTGGTTTAAGTAAAAAAATAGTGTCGTAAACAATCAAAAAAAAGTTTTTTTTCATCATTCTTTCAAAGTAACAGCTGTTTTGCGCTCAATTTTAATATTTCTTTAAAAAAATTTTATAGATTAGGTTAGTCAACAAATCTGAAAGGACTAAGGGTTTTATATTTTTTATATAGTTAATTATAAGTTAAATCCTTAAGCATTATAAAAAGTATGTAATTTTATAATATTCATAACCTAAGGTTAAAAGGAATTCAAATCTCTTGCTTTTGTATTTTTACATTAGAAATTTGCTTATCATCAATAACTTAGTACACTAAAGTTTGTAGCTCAAGTTTCTTTACATAATTTAAAACTTTATTAATTAATTCAATTTTTAATTTTGTTTTTAAACTTATTATAAAAATAAGTAATCACTGAAAGATTTTTGAAATATGTAGTGGATTTTATTTACATTTCAAATTACTTAGTAATTACACTCATATCACCTAGATAAAAATGTAAGGGAGAAGGGTTAAGGAGCATTGAAAATTTGACTTAAAAGTTAGTGAATATTTAATTTTAAGGATTTATTTAAATTATCTAGATAAAAATTAAAGGGGGAAGGTGTATTGGAGCATTACTTTTAGCTATTATTGACTTAAAATTAGTGAATACTTCATTTTAAGAATTTTTATTAATATTTATTGTCCCAAGGAAATTGAATATATTATAGTCCACTAGAGGCAGATTTATTAAGATTGGTTTAATTTCTTTCCCTCAATATTAAGGAGAGTAGTCCTGTGGTACCCACCTACCCATTTACACTTTCTGGCCTTTTGGAAACAACTTAAAATTGTATTTTATTATCGTTTTTAGTCTAGGTCAACAGTCCGGTCCTATCGGTCTTAGATCGGGACCGATCTTTTTTTGAGGACCGTGGTCCGGACCGGTCTTTTATTATTATTTAAGTTTGCTTTACTATTCAATTAATATAATTTTTTTGTATATTTTATTTTATGATATTTTTCTAGATGAGTTATTTTAGATATTGTTAATTTTTATTTTACAATATGAAAACCATAAGTTTGTCCAAGAAACATTTTACTTATAGTCACAATAAAAAACATAGAGTATGTGTTCACTGCAGTACCAAATTTAATGTATCGTCAACAAGTAACAAAATAATTGTTTATAATTTTTTAAGCAATAAATTAATCAAAATAAGCAGTATTATTATTAAAATATTTTGGTTATTATTTATATAGTTCTATTTTTTCTTAAGAAACTGTCTGAATAATTCATTGTCAAAATAACTTAATCTTATTCTTAATAAAATAATTAGGTACCTTAAGCAGACATCTGATAAAGAATAAATTATTATTATCTGTATGAATTTTTGATAGCGTCCGATAGGTTTAAAGGAAAATTTACTCTTGTTTTCGCTTAACATAAATGGCTTAAAAAGCAAATTAACGATTCTTCTTAGGCTAATGGCTGAAGAGAAAATGGATGTAATCGCGATACAAGAAATCCACTCTAAAGACAACAATATGGCCAATTTTAGTAACTTTATACTGTATAGTTCGGGCACTACTTTGAATGATTGGTCATGGGTTGCCTTCCTAATTAGTAAGAGAGTACATAAATTTGTACCCATTTCTAAAAGGTGTGGCCTGCTGTATCTTAATACCTGTTTCAAACGAACAATCCTATTAAATCTCTATGCCCCTCCTAACAGAAGTGATAGGCTCACCTTTATAGACGACCTTGAAAACATCGTATGCTCTCTTCCTAGAAGCCGTAATTTGATAATCTTGGGGGACTTGAATATCAGGATTGGGGAGGAGGAGTCCTTTATAATAGATGGAGTAATTGGGAATGCGGCCATTCCACAACCAAATCGTGACGATAGTAGGAAGCTTTTGGAGTTGTGCAGGAGTTTTACCCTTAAAATCGAGAACACCTTCTTCTTCCACAATGAAAGCTATACTTTAATAGGAGGATCACCTCATAAAGAATTTATGGGGCAACTCTCAACGGTTCCCCACTTCTAATCAGCCCACATATCTTCCCTGGACAATAAATGCTAAGAATCTACAACGACCTGAGGTGAAGCTGTTCTTAGGCTAAAACTTAAGAGATAGGATGGCATTACACGAAATTACATCGGAGTCTGATTCTACGGAGACATGTTGGTCGTCCTTTAAGAGTATTTTATTTGGAGCCTGCAATGATCTTCCCAACATTAATAGTTCTCCCCCGAGACATGAATGGTTATCTGAAGACACTGTTCTCTTGATAGCGGAACTCAAGTCACATGAAAGACGTGATGGTGACCTCTGGATTACAATCCATAGACTCCTTAGGAGAGACAGAAGGATCTTCATCGCAAAAAAAGCTTTCGAGATTGACAGAGATATGAGCGAAAACAGAACATTCGATGCCTACAAAAAGCTCAAACATTTCTGTAATGCAAGAGTATTTAAGACTCTTCCATCGATCAGACTTGATAATAATAATTTGCTTAATGACCCGGATGAACAGATGGCTTTGAGGTTAGACCATTACATGGGATCTTTGATTCTAGGAAGCCAATCTTAATACCATCCTCTAGCCATAGCGTAGAACCATCTATCGCTAATTTTTCTGTGGCTGAAATAGCTAACTCCATATCAGCTCTTGCTGAGGTTGTTCAATAAGATATGGCTCACAAGGAGGATGCCAGCAGTATTTTTTACAACTTCCCCAAAATCCCGAACACTACCAAATTTAAGGATTATAGAGCCATTGCTCTTACATCCATTGTGTCCAAGGTTTTTATGATCCTTCTAAAAAACCGCATCCTCGTTTCCACACCAAATCTCCTATCTAAATACATCTGCGCTTATCGCCCAAATAGGAATATCAACGAACCAATATTGGCGTTGAAGATTATAATACAGAAGTGCGAGAAGTACAAATTACCGTTTTACTTTATATTCATTGATTTCAAGCGTGCTTTTGACAACGTTATTCATGATACTTTGTGGGCAATCTTAGCGGGATGCGGCATAGACGTAAATATCATTAGAATTCCTAAGACGCACTATAGTAATCTTTTTGCCTCGTTTAAAATCATTAATAAAGTTTCTCCTCTCTTTAGAACAAAAAAAAGAGTAAAGCAAGGGTGTGTCACCTCCCCGCTGCTGTTTAATATAGTTATGAATAAAATAATTATCGATTCGCAGGGGGCTGCAAACCTTTTGGAACTTGGATCCAACCAGTCGTGGTTTTTGGAGAATAGTGTGATTTGTTATGCGGACGACTTGGTGATAATTGCTAAAAGCTTAGAGGAGTCCCAAAATTTGGTCTTGATACTTAATTCCTTTAGTTTAAAGGTCGGATTGGATATAAACTTTCATAAGACTGTAATTATGTCATCGTCTCATGCACCCCATATGGGTGATTGGGTAGTAGGGGGAAAGATGGTTAAGGTGGTGTCTTCTTACTAATTCTTGGGGGCGGGGGTACACATCGATAATAGAGGTAGCTGCAAAGATGAAAAAAAATCCGAATTCAAAATGCAAGAGCTGCTTTCTATAAATATTTCAAACTGTGGAAATCTAGGGAGATATCGGTTTTCACAAGGCTACGAATCTTCAATTCCACTATCCTTGCAATTCTCCTTTACGGTGGTTAAATATGGGTGATAACAAAGACAGAGACTAGAGACGTTCGTTAACAAATGTCTAAGAATAATAAACGGCATTTTATACCCTAACATTATCTCAAATGATAACCTTTGGAAGAGGTCAAACCAAACTCAAGTACACGTGACTTTAAAGAAGAAGCGTTTTACCTTCTTCACTCATATTCTGAGAAATCATACTAATAATAGCCTGGTCCTCGTGATCATTAATTGGTTATATTCCTTCAATGGCAAAACATATGGGAAGTTTAAGACATTATGGTTGTACAGGGCAATGAAGGATATAATGGATTTAAACTTAAACACGAAACAGTTCCTAAAGTTGAATAAAAATAAGAGGTCAATAAAGAAACTGTTAAAAATCAAATCGAATTATTTAAATCTCCCATAAACTCCTCCTAGAAACAAATTATTTTTGTTTTTGTTATTTCCTTTCATGTAATTTCTCTGCATTTTCTCTATTTTTTCTCCCCTCTTAGTTACCTTCTCATTCTTCCTCTGACTTATTTTTCCTTTTCATTCATTATTTGCTTTTTTTAATTTCTTACCTTATATTTAATGTACCTTGTGATTAAATTAGGTCCTTCCTTTGCCTTTAGAGTAATTGAATACATAAGCATTTTATGGGTGTGGGCTGTGCTTATTTTTGACCATTCCCCACCAGCCCATAGACGTTTAAATAATAGTCCTAGGACTATTACGCGTACAAGTACGTGCGGCTTGCCCACAAACGTGTGAAGAGCTCCTCATTTTTATCCCCATTTTTAATTTGTCCAGTTAGATGTATTTATGAGTAAAACCTAACGTAGCTCTGTTGTATTTACAACTAGAGGGCGAAAACGTTCTTTATGACGTAGTGATTATATTTATATGAGCAGACATGCAAATATACCGTAGAAGAGTAATACTGTCTTTCTTGATTGCATATTGTATATCTTATAAATAAATGTTGCATAAATGATGCAATCATATAGAATATAATTAAAATCTGAAATATTCATCCTCATATATTTAAAGAGTATTATCTTTTAATTCCTTAAATGAATTTTGAAACCATTATTTATCAAGGTGATTCAAAAATATTTCATTTATTTGAGATCTTTCTTGTGAATCAGCATAAGCTACTATAGATTAGCGGTAACAGTTCCATGAAAATTATTTCCTCTACTTTAAAAATGTGTCTCTGAGATTTAAATTAAGAGTATTAGTTATTATAAACAAAAATAAAATAATTTACAATAAAGCAGACGATCAATTACAAATAAAATTTCAATTTGGGATATCTTACACATATAATGAATGAAATATATTTAATAAGTAATTTGAAAAGTAACTAGTTAATTCGGTAGTTATATTTCAAAAATGCCACTCATTATAGTGTCTTTGCGCATTTTATCGAATTTGAAAGAACTAATAATAGTGATTTTTTATAAAATTATATCTCCAATAAGTATAACTAGCAATAACAACATTATTTAAATTTAAAAAATTATACGGTTCCTGTATTAATAAAAATTTTTGTATCAAATTCATTTTTTTAAAAAAAGGTGAAAATTTTTTACCAACCTCTGATTGCTAGATAGATATTAAGAATACTTTACAAGGTGAGCTATTAGAATATAATGTTTTTAATTTGTATATTATAAGTTAATCAAATAATATTGTTTGCTAATCTACTTATACCATTATTATATCAGGATGTAATAATGTATACACTTTCATATTAAAATTTAGGTTTACTTGTGCATAGAAGTTAAATACAAAATATGTTATATATATTTCATATTACTAATCAGAATAACATTTTTATTCTATTATGTTATTTACTGTCTCTCTTAGATCTAAAACAAAAATTTTGAACAATTAAAACACATACAAAATAAAGATTTTTTATGGCTAGTAGATTATTTAAAAAAAGACGAACTTGTTCGTAAACAAGCCAAATTAGAGTGTCCTGGTTCAAATACTTTTTAGCCTGTAAAAAGCAATTAAGTATCCAAATCTCGCAGATCTAGGACACAGCCTTATAGTGTTTTGTATTAATTATTATAAGTATCAATAAATTTAAATGGAGATAAAGCAATCTAATTTTTCTGATAAGGATGTCTTAAGAGGTATAAAAATAATGATTACCCGTCGTAGGACATTTAAAAGTGTTGGTGTTTGCAATTTTATTTTTAGACCCAGTCACGAATAAACCTAATGGATCAACGCACCAACAAAATATATCGTGACATTGCACAGGTTTAAAGTAACCAATTGAGTCGCAAGATGGGATGTAAGCATAAGAGTTATTTGAAGGCAAGGTTTTACTCTTAGCCAAGTTACAGGGTTTGCCTTAGATTGTTTCAGAAATAATATAATAAACAGTGCGATAGATATACAATTACATAAATATCACGTTTTTAAAAGAATCTCAAAATATAGCAAAAATGTAAACTGATGTAAAATAAAACTTAAATCATTTCCAAAGCAGTTACACCATTCCTTAGTCGTTAAGAACATATCGCCATCGGTATCGCAGCGAGTAAAATAATTTGTGAGGCAAGGTTCGCGATTTTCTAAGTATGGCGCTTTGACGTGGTCAAGTTCAGATGTATCAAGTTGCAAATCCATGTTTTTATCAAGATTTTTGAACATCCACCATACGTGATTTTTGAAAGGTAAAGAAAAAGAAGGGTTATTGGGCAAGCATTCTGTGGTTTGGTAAGCTTGTTAGATTAACGTGATTCGATAATATAATTATAAAAAATAATATAATCTATCTCAATACTTAGTCTTTTTCTAAATATTATATTATATAAGTAAATATTTTAAAACCTAAAATATCCTCATCTTTATTATTATCTTTCCTATAACTTATCGGTTTAAAGAAAAATTTCACACAAATTTTAAAATTTTATTTAAAAAATTATCTTATAACCGGGTGACTAAAAACATCGATTTATAAAATTTTTATAACTCAAACGCGTAATTTGTTATTTTAATAAATTTTTTAAAGAAATTTAATTTAGTATTCTCAAAATTTTTATAAAATGTTGAATCGTTATTTAGGAAAATTGAGATTAAAAATTATTAAAATTTAACAAAAACAACTCAAGACCATGGTTTAACAAAATTCTTCAACTGAGCATTTGATTTTTCACCCAAAATTTTGAGCAAAACATCTTTGAAGATCATAAAATTGAAGATTTAAAGAAAATCAAAATTTTTTACAAAAATAAAATTTGTGATTTCACTATGAAAGATTATTTATGCATAAAAATCACAAAATATATGCTTATAAAGATGTGGAATTTTAGGTAAAATTTTATCAAAATGTTGTTTTATTCTTCTTAAAAAATTTTAATTTAAAAAAATCTTCCGAGATCAAAATCTGTAAGATAAATGTTAAACAGGCCCTAAATTTTTTTCAAAAACTAGCTAAATAAGTTCTCATTATGTTGGACTGTAACCGGGAACTGACCTTTTTTTTAAAGTTTTTTCCTTAATCATACATGATAATGCAATGTAGAAGTATACTGTGAGATCTTTATTTAAACACAATTAGAGAATTATCAAAATACATAAACATAATTGACGAAATAAAGTTGAATCGGTTCTTTTATATATAATACCTAATAATCTCATTCTTCACTGATCAAACGCCAAAAATATTTTCTTGCGATTAAAGGCCATATTTCACAAATTTGTCTAGAGATCCAAAAGGTTGTAGCCTATTTTTATAAACTAAATGCTTTATTTCGTTACACATTTGATAATAGACTAAATTTAGATAGGGGCCTTGTTTTAGGAATATGAATCCTACATTTCGAATTGCCTTTAAAACTAATTTGATTTCAAGAATATTCCATCTTTTACTAGGGAATTAAAGAATGGAACTTGGTGTTATTTTATTGTCATAATTTTATCAGTATAAGATCTCTTGATATAATTTTTAATTTGTACAATTATCGTTTGATTTTATTGGATGTTTAAAAAAGGCGTTTAATAATTAAATTTGTTTGATTATCTAAACATTTTGTATTATAATTTATGATTATGGAAAAGGGCGAGTGTTTGGCTATAGTCCAACATATTCGTTAAAAATATAAATAATTAAAGATCTTGATAATTTTTTACCCGGATTTTTTAAAAAACGACTGGATCCTATTCAATTTAAGATATAAAGTTCAATATTTTAATAAAATATAAAAGAGTAATTTAGAGATAAAAAGATTTCAAACGCAACGTCTTTTTCTAGCCAGACGATATATAACACTTTACCCCTAGAGTATTCATTCAAATTTAAAGTGTATCATTTAAATAGGTAAGTCAACTAATACTTTAACTGTTATCTCAAATAAAATTTAACATAATAATTGAAATATATATCAGTTCATTCGAAATTTTTTATGCCTGATTAGCTAAGAAAAAACATAAAGTTCGCCCGGCGATTTTAATAATATTTTGGATAGGACTTAGATCTAGATGATATGATTTGAAGGTTTCATATAAAAACATTCTAAATAAAACAAACAGCAAATTACTTTGATACGCTCTATGATGGTTGCTTGTATCGTTGAACTCCACTTGAGCTAAAACTTCAAACCATTCTAATAATCTGCTTTTAAATTCATTTCTCTTCACTTCGTCGCATCTCTTATCTTAAATATAATTTTTTTTTAATTAAATTATAGGAATGTGTATTTGTCGATACTGGGATAAAAATAGCTACAAAAATAAAATGATTTATTATAATGACTAAAACATAAGAACCCAAACCTTCTTTCGTGATTGTGTTATCGTTTATTGCATCATTTTGCCCATTTTCATTTTGATCATATGCAATACGGCCCAAATCTTTCCTAACACTTTTTTGATAAAAATGATCCTGTTTCTCTTTGAATTCTTCCCCTGATAAATTTTCATTTTCTTCTGGTTTTATTATTTTAGCAGCAGCAGATGTGAGAGTCGATGGAACCACCTGCAGTAACACGTTTATCCTGTCTCGTTCCAGCTCAAGCCTAGCCTTAAAACGCGACATCTTATCAATCGTACTTTCATCTTTAATTAAAATGGGCGCAATTTGTATCATGGGAGAGGTAGCGTTTGGGTTGGAATATATTCTTTGTCCCTTTATTATGCGTCTCAGAAAATCGGAATAGGAATGGGGTAGGTAAGGTTTGTCAGAATTATCTAAATTAAAAAATATTAGCGACACCAAAAAAATATATAATTAGATAATTTCTAATTTAAGGGAGTTGATTTAAAGAAAAATGAGTCAATTTTTTAATCAGATATCTTTCAAAAACATATTTTTTGTAAAGGAATAAAAATAAGGGGATACGTAAAAAAATGTCAGCTTATGAAGGACGTATTTCACTTATTAGAGACCAAAAACAATAATATTATTTTAATCTTGAAATCAAATATTGTAATCTTAAAATTAAATCACAATGCAAGCATGAGCATAATTCCAATTAGTTTTATATGATTTAATAATATCAACTTTACATTTTTGAGATTATGACAGCGATTAATAATTCTATTATTAGCTGTATTTACTTGAGGAACTTTGGTATATAAAAACGATTTGTAGAATCTGAGTTGTATATACCAAAAATATGGCTTCATTTAAGCTAATATTGTTTGAAATATCATTTGCCTTTCTCTAATTATTCGTTTTTTTTAAAAACTAACTTAAATATCAAATCCTTCGGTTCAGATATTTAAGTATAAATCAGTGTTTAACTCACTCGAAGAAGAAGGAAGAGTTGATGTGATAACTTTATTATTTGCAGGCAAATCGCATGGACATGAACCCATACATTTTATTTCGGGCAATTCTATAAGTTTTCGATCGAACTTTGAGTATTTTTGTAGATGGTCAAGCTTTTTTATACAGAAATTAAAGTGGTATATAAAAATTCATAAAAGTTGTTAATGCTGAGAATCTGATTAAATGTATATCATTGCTTCAGTATTCTAATAGTCTCAATTAAATCAATGCCATTTATTTTGAAATATATTGTATAAATACTTGTGAATTAAACAATTTGCTGATACATTCTAATGTAAAATAAATTGGTAAACGTTTCCATAAACTATCTGTTTCTGAAGAAATATCTCTTTCAGGCCATTAAGCACATTTATCTTAGTAGTTAGAAGATACTTTTTAAATGGATCTAGATAAGATACATAGCCTAAAAAGGCATCTAGATGCAGATACAATTTTTAAAATGTATCTAACTACATTTACAATTTAAAAGAGTATCTGATATAATACAATTTAAAAATGTATCTAGACACAGATACAATTTTTATTATACTTATATACAGGGTTCACCGTTGTTCTCGAACAGAAACTCTTATTATGAGAGCATAAAATATGTAAACAACATTTATATATTTTGGTGTCATTCAATTAACACCTTATGTATCTAAAACAGAAAAAAATACCTCTAGAATTGTATCTAGATCCTTTAAAAACTCTGACATTTATAATAGGTTTTTCTAACTCCATAAAAGGTAACTGCTTGATGGCTACGGCTTCATCTTGTTGGATAAACTTTTTTCAATGATGGAAAAAGAATTTCAGAAATGATACAATATATTTTGTCCCTTGGGATATTTATTTCGTTTTAAATTTGGGAGCTAAGGTTTATATTTATATTCTCCATAAATAAGTAGTCCCTCAATGCTTTAAAAAATAAGAGAAAATTGCCTTCATTATTATTATCAAATTCAAGTTAACAATTTCATTTTAGGAAAATTAAACGATGAAACGAATTATGCACATTGCTTCTCCATTTTATAGGATGAAATCACAGGTATTGGCAGATGTCCGTGCTCAAGATATATTGATACCAGAATTATATTAAAGAAATATTTCTGCTATTTATTCCTATTTGAAGCATGACTGGATCAACCTTATCTGATGTAATATTCGAGAATCTTAGATAATTAAAAGATAAATTTTTTTTTAATACAGTTAAATATAAATTAGCGTGAACAAGAATATGATAGCGCCCGTGCAATGTGTGAGCAATTCAATGACCTTTAGTTATTTATAAAAAGAAAAGGCCCATCAGCTATGTGCACTATGCTGCTTGTTCCAACACGTTATCTCCTTTTGATATCAAATTGCTTAGGTAACGTTTTGTTTATTTATTAAAATATTTTTCATTTATCAAGCAAAATATCTAGCATCTATGAGATGTTTAACAGTCTGAATAAATGTCCCTTTCAGGTCATTATACACCTTTATAATAGGCTTTTCTACTCAATAAAAGCAGACTCCTTGATGGCGAAGACTTTATATTGTTGGATAAGAATTTTACAATTTTTTTCTCTGTGTTGAAAAGGAGTTTCAAAAATGATTCGGTCTAATATATTTATTATTGGACATTGTCGTAACTTACGACAACCAAATTTTTATAATATCATAATATATAAACAAATTGTTTAATTACACAAGTATTTTATGTAATATATTTCAAAAAATGACATCTGATACTATGAGAATAGCTAAAAGCATAGTATCAGAACTTACGAAAATTAGGGAAAAGGTAAATGACGAATTTCATAAATTATAAGTCTTGTTGAGTCAAAAGTAGAGCTCTACTTAAACATTTGGCTAACTCGACTCGCAGCAAGGCAAGACCCGTCGTTCCAATATTAATGTAAAGTCAGTAAAAGAATACTATACATTAAATCTCATCTCCCTCTAATAATTTCATAACTCAAATAAATGAATGAATGAAGGGTTCAGCATTTATAAATCTGCAAATATTATCATCGCAGATTTTCCTAATCTATTTCAAATCTTGGTAGAGAAAAAAATTAAATATATGGCAGATTTACATGCCACAAGGTGCTAATATATTTTATTGTGTAAGCAAGTTTTGCAAATGGGTAATTCCATGACAAATCGACCAGTGATTCAGCCGACCATCTCAAAAATGGATAAAACTTGGCATGTTAGTTATTTATGTATGTTAATAAAATGAAAATTTTAGAGCGCTAACTCAATCAGATCCAAAGATATACGCCTTCAAATTCGAAAATCGCGAAGCACGTGATTTCATTAAATCTTGTTTTTATTAAAACACTTGAGATAGAGTTACAAATTATATATCATTTTATAGCCCTTAAAATTTTACGTTGCAAACATTTTTAGAGAATATCAACACCTAGAAAAATCCCTTCCTAACAATGTTAATTTTCTATTTTTACCGGAAATAAGAAAACACTTGGAATTTTTTAATTTTTTTTTGATATTATCCAATGTAAAATTTTAAGGGCTATAGAATTATATATAATTTGTACTTTGTCTTAAGTATTTTTTAAAAAAACAAGATTTAATGAAATCACGCGACTTTGAAGGCGTATATCTTTGGATCAGGTTGAGCTAGCACTCTAAAATTTTGACTTTATTAACATTATAACTAACATGCCAAGTTTCGTTCATTTTAAAGATGGTCATCTGAAAATCTCGTTTTTTTGGTCGATTTGACTGACCCAAATATATTTATTATATATGGTCTTAAAAATATCCTTATTAAAATGCACTTATTATAGTTATTATTCTTATTATATAAGTTAGCATTTTTTGGATTTTTTTTGGAAGATTAGGATTCTGATTCACATTAACATCAAATTGGTAAAAAAAAGTATTTATAAACATTAAGCAAGTTTTAAAATGGTAGATAATAAATTTAACGCCAAGAAAAATTTGAAATCTGATATTAATGTATAGAATAAAATAAAAAGCGTATTTCTTTCTGCTGTAAATAAATGCAAATTGAAATATGTATTCGATAAGAGATGGGGTTATTATCAGAGTTGTTAAAATAGCGCGCCACTGTAGCACGCTATCTTTTTTTAGCGATAGCTAATAGCGCGCTCTTTTTTCCCAATTAATATTTTTTTAGCGCGCGCTCCTTTTTTTGAATTTTTAAAAATATTATCATAATTAATTATAATTTTAAAATTTATATTTTCAATTTGTATTATAAACTTAAATGATCTGATTAAATTATTTAAAATGTCATCGCAAATGGATATCCAAACCAATGTAAGTGAGTCAGACAATGATGATATTAATAATAAGGTACCCTGGAAGAAAATGTTCTTGATAGCAATAATACACATTTTCCATTTCCAAAATTTGAAAAATATTTTCAAATTAATGTAAAAATAAAAAGTCGATACAAATTAATTTGTTTAAAATGTAAAAAAAAATAATATATCCTCAAATAAATCTTTTAGCTATAATAAAAAAAATCTAAAGATATTTGTCATTTTTAAATTTTAATAGTATTTATCTTATAAGAATCAGTGTTGTTAAAATAGCGCGCTACTTTTTTCAGTAAATAGCGATAGCGGTAGCTCTTTACATAATAAATACATCTAAAAATTATTAAAATATATTTTTTATTAAATCTAAAAATGATAATCCTTTTATTTAATTTAATTTTGAAATTTAAAAATATACATTATAAATCTAGTTATTAAAAATGTGTGAGATTGTTGAAGATAGCGAAATTTCTTTGGAAAATGAGAAAAATATAGATTATCCTTTCCCAAAATTCAAAAAATAATTTAATCTTGAAGAGAAAATTACTACTGGATATCGGTTTGGATGCAAGATGTGTCGTAAAATTTTATCCTCAAATCATACAAGCAGCTTTAATTTGAAAAAACATTTAAAGCTAATATATTAAACAAATTTAATATCAATGTGTAGACTAATCCTTAATTTTTAAAATAAATTTAAATCAAAGACCAATCATTTTTTATATACATTCAATTTTATCTAAATTATTTAAAACATTTTAAAATAGTTATTTCAAACATTTTTAAGTACTATCTCCTACATATTTTTTATTCTAAGAATTACTGTTATAATTTTAGACTGATCACACCTCAAATTATAAAGAGAAAAAATATCTCAAAAGTTTTGGGGTAATGGAAGGAGATACATTCACTTCCAAATCAAATTTAATTCAAACAAAATTAAGCAATTTGGATTCATCAACACCTGGTGTATCTCAAAAATTGGCTGACAAAGTCATAATGAACTTTATAATAGATACTGTTCAACCATTATCCATCAAGGATAATGGTTCTTTTATAAAGATGATAAACACTTTTTCTTTACGTACCAAGATATTTTGCCGGCAGACATTCATGGCAAGAATTTTGGATAGCTTTATAGAAAGAAAGAATCTTTAATATTAAATCTATCAGATGTCTCCTACAGTACAACATCAGATTGCTGTACGCACAATAGAAGGTAAAAATGTTTATTTTCTGATTTATAATATGATATTCATATTTTTAGAGCTTATTTAGGAGTGACCACACATTGGATTGATCTAAAAAATATAAAACTGAATCTAAAGGGCAACTTGATGGGCTGATGGTAACCTTAAAAAATGTCATGCCTAACCACGATATTAATAATATAGCAAGATCGAAACCGCGTCCTTCCATAGACGATTTTTTTGAAATATATAATAATATTATTGAATCTCTAGATGCTTTTTTAAATCTAAAAATACTCATTTTTGATAATTTTTTTCATATAAAGTGTTTATTAAATTTAATACTGCGTTGCGCTAGTGCTGAACGATTATTTAGTATGGCAAAGCTTATATTTTCTGATCGTCGCTCTAGACTGGGGATGACAGTACCGAAATGTTATTATTATTAAAGGGCAATAATAAATAAATTATATATATATATAGTAACAAATTATAGTCATGTTTTTATACCAATATTTTATTTGTGGAAATAAAGTAGCGTAAAAAATATTTTAAAAAAAAATCAAAATAGCGTAAAAAGTATCTAATAGCGCGCTACTTATTTGAAAACGATAGCGGTAGCGCGCTACTTTTAAAAATAGCGTTTAACAACACTGATAAGAATGTTCATGCCAACAGTTTTAAAGAGATAGAAAAACATCGCAATAATTTTAGGGGAACTACATCCAAAAAAATCAATTCAAAAGCTAAATTGATTAATAATATTCACATGCCATATTTCTCAGATACTGGCTGATAAATTAATTGTCGATTTTATAATTGATACAGTTCAGCCAATATTGGTTGATAATCTCATTTATCATGATGATTTAAGCTCTATCCTCTGGTACAACAATTTTATGTCACTATATACTAATGATTAAGATAGCAGATAACTTTGAAGTGATGAAAGATGCTCTAATAGCAGAGTTATCAGAAATATTTGTACCACGGCAGATATTTGGACACATAGTAAAAACTTGTTTATATTTATAAAATGATCTGATATTAATATTTTTAGAGCTTATTTGGGAATCAGAGGCCATTGACTATACCTTAAGACTTTAAAAAGAAGATCTGTAGCATTAGCCCACAAAGTGGTAATAATGTCAGACATACGATGTATTTCAAATAAAATTTAAGATTCATCCCAATTTTAAACTAAACTGATCACATTCCGATGATGCTAAAGATCAACGTGATAAGCTCATGGTAAAGCTGAATAGTCTCATATCAACAAAGATGCCCTAAAACGACTTTCACTAATAATTTTTTTGAAATAAAGGATATTAATATAATAGAAAATCCACGACGCGATTTTTAATTCTAAAAATACTCAAATCAGTATATTGATAATATTTCTTATATTAAAATAGTTTAGGCCACGGTCATCGGCTTTTCAACCATCGGAGAGAGGGAGGGATTGACGGAGTTCGATAGTGGGATGGTCGGAGATTGAGGCTGGGGGACCGGACTTAGCGGGAATTTTGGTCATCGTATCCAACTCCAGTTGCGGATAGACCCAAAAGAAGAAACAATCATTTTATTAAACATACGTTGGTTTATAGATAAAAGCGAATTTTATTAGGTTAAAAAAATCAAAATACAAACTAAAGAAAAGAATTATAATAAAAAAAAGCGATCTTGAATATATATTTTTTGTTCTTATATCCTACAAGTTTTGTTTACTAAAAAAACCATCGAAGTATTTTTATAAAGAATATATGTGTATTGGCCATCCCTAAAACTGGCTAGGACCAGTTTCAAGTGAATATCACATAAAAACAAGCTCTGTTTATAAATTTACAATCGTGTAAATCAAAGGAAAGAATAATACAGTTGTAGGTTAAAAAACAAATATAATAACAGGTATTTATATTATTACCAACGAAGTAAAGCATAATAAAATAAACACAACACATATAAAATTAAATACAGCCTTGCCCTCAAGTGCTAGTGTTGAGAGATTCTTTAGTTAGGCGAAACTTATACTTTCTGATCGTGGATCTAGACTTGGGGATGATAGTATAATAATGATTTTATTATTAAAATGCAACAAAACAAATAAAAAATGAATATTACCATAAATAGTTATTTTTTATTACATAAATTATAGTTTTTTTACATAAATTTTTTTATTATCAAAACTAACTATATTTAAATATATATAAATGTTGATTTTTATGTATTATATTATATAATTACATTATAAGCAAAAAATAAAACAAATTTATTTCTAATTTTTTTTTTCTGATTGATAGAGATAGCGGTAGCCCGCTATTTTTAAAAGTAGAGTTTAACAACTCTGGTTATTATAAAATGTAAATTATTAATCATAAAATAATAATAAACGCGCCTGCGCACTCAGTATACATAGTAAGAAAAATTTATATTCCCTAGTAACAAACACGGAGGTGTCATAATTTTATAAGGAGAGGTCAATAAAGAACCGAAAAAATATTTAAACGTCGGATATGACTCTGAATATTGTTGAAATAGTATAGTATTTCATAATTAAAGTTTTTAAGAATTTTCGTGGCCCCTTCTGTGTTAAAAAAGTATTCATTCATATAAATTATTAATTTTTAAAAAATATTGATTTTTGCAAAATAAGTAATATTTTTTGCCAATTCTTAGCCCGCTAAAATGCGGCTACTGAAAACCATCATTCCAGACTTGGGCATCTAAAAAATATCTTAGCTTTAAATATAAAACTAAATAAACTCGCGACTCAATGCTTAGATTATCTTTGGCACGCGCTTGTTGATTGGGCTAAATTAGTCGTTTCCACTTTTAATACTTATTAATAAAAAAAAGTAACAGAGGCTCGTAGTCACTTTAACCTTTAAAAGTTCCTGGACCATAAAATGTATAATGTATATACATAACGTTGATTTTTAATTTAAGAATAATAAAATATTCACATTTTTTCGTTGCAGCCAAACGCAAGTTTTGTACCTAAAGATACATGGGTTACGGTACGTTTTGCCGTAACTGTCGCAAACTGGGTTGTGTATATATTTCAAAGTAGAAAGCGGACAAGGGGTACACGCGTAATCGAAATAATCAGCAGGATAATAAGTGTGCTTGATGAGTGGTGAAGATATAAGAAAATCATTATCGTAATCTTTTTTGTCATTCACTTGGGTTTTAAAATCACCATCTTTATTAGGCTCAGATTTTGAAGAACTGGAGTTTGATATTTGGGTTAAATGTGTTAGGATTGTGGCGGCGTTGTTGTTTAATGGAAGAAGTTCTGGTATGGATATTGAGGAGGAAGAAAGCATTGATGACGATTTTAAGCCGATTCTATGAAGGATGAATTTTTAGTATTAAAGATTTAAATATAATAATAATAGTTACCGAAGAAAAATTAATGAAATATTTATTTCTTATTTAAATTTTATACTATAAATATAAAATGAATTAGAGTTAATAATGGGTTATTTATTATTAATTTTTTTATAAATTATTCGAATATTATTCAAAGCTTGATATTCGCGAATGTTTGACTAAGGGAATTAATAAAATCGTATAACTAATTTATAATTTAATATAGAAAAACTCTTCCTTCGATAAAACAAATAATTTTAAATGTAAATATTATCTTTTATTGAAATGAATACTATTTAAACGTATATTTAAAAAAATGATTAAATATTCATGATATATAATGTCATGTGGAACCGATGTCGCATAATGTTTTCGAGTGGAATGCACGTGGCGATTTGTTGTTTGATCATGCACATTTCGTTTGATTGACATTTAAGAACATCGCACAATAATTCTGATATATTTCAAATAGAATTTTAAACAAATAAAATTTCTTATCTGAGAGCCCCCCCCCAATAAAACAACCCCGGGCCTAGGCGATAGGCCATCTTGAGGAGCGGAGTCATCATGTGGTCATATTAAATAGATATAATATTAAAAAAATAATATTATCCTAATAAAAAATTTTGAAATCCCACTTCTTTTTATTTTATAAAAATATTCTTTAAGCCATAGTAAATAGGAATTATATGTAAAATAAAATTCATAGCAACTATATAATATTAACACCCATCCCATCCTTAATCATCTTAAATATCTTTTCTTTAAACCCTTGAAAATTGCAGGGTAGCTATTGGTAAAATTTAATTCGTTTCAAACAAATCATAAATCTAATAATTTAGCATTTTTATTCATCACTTTGCAGGATAATTCCATGAATAATTTTATTATAATCAAAGCCGCTCCTCACCTTAAGCATTGCTTAAAGTTGGCAAAATCCATAATTAAAAAATATATTAAATTAGCATATGGAATTGAGAATAGGATGCCATGAATATTTTAAGTCGAAAAGGGAATCCGTTATTATGTTTTAGCATTGCTTTTAGTAACAGGAATTTTATTAAATTTTTGTCCATATTCTATATCAGATTTAAGTGTCCAATAATATTTTTAAAAGACCTGAACCGAACCTCTTTTAAAGAAAAATTAAAGGAGTTAACCAAACCAATATAAAACTCTATAAGCCGGTTAATATGTTTTTATTTTATAAATATTTGGCATTTTTATAAAATTGTTATCCTTTTGGCATATTTATTTATAGGCGTTTATTTTTTCAATTTCTTTAAAAAACTATTATGTACTGTGTAATTTGTTAGACAAAATTAGATGATATCTTAATTAAACACATGATTTTATATACAAATATAAATTGACAATTCTGGGTTAACTTTTAAGCTGTATTTTATTCTTTAATATTTATTATAAAAAAATAGATTTATTTATAGTTCTATATATGGACACCCTGTATAAAAAAATTTACTAAACCTTATTAAAGGTTTTTTAACCTGAATTGAACATGTCATATAATTTTTTTCTCTTGGAATAAGAACCAAGCCTATATATCAAAAGGTTTGACCCTGCTCTTTATTAGCTATTAGATTATCATTTATTTTATTGTTGTAAACAGCAAACTACAAGCTGCATTAAAATTTATTTAACGAGAAAAAAACATAATATATACTCGAACACGACATTAGCTTTACGAATTTTAATAACGATACCAGTAACGTTTCAAGCTTTGAAATGAAGTTTTCGAATTTAAAATTAATAAAGATATATTTGAGGTTTTTATTGAATCAGAGACAACCTTTCTTATGTTAAAAGGTATTGAAAGAAGAGGGGTAATTTTAAAACTTTTTTAGAAATAATATTGTGTATTTTATTTATATCATTTTTATAATAATAAATTATATTTACGTGAGTGAAACTGACGTGCCGGTTCAAATAAATCAGTCGAATGGGCCATTAACTCGACCTAATGTGTTGGCTCATGGAGTGAATCAAGCCGGGGTAGATTTTTAGACTCTGATTCGAGTTCGGTATGACGAATTTGCGGATTTTAAATTAAAACTTAGCGAAACAATTGATTGAGCCTCAAAAAAATAAGGGAAATTCAACTACGTAATTCATTTAAACCCCCTTTGAGAATTATTTTTCTAATTCTAACCTTAAAATAAATTTTACAAGTTAAAATAAAATTGAATCTTCAAATATCTCTTGTATAATATAATTTTTTATGAGCTTTCTTCATTTTTAACATATAAGCCAATATATATAATAATACGCGAAAATAATTAATCGTGTTGTCAATTGTGGGTAAAAGCGAATTATAATTTTAGAAATAATTAGGCAGAATCAGGGCCATAACTAAAGGAAGATTCTCCTTGCCTCATTTCTGACTATTCGAAGAAACTTTGCTTTTTCAGTTTTAAGTAAATTGCAATTTTATAAATTATACTTAATTCAGTCATTTATTACAAATTATTTATACATTAATATAGTAAGACTGAATTCATAGAGCTGCAGTATAAAATAATTTAGAAATTTATTAATGTACAAGTTAGGTAAATGTTTGGACTATCTTATGGTATTTATTTTGTAAATTCAAATACAACAATTATTTTCAGATCTATGATGATTTTTAAAAAATTACGCCTATTAGCCCAGGTATCCCTTCTCTCGTTTCATCGGTTTATAATGAGATTCTCGAATTAAGCGCTGAATAGCACCCTAGTTACTAATATAATTAATACCTTTTAAAAATATATTTAAAATGGTATATGATTATGAAACTTTCTGAAATGTGAAAAGAGGGTTTAAAATTTCATATAATGTCAATTTTATTATTTTTAAACTCTTCATATTTTAATGTAACCTAATACTGGGGTGTAAAAACATTTTGAGTTTTACCTAGAAAATACATTTTATCATAAAAAATTTAAGTAGCAGAGGGGATATAAAATATTTTTTATATACAATGCTATTATATAATTAAATTAAAATTTCTAAATATGTCTGGTTTTTAAATAAAATCCGCTTGATCGACAAGTCTCTTGTGCCGACTAGCCATCTAACGAGAAAAATATCGCACAAAGATTTTGATCGAAATATGTTATTTTAAAAAGACACCCCCCCCCCGCAACCTAGCGAAGGATATTGGCAGAAATTTAGCTTTTCTTCTTATATTGCTATCTTTCATTATATTATAAATAAACTATAAAAAAATATTTACGTTCTCTCTTGAAATCCAAAGAAATCAGATCAGGAATGCTGGTAAGAGAATTTTCATCGTCGATTCTGGGGCTTTTTAAGAGGCCATCATGCCTATAAATAGATGAAGGCAACTTCTCCTATTAAATTGGAATCATATATTTATTTTAAAAATTTATATAGTAATAAATAAGGATATGTCATTTTTTTTAATATCAGGTTGGATCGGCCCAGATCATTCATTATTTTTAAAAAAAATATGGGTTATCGAATGATATCATTAAATTGGCAGTACCCAAGTATAAAAAAAAAATTGTTATGATAAAATGTTGACATAGAATCACTGGAATTTGGTTTTTAAATTAGTATTTTTAAATGGCATGATTTGAGCCAATTTTTCAAAACAGCGAAATCAATGCATTAGCCAATAAAATGTTGCCTAAGCCTCGAGATTTGGCTAATAGATGTCCAAAACTATGTATCATCTACGAGTAAAATTTTAAGGCTTGCGTAATATTTTCCTGAATAAAATATTGAGCTAGCCGTATTTAAAAATCGGCTCGAATCGAGTCGTAACACTAAATATGTTAATTTTTTTATATTTTAATTAATAAAATAAATAACTCATTTGCAATATGGAGTTATTTCATTGTTATATTTTTGGTTTATTACATTCCCTATTTTATTAAAATTTAATCGGATGTTATAGGATTTAGGTCGGTATTAAAATCGGATCGGCTTCCAAAATGTTGTATCGGTACACCTTTCTAATAATTACTGCAGTGTTGTGTTACAACTTTTTTTAAAAATTAAAGGCACACAAAAATGGTTGATAAATTTGGCCGCCAGTTAAAATCCTAATTTATCAATTTGAAAACCCATAACAACTTAAATAAATACCAGTTTATACTTGATAACTCGCTAATTATATTATTCATATATAACGCTCTCCAAGGGAACAAGGAATTTAAAATATTAAATAAAACTAAGAAACATTATATTAAATAGATATCCGAGGGCGGGAATTAATTCCAAAAGGTTAAAAAATATTATAAACGGGAATTTTGTATGAGTTTAATCCTTTTTTTATATGATTCATTCCGGTGACCGTTGCTGGAGTAGGACAAAGTTCTCAGTCCTTAAATTTAATTTGAGCAAGCCTAAGCTTAAAAATTGACTTGTTTTAAAAAAAGTCATTTAAAATTATATTATAATTATTCTTATGTACTTCATCTGCGATTATATAAAATATAAATCATTTTTATTTTATTGTAACGAATAATATCATAAAATTATTGTGGGGAGAATTTCGAGAATTTCAAATCATTAGAGACAAATGACCCTTCAAATGAGATGAAGATGAAATGTTAAAAAATTGGATGTTTTTCTTTGCAAAAATCAATAATTATTATAATATAATAGATTAATATTTTTTTGTAATTTATTTTCTAAATTTCTTACCTAACCTCAAAACTCCTAGAGAATATTAAAAAAAGATACTTATTCTCCAGAGATCATTTTTTGACATTTTAATTAACGAATTTTTTTGTTAAAAAATTATATTTTGGTTGTTCACCACAATTTAAAATGAAATATTTTTTAATATTCCTTTAAAATCTTTTATCAATGAATTATTTTTAAAAAATAGATCCTATAATCTTCCTTATAAAAAAATAAAAGGCGGGGGGAGTAAGCAAGATTTAATCATGCATTCACTATTATTAGATACAATGAAAATTAATATCATATTTCGGTAGGAGTTAATTTGTGGGTTTTTTATTGGTTCAAATTAAAATAACCACCAATTTATTTGAAGAAACGATAATTTTACAATACTTTTTACATATTTAAAATGGCCGCCAATGTTTTTGAAGCGATTGGGTAGACTGAAATTTTCAAAATCTTACTATTTATATATTATAAATTATTTAACTAAGGTAGTAGCCGGAATTATAATATATAATTAATATAAGATCATTATATTTATGAATCGAGAACGTTAAAAATAAGCAATATCAGACTTCGTCAAATGATAATGTATGCAACAACAAACTTATTATAAATATGGCATTTATATTATTTAAGGATCTAATTTAAATTCTATGTAAAATAAAGAGATCCGAAAAAAAGCCGGCGTAGGCCGGGCGGGACAACTTGTGCATACAGGCCGGAAGTTCAATTTTTTAAGTCTAGTAGGGAAATTTATATATTTTTCCTTCATAAAAAAATAATTAAGAATGACAGGAGAACTTGTATGGAATTATTTTAGTGACCAAAATACCGATCAAAAATTTCTATGGGCATACGCCAACCTCTAATCTGCAGAGGTCGAGTTTTTGCCCTCGGAAGATTTATTTATATTTATTTTGGCCCGGCAAGAATTTTTAAAATTTTATCAATCTTTGGTTGGTTTGTTTTGTATTATAGGGGAGACCAGAGCTAGTCGGCGCACGGGGCTTGTCAGTTCAGCGGATTTTATTTAAAAACCAGGATGTTTAGAAATTCAAATTTAATTAGGTAATAGCATTGTATAATATGTTTATTTGAGGAGAAAAATATTTTATATTCCTCAGATTTAAATTTTTTCATAATAAAATGTGTTTTTTAGGTAAGAATCCAAATGTTTTTGCATAACAATTTTAGGTGACATATTAAAAATATGAAGAGTTTAAAAAATAATAAAATTGACATTATAGAAAAATTTAACCCTCTTTTCATATTTCAGAAAGTTTCATAATCATATACATGTTTAAATATATTTTTAAAAAGTAGTAATTATATTAGTAACTTAGGGCTAGTCGGATCAATAAGATATCTTTATCTAGATACTATTATAGAGGTATCTGCATCTGTTTTTAGATACTTTATAGGATATATTTTAATATACTGTAATTTAACCCTTTTTTTATTTTAAAAATAAAATATTTGAATGCAAAATTCATTTTATCTCATATGAGCTTATAAATTAAAAAAATTTAAATAATAATAAAAATTATATAACTTATATATAAAAAATATATATATAAATATTGATTAAAATTTTTTCGCATTTAAATCTATAGATATCAATTCAAGATTGGGAAGAATATTTTTAATTTAAAGGAATATATAAATCCTTGCTTAGCCATGAAGTCCATTAATTATTAAAAACAATAGCAATGATACACAGAATTATTTCAAGCAAATAAATTTATTTAGAATTTTTTAAATAATTTTATAGATATTTCGCTAAATTTTAATAAATAAATTATAAGTTTAAATGTAAAAAAATTATTTTAATAAATTCTCGTTTTAAATAAGAATTTGTTCGAAAGAATGATAAAAATAGGGGCATAGCATATTTTTATTAGTTTTTTATAAAATATAAAAATGTTGTTTAAATATTTTGTGCTCTCATAATAAGAGTTTCAGTTCGAGAACAAAGCCCTAATCTCTTCTCTATAAATTGCATTTAAAAAAATATCTAAATAAATTAACATTAAAAAATTTATTCAATGATGCACCCATGAATCGAAGTTGTATTTGATTGGCATATTCCTATTCCAATTTTTTGCCCAATAAAAAAAGGCACTATGTAGCTACCTCTCAGTGTTACCAAAAACAATTTACCGATTATTTTTAATAACTTCACATACTCGGCCATGATTTCCCAATGTAATGCTAAGAAATAAAGATATTGCTTTGAAAAATAATTTTCCTTCTTGATTTCAAATATTTATAAATTATTTTATAAAATAGATAAAAAATTATTCGAGCGATAATATATTTTCCATATTCGTATTTGATTCGAAAAATAATTTTATTATTAGTATAATAAATACGAACCGAATAATTCGTTTTAAGTAAACCTGTCCAAATTGCAACCCACCTTTATAAATCCGAGAAATAGAAATAAATATATACATTGGTTCAGGGAGAAAAAATAGCACTGATGAAAATTAATTTTTATTAAAATAAGTTGCCTGTTTAATTTCATATTTTATTTTATTATATTAAAAATAAAAATATAGATATAGATAACATTGATAAATTAATTTATATTGTCAGTGTCGTCAAACATGATGGATCCTTTAAATATTAATCTGAAGAGGAAAATATTTTAAAACAAGCGAGATTCAAACCAAGTTGCGTCTCCCAGAATTGAAAGATGTGCGATTCTATAAATTTATTCTTTTTTTGTTAATACCTAGTATCTGCTAAAAGTAAAAGTTGGTATCGAAGAATATTTGCTCAAGACTATATAAAACAAAATCAAAAGATAAAAAAATGTGCAAATCTGTGAAAATATTTTTTTAGCGTTTTAATTTTGAAACCTGAGCCTTATATTTTTTTAAAAATAAATTTTTATTGTAAGTTTATCTTTATTTTATTTTTTAAGGTTGCGTCCAAAATCTATTTCAAAAAGTTTAATGTTTTTTAAGGAAACATAATGACAAAGTTTTAAAAATTTTCGCAAATATATTTTGGCCATATTTTTATTTTTATATTATAAAAAGGCTTATATGTGTTAGACAAAATTTTTAAAGTTTTTTTTTGCAACCGCCGAAAGAAATATAGCTAGTGTTTCAAAATTCATATTGGCATATTCGGTATTTTATTATAAAGGTGATAATATGGCTGGATAAATGAATGTAATAAATTCATTGAATTTTTTTTGATGTCTTGGACATAGCCAAAAGATATAAAGCTAAAGTTTAAAATTGGAATATTCGGTATTTTATTAGTTGGATATGGTTGGACAAATGATTATAATAAAATAAATTTATTTAATATTAATATTTTTTTCTCTTACATTAAAAATTTCATAGTCGAATAAACTTCAAACCAAACTCATAAAAAAAAAAGAAATGATTATAAAAATTAATTCATGTCATCAAATAGGACATTAAAAAAGTTGGGAAAAAAGCTAAAAAAGATTCGTTCGCCATTAGAATATATTATGAGAAATGAGATTTTTTTTAAAAAAAAGAGACATTATTATACATAACTTAATAAATAGAGGAAAATAAATTGAATATTAAATTAGCTATAATATTATCATTATCAGAGTTGTTAAAAGATACTTTTTAAATAAATCTAGATACAAATACATCGCCTAAAAATGGATCTAGATACAGATACATCGACTAAATTATCTAGA